GCGGACTCTGGGGACCAGCACAGATGGGGGCCAGTCGGCCTGGAGCTCATTAGGGCCCAGCCAAGCCAGCAGCTGGGAGAGCTGAGCGGGCGCTGGCCCTCGCGGAGGGGCCTGGGCAGCCCAGCCCGCCCTTGCCCTTCCCCACCTGCACGGTGAACAGCCAGCACAGGCTGGCACGCTGGGTGTGCTCCCAGGGCCCCCAAAGAGGCCCCGCCTCTGCCATGTGCCGCCGGAAGGCCCTCCCATCGTCCCCCTGACCTCACTCCCCCCACGCCACCCCACCCCATTCAGGATCTGGGCCGGTTCCTGGGCAGCCCTGGTGCTCCGGGTCTGCTGCAGGCCAGCCCCCAGGAGGGCCCTCCTCCACCGGGAGGGCAGGGCCGCCCAGGGGCGCAGAGAGGCAGGCAGGTCCTCATGAAGCAGGAGTGAGGCCTGAGGGCCCCAGGGGCTGAGCCCATGGCCAGAAAACCCTACCAGGTCCCCCGTTCACTGGCGGGAGTGGGGGCAGCCCCAGCAGAGGGACTGGAGTGTCTCAGACTCAGCCTCCCCCCGCAGAGCTGGGGGCTCTCACCCCTGCGAGAAGGGGGCCCCAACACCCAGATGCTCTCGGCCCCAGGGCAGGGGGGTGTGTGATCCCTGCTGCCAGGTGCCCCCACAGCTGCTCCTGCCAGGCCTGCAGACAGTCAGTCACCTGGTCCTGAGGAGAGGACATCTCCCAGAGTCAGAGCCTCTGTGGGAGGCCTGGACCCGACCCAGCCGTCCCAGCTCCCCAACCCGGCCCCAGGTGAGGGGCTTTGCTCCTCTGGTTTGTAGAATATGAGGCCGTGGGGGGTTTCCACTGATGGGGAAGTGGGGGCCTGGCCTTGAGGCCCTCCCTGGCTCCGAGCTGCAGACGGGCTCCTGGCTGGCTGGGAGTTGGCCGCTGTGGGGAGCCGAGTGGTGGGCCGTGCCCCCAGCCTTCCTGAGCCTCAGAGACCAGCAGCTGGGGCTTGAAGCCGCCCAGGTGGCTGTGCGAGGCGGGGCGGCTGAGGCCGGCAGGCAACAGCTGGGCCCCAGACAGCAGGCAGCAGCTGGAGCGCAGAGCTGCCGCTCTCGAGCTCAAGGCCCTCACGGGGCCCAGGAGGGAGCGGGCCGGGTGGCTCGGAGCCGTCCCATGTCCACCCAGTGGTCCTGGGCCCAGGGCTGCTGAACATCCCGACTTCTGAAGGCCCAGTGATTGGTCTTTCAGGCCCTGGGCCGGGTCCCGGCTGGGCCCCCTGGGCACTGGCCGCCCGCCCTCCCCAGTCCTCTGTCCTCTCCTGGGCCCCCTGGGCCCCCCAGTCCAAGCCTTATGTCTCGTTTCCTGAGATGTGATGTTTCTGACGCCTTTTTCCCAGGACCTGGGCACATGCCCACGAAGGCCACAGCTCGAAGTGGTCAGCGCTGTGCTCCCCTGCTCCCCTGCCCTCTCCCAGTGTGCCCCCCAGGAGAGCAGCCCCTGCTGCTGCTTAAGACACAGGTGCCCTCTGGGCTCTCCTCCTGCCAGGCTCCCTCGGAACCAGGCCAGGGGGTTCCAAACTCAGCCAGGGGCACCTGCCGCCCCCCTGAATGGGAACCAGGAGGCAGAGAGGCAGGAACAAAGCAGAATCTACCCTGGGTGTGGTGGCAGGGGCAGGGGAGGGGGCCGGGCGGAGGCGGCTGAGCCCCGAGTCCAGGGTCATGGTCACGGTGTCCTGTGGCCTGCTGGACCACTGCCGAAGGGCAACGTGGGACCTCGTTCCTGCTCCTGGTCCACAAGGCTGAGCGTCTGCCCTCCAGGTGTCCTACGAGGCCCCTGCGTCCAAACCTGAGGCTGCCCTGGGCCTTGAGGGGTGGCCGGCTGCCAGCCGAGAGCCATGACCTCACTTATCATCCGCTCGCTGTCCTTACACGTCCTGCCTCATTTCCTGCTCCCACGACCTGGTGAGGCGGGTGAGGCACGTTCAGTTGGGAACACAGGCTCAGAGGCCCAGCCTCAGGCCCAGAGGGGGCAGAGCCAGGCCCTGGGCAAGGAAGTGGGGCCCAGGCACATTCCCCACGCGCACCCCAGATACCTGTCTAATGAGCTAGTGGGGGCACAGAACGCCTGCCACATCTGAGGGGGCGGTTTCCAGAGCTGGGCCAGCCCACTCCAGCACTCCCATCCCCCGGCCCCACCCTCCTAGTCACCCGTGGCCCTGCTTCCAGCCTGCTAACCCTCGACGGTCTCACCCACTGGTGCTTTGGGGGGGGCTTAGGGCTGAACTCCCATCGCAGGAAGGCTCACAATTCCACGGCCCTCGGTGCGATCTCGACCTTGGGCCCCACCGCCCGCCAGTCAACCACAGGGCGATCCCACGAGGAAGCCCCACCCCCGCAGCGGCCCCTGCCCGGCTCTCCCTGCTCCCTGACCCGGTGCAGCGGCCCACCCCCGACGGTTCCTGTGGACAGAATCACACAGCACAAGGCTCTCTGGGTCCAGCGTATCTCACTCAGCTCCGTCTCTCGGGCCCGGCCCCGCTGTGGCTGCGCCAGAGCCTTGGCCCTTTCTCTGCGGCCGAGCACCAGTCCTCAGGGCGGCCTGCTCCTTCTCGGGTGGGTGACTGTGACTGGTGACGCCCCGAACATCCACGTGCAGGCTTTTGTTTGAAGACCTGATTCTAACCCTTTTGAGGACACGCTTTGGAGGACTGGCTGGATCACGCGATGACCCCATTCAATCGCTTGGGGACCCGCCAGGCTGGGCTCCGCCACGGGCACACTGTCTCAGGTCCCCAGCCAGCAGGGCCCGCGATCCACTGTCCCCACATGCCCACCGACATGCGGTGTTTTCAGCTTTGGTTTTTATCCTAGCCGTCCCCAGCCAGTCTGGGGTGGCCCCTGACCCACAGCTGTCCAAGGTCCCCTCCTCCCCTGGCCACAGCGGCCACCGCACTGTATAACAGGCAGCGTGGAAGCAGAGGACCAGACCAAAGGACATGCTGTCCTGCCCAGGGTCCGGGGCGGACCCTCTGAGTGGGGAGTCTGAGGTGCAGAGGTACAGCTGGTGCCCGGAGTCCGGCGGGGGACAGAGCCCGTCTGTCTGAGTCCAGGGAAGACCCCGCACAGCGGCCAGGGTGGCCCTGGGGCGGTGGAAGAAGGGGGAGCAGGCGGGCAGGGTGCGGAAGGGCAGGGAGCTCCTGGGGGGCGAGGCTGCAGCGCCTCTCCGCTTCTGCCCGCAGCCTCAGCAAAACCCAAACAGGAACTTGTTCCGGGCCAACGTGTGGGCCGCGTCGCCCCACAGCGAACGCGGGGAACCTCCCATGCTCCTCCCCGGCCTGGCCTGTCGCTGGCAACCAGGCTGCCACCCCGCTGAGCGCTGCACGGACTGCTTTCACGCATGGGCTCCCGTAATCCCACAGGAGCCCTCTGATGGGGAGACGGTCACTGCCCCACTTTAAAGAAGAGGAAATGGGGCACAGACAGAAGTCACGGGCCTTGCCCAGGAGCTCCCCGGCCAGGAAATGGCTCCGAGCCAGGCCAGCATCAAGCACAGCCCTCACAGGCAGGCCGTCCAGCTGGGCGCAGCGTTTCCCTGCCGGGGACTTGAAATCACAGGCCCCTAGTGCCAGAGGGGCCTGGGACAGGTTGTCCCCAGCACCTGGGTCGGCAGGGCTGGGAGACCGCCTCTCGATGGGGCCTGTGTCGGAAGTCGCTGCCTCTGGTCTGTCTCAAGCAGGGCCTTTAAGCCCAACAACAGGGGGGGCAGGCCAGTGTGGGTTTCCAGACGCTCAGAGCTGTCTCGGCACCTCCGGTAGCCCCCCTGGGCCTCGGGTCCCCCTCATCGGGAAGATGGGTGCACGGCTGCCCCCAGCACGCCTGCCCAGGGCCCTGCCCTCCCCTGCCCTGAGCCCAGGTGCATCTCCAGGGCCCCGAGGCTGACCTCAGGCTCTGAGGGTTGCATCCCAGCACCTCGCAGCCCTCGGGCGCTCACGGAGCAGCTCTCAGGGGCCCTGGTCGGCCTCCCACTGCCACTGTCCAGAGCCCGGCTGGAGCGGCCTGCTGGGTGCGTGCGGGGTGGGTGTTGTAACTCCCTAATCTCAGATCACCATCGCTCAGTGCTCAGGGCCAAAGGGGCCCGGGCGGACTACAAAGGCAGGGGCCAGCACAGCTGCGGCCAGAGCCCCTGGCGGCCTCTGATCTCCTGGCCTAGAGGGGCCGCTGGTGCCTTCCAGGGGACACCGCTTGCCCACTGCTCCGGATTGGAAGGGGGCTCGGGGAGGCCTGCCTCAGCTCTAGACTCCGTCCCAGAAGGTAAGTTCTGGGTGTCATAACATCCGGCCGGAGGCAGCTGGGAGGGGAGCGGACGCTGGGGGCACCAGGGGAGTGCACAAATGCTTTTCTGTCTCTGTCTCCCCACCCGCCTGGGGAGAAGCCTCCTAGGTAAACACCTGCCCCCTCCCCATTTTGATTTCTGACAAGAAGTCTCCTGTGCCCCCAGTTTGGTGGTCTGGGAAGGTGAGGTGATGGTCAGGTACAACGGTCAGTGGAGGTCACTGAGCTGAGGCCAGGCCAGCAACTCTTCCATCCTAGCCCCCTGTCCATGTCACCCCCATCCCCCCAAGCTGCAGGGCAGGGAGTGGGTCCGGGGTCCTCGGCTGGAGCGCTGAGGCCAGGGCCCACCGAGGGAAGACCCAGAACCGCAGTCGAGGCCCAGCGGCCTCAGCAGATGGCAGCGCCCCCTCTGGCCCCAGTGCCTCCCAGGGTCGCCCAGAATCTGTCCCGCCAGGCACGGGGCCCCGCAAATCCTCCTCGGCTCTGCCTAGGGGCGCCCGGTCCCTCCTGCACCGTTGCCTACGGCGCCCGGGCCTCGGGCCACACCTGTCCGCTGCTCCAGGAGGCCCCGGGTGCTCAGCAGACGCGGAGGCCCCTAGACGCGGAGCCCTAGGTCCGCCGTCGCTTTGATCCCGGGGGCCCCGCAGGATAAAAGTCCTGGGAGGCGCTGCGCCAGCGCTAGACAGCGAGGCAGCCGAGCCGGGCGCACGGCGGGCTGGTGGTGCGCGACGAGCGACGCCGAGAAGCCCGGGCAGCGGGGCCGCGGTGAGCGGGGTTTTCCGGGCCCGCTCGAGGAGGGGTGTGCACCGGGGTCCCGGGGCGCCTGGCAGCTACACCCCGGGCCTGGGCAGCGGGGGTGAAGGGCGGCTCAGGTGAGCGCGCCCACCCTGCGCCCCCGGCCCGTCGGGCCCGGACGCCGAGCGGCGGGCGGAGTGCCCCCAACTCGGAAAAGCCCCGCTCCTTCCCCGCCGCCGCCCTCGCCGCACCCCCTTCCAGCTGTCCCGGGGGCGGGGGCAGCGGCGCCCGTCTGGCCGCGGCGATTGGAGCCGCCGGGGCCGCGGGCCGCGCTGCCCCCCACGGAGCCGGGCCGGGAGCGCCTCCGGCGGCCGCGCCGGGGTAGTCCAGGCCCCTCTGTCAGGCTTGCGGTTTGGGAAGAAAAGGCGATGCCTCCGCCAAGAAAAGAGCGAGCGCGGTCCCCTCCCCCTCCGCCGAGCCCGGGCGGCGGCGGCGGCACATCTAACGCGCGGGCACCCGGGCCGCCGCGGCCCCCGCAAACTACGCCCAGGCTCGGCCCCCGCCGCTCATTGGCGCGGGCGGGAGCCAGCGCACCCAGACCCTGCGCTGCCCTCGGCCGGCCGCGCGCGCAGCCCGAGCTGCCCCGGCCACGGCGCCTAAACCCCGGAGCCTCGACGCCGACCTCCCGGGCCTCCTGGGCTGGGCCCAGCGCCGGCAGCCGGGCGAGCCAGCAGGCGCGGCCCGCGCCCCTCAGCCCCGACGCCCCCGGCCCGGCGCCCCCACCGCCGCCGCCGCCTCACGGCCGTCCGCTCTCCGCAGGTGGCCGCCGGCCGGATCGGCGCGGCCATGGGCCGAGGGGTGCGCGTGCTGCTGCTGCTGAGCCTGCTGCACTGGGCCGGGGGCAGCGAGGGCAGGAAGACCTGGCGGCGCCGCAGCCAGCAGCCGGCCCCGCAGCCGCCCCCGCAGCCGTCCCCGCAGCGGGCCGAGGCAGCGCCCGCGGCCGGACCGCCGGTGGAGAGCTTCCCGCTGGACTTCACGGCCGTGGAGGGCAACATGGACAGCTTCATGGCGCAGGTCAAGAGCCTGGCGCAGTCCCTGTACCCCTGCTCCGCGCAGCAGCTCGACGAGGAGCTGCATCTGCACCTTCTGCTCAACACGTCGGTGACTTGCAATGACGGCAGCCCCGCCGGGTAAGGCCGCGCCCGCCCCCCCGACCGAGCGGTGCGCCCCTGCCGGGGGCCCCCGCCGGGCTCCGCAGCGGGGCTGCGAGGTCGCCTCCGAGTCCCGTCCCCGGTCCCGATGCAGGGAGTCTTCGTGCCGGACCCTCCCGACTGGCCGTGGCGGCTCCCGCCCCCAGGGGAGAGGCTCCCGTCGGGCTCCTGGAGCCGCTGCGCTCGGCGCAGAGCAGGCGCCCCGACTCCCCGCGCCGGGGCTGGGGCAGCGCTGGAAGCGCTGGTCCCCGTCCAGCCCGGGCACTGACCTCTCGGCCACCGGTGCCCAGACCCTCTGCTCGTGTCCTTCGGTCCCTGGGTAGGGAGATGGCGGTCCTCGGGTGGCCCTGGCTCCAACAGGAGTAGGCGACGCGGCGGGGCGGGGAGAGCCCTGCCGTACCCCCACCCCCACCCCAGCCCTGCTAAGGTCGGCTCCCTGCTGCTGCCCCGGCGGCCGGGGGCCCCAGCGGGCCGAGGGCCGGGGAGGGGGCGCAGGTGGGGAAGAAGGACTGGAGAGCGGCATTCACCCCTCCCCATCCCCAAAATAGATCAAGGCAGGACGCGAGGCTGAGGGCTGGGGAGGAGCGCGCGGAGCCCACACGCTCAGCCGGGCGGCAGCCCGAGGGGCCGGGTGTTAGGTCGGGCCTCGGCAGGAAGGCGGCGACCCGCCTCGGTGGCGCCCGCGCCCCTTCGCGCCCGCCGGCGCGTCCCGGGCGCCCGCGCCGCGCACACTGCTCCGGCGGGGTCGCTTGCGCTTTCCAAGCGCCACTGTGCGTCCCAGGAGGATCTCGAGTCCCAGAGAAGGCTCCCGCCCCCCTGCCCGGCCGCCGGCGCCGAGGTTACATCCCGTCTCGCGCGGGGCGGGCCGTGGGGATTTTCCACGGACCACACAGCCCCTCGCGGCGGGTCCCCGCCCCGCGAGCGCCACCTCGCGGGCCTGGCCGCCACCGGCCACCCTTGCGTGCGGCGGGGACATGGCCGCGGGCGCCCCCATGCGGCCGGCGCGGGCCCGGCGACAGGTGGAATGACCCTTTCCTGCCCGGCGCCGGGCCCGGCGCACAGCTCACCGCCCGCCCGCGCTCCTTTGCAGCTACTACCTGAAAGAATCCAAGGGCAGTCGGCGGTGGCTCCTCTTCCTGGAAGGTGCGTCCCAGGGGCCGGGGCGGGGGCGGGCGGGGCCCCTGGGCGCGCAAGCCCTGAGCGGTGGCTGTGCCCGCAGGCGGCTGGTACTGCTTCAACCGGGAGAACTGCGACTCCCGCTACAACACCATGAGGCGCCTCATGAGCTCCAGCGACTGGCCGAGCACCCGCACAGGTCGGCAGGGAGCGGGCGGCCGGAGGCACCTGGGCGGAGGGGAGGGGTGGGCCTCCCGGGGTTCACAACTGGAAGTCCTGGCTCCGCTCGCCGGAACCCCAGAAAGGCCCTGCCCCGCCCCTCTCTGAACTTCCTAAGCTCTGGGCACCCTCACGCTCGCCCTGATTTCTTAGTCACAGGTTACCTGCCGGGGCTGACTTGTGTGCGGCTCAGGGACACGGGTCATCCCTAGGTCAAAGCAGCAGGTGGAGGGCAGGGGCGATCCAGGGCCACATCCAGGGGTCACATCCTGGCTGGTCCCTCTGGCCGTGATGACTTCGTCTATTTTCCACTTCCCCAACCACCTTGGCTCCAGGCAGCACAGCAACCACCTTTTAGAGGCCCCGCAGGACACCCCCACATCCCAGCCCTTCCTGCAGTCCCCACCCCTGCACACAGCCCCCTTCCACCAGAAGGACCCACTGCCTCTGTTCTCCCCCGGTGCAGGCACGGGGATCCTGTCCTCCCAGCCAGAGGAAAACCCGCACTGGTGGAATGCCAACATGGTGTAAGAGGGAACTGGCGGGGCCTTCCTGGGGAGCGGCCTTCCCTGGGCTGAGGCTGTGGAGGGGCAGGGTGGGCTCACTGTCCCTGTGTTGCAGCTTCATCCCCTACTGCTCCAGCGACGTCTGGAGTGGGGCTTCGCCCAAGTCCGACAAGAGTGAGTGCCCCGCCCGCCCCCACCCCGTTCCCCCTCCCCAGACCAGACTGGGAGGCTCAGACCTTCAGCCTCGTGACTCCCTCTGACCCTGACACCAGCCTGTCCCAGGGCCGTGCTGTCCGGGCTGGCCTGGCCTCCATGGGGGTCCCCACTGCTGCTGTCCCATGGGAGGGGCCCCCAGTATGGCCATGAGTGCCTGGCCCACCTCCCTTTAGTCTCCCCAGCCCCCAGCCAGGAGGGACCCCTTCTCCTTCCAACCTGGAACAGGAGGCCTGGCCCTGGGTCCAGGCTGCCTCCTGAAGCCGCCCCCTTCTCCGTGCAGATGGATACGCCTTCATGGGCACCCTCATCATCCAGGAGGTGGTGCGAGAGCTGCTGGGCAAGGGGCTGAGCGGGGCCAAGGTGCTGCTGCTGGCAGGCAGCAGGTGGGCTGGGCCAGGGCCTGGGGGGGGGGGCCCAGCTTCACTGTCTGGAAGGTGCTTCCATACTGGGTGCTGCAGTTGTGAAAGAGGCCCTCAGGCCTGGGGACCTAGGCAGGCGGTTAGCAGGTAGCTGCAGACCAGCGTGCCTTCTCCAAAGCCACAGGTCCTGGGAGGCTGGGGTCTTAGTCACGGTGTCCCAGCAGGCATGCACGGGGCCCTGGGGACATCTGGGGGGACAGAGGAAGGGCTGAGGCCACAGAGTGCGTCTTTATGGTCAGACTAGGAAACTGAGGCAGAGGGAGAGAGGAGGGGAGGGAGGTTCGGGAGGGAGCACGTCACCTGGACCCAGTGCTGGGTCCGCCTCCAGGACCCCAGTGCACCAGAACCCTCCTTGGGGCAGGGGCTCAGCTCTGCAGGCTCTGGGGGCTGAACGCTCTCCTCCCCCGCAGCGCGGGGGGCATCGGGGTGCTGCTGAACGTGGACCGCGTGGCTGAGCAGCTGCAGGAGCTGGGCTACCCGGCCATCCAGGTGCGGGGCCTGGCCGACTCGGGTTGGTTCCTGGACAACAAGCAGTACCGCCGCACAGGCTGCATGGACATCCTCACCTGCGCACCCACGGAGGCCATCCGCAGAGGCATCAGGTGCCCTGGAGGGGGCTGGGCTCTGGTGGCGTCCATCTGTGGGAGGAGGAGCGGGGGTGGGGCCCCGGACGACCTGAGCTGTGCGTGCGGCCCAGGTACTGGAACGGCTTGGTCCCGGAGCGCTGCCGGCGCCAGTTCAAGGAGGGCGAGGAGTGGAACTGCTTCTTTGGCTACAAGATCTACCCGACGCTGCGCTGTGAGTGTGTCAGCAGGGGGCGCCCGCGGGACAGGCGGGGGCGGGGCCTGTGCCTCCAGCCTGGAGTCCCGCCCCCAGAGGCCAGGCTCAGGCCACTGGCCAGACCTGCAGCAGAGAGACAGACGTGTCCCGTTTCCCTGGGACTCTCCTGGCCTTAGCACTGAGTCTGCTTGGTCCGGGGCAGACTAGGAGGGGGCTGGAGGGCAGAGTGGGGGGCGCAGGGATTGCCTGCCCACTCTCTCGGTGAGGAGCTGGCTGGGGGAGCCAACCCCCAAAGCTGCTGCTGGGCAGCAGGACCCCGGCTTCCCCCCCACACACACACCCACGTGCTGGGGAGCAGTAAGATCCCGGGCCAAGAGACATCATCATTACCAAATCTTGGTTGAAACAAGTCCCTGGGAGGCAGGCTAAGGTGGTGGTGAGGTGGGTGGGCTTAACAAGGCACCCACATTCAAGGAAGGGTGGCCAGCTGGCCCGGACTGGGAGACCCTGAGTGAGCCCGGGGAGGGGGTGGGGGCAACGACCACCAGGCGAGCCCAGCTGAGCGGTGCCCCCAGGCCCGGTGTTCGTGGTGCAGTGGCTGTTTGACGAGGCCCAGCTGACCGTGGACAACGTGCACCTCACGGGGCAGCCGGTGCAGGAGGGCCAGTGGCTGTACATCCAGAACGTGGGCCGGGAGCTGCGGCACACGCTCAAGGACGTGTCGTGAGTGCAGCCCCTCCCGTGGCGGGGAACTGCCAGGCTGTGAAATGGGGTCCTGAGGGGCCCAGACCTGCCTCTGGTGCGGGCCCACCCTGGGACGTCCCGGCCCTGGGGAGACATGGGCTGTGTCTGGGTGTGAACAGGTGTGGGGGCCCCGAGGGGCACGTCACTCAGTGAGAGAGGCCAGTCTCCGCTTAGGGGGGCTGTAGGTCACGAACTGTCCCCAGTGGGCCACCTGGTGGGGTGTTGAGAGTGGGACTGAGGAAGAGGGGCCAACCGGAACTCTGGGCCACCCCTCGATTTTACTGTGCGCATAAAACTTTTTAATAAAATTAAGCCTGTTTTAAGATGGCGCGGTGCTTGCCTGTCCGACATGGCCCCCCACAGCCAGACACCAAGCAGGACATGGAGGCAGGAAGGGACCAGGGTTAGCAGGGGGCACACGGGTGGAGACAAGGCGTGGGTGAGGAGCAGCTGGCAGGGAGAAGGGGAGGACAGGCTCCAGGGGTGGGGGCACAGGGTGGGGAAGGGGCAGGAGGGGCGGGGCCGCTCACCAGCCGGTGTCTCTGCACAGGGCCAGCTTCGCCCCTGCCTGCCTCTCCCACGAGATCATCCTCAACAGGTCAGTGCGCCCTCTCCCCTCCCTCCCGGCTTCCTTCCAGGGCTGCCAAAGCCATGCAGACAACCCGCTGTGTGTCCAGGGTGCGGTGGCAGCTACGGTCGCCCACTCTGGCCACAGCCTAGTGACCCCTGCCGGGTTTCCACCCACAGCCACTGGACGGATATCCAGGTGAAGGGGACCTCGCTGCCGCGGGCCCTCCACTGCTGGGACAGAAGCCTCCAGGACAGCCACAAGGCCAGCAAGGCCCCTCTGAAGGGCTGCCCGGTCCACCTGGTGGACAGCTGCTCCTGGCCGCACTGCAACCCGTCTTGCCCCACCATCCGGGATCATTTCACGGGGCAGGAGATGAGTGTGGCCCAGTTCCTCCTGCACCTGGGCTTCGACGTGCACACCGTGGCGCAGCAGCAGGGCCTGGAGCCGGGCAGGCTACTTGGGATGCTGAGCAGCGGGAGCTAGGCCGCCCGCCACCCTCCTGTCCTCCTGGGATGGCCCAGCCCGGGCTGGCAGCGCCCACGCCCGGTCTGGATGCCCGCCCCCAGCAGCCTTCACTGCCCCTCCACCACCTCTGACAAGAGGCCTAGCCGCAGGCAGCGGCCTCGGGGACCCCCCCCCCCCGCCAGCCTCGCCCGCCTGCAGCCCGCAGCGGGGAGCCAGAGCACTGGATTCCTCAGCACCCCGCACCCCAGCCCCCAGCCAGCCCTGGCCTCTCCTGCCCTCTCATATTATTTTATAAAGTGACTCTTTTATTACTTTAATTTTTTAAAGGAAAATAAGCAAGAAATATATGACGAATGATATTGTTTTGTAACATATATTTTTAAATAATGAAAATCAAGACGACAAAAGAACTTCTCCCTGCAAACGTGTTTATTTCATCGGAGTGGGCCAGCCTTGCACCCTCCCCCACCCCTGGCCTCCCCCCAACCCTGGCCAACGGCAGAGGGAGGGAGGATCAGGAGCCCACACCCACCTCATGTCCCATTCCGGACCCTCCCTCAGGAGGACTGGCCCCCCACCCCCCGCCCGGTCGGTTCACTCGTTCAGCCAATGCCGGGCAGAGAGACCTGGAATCAGGGACAGCAGCTTGTGGTCTGTTCATCCTGCCGCCCAGGTGGCCCACACAGGCGTCCACCGCCCAGTTTCAGGGTGCTGGCTCGGCGTTTGCACACGCGGAGTCCTGTCACCACTGGCGATCTCTGAGCACAATGTCATTGTCACTCCAGAAAAACACCCCCTTCTCAGCCACAGCTTTGCTTCAACTCAGCCACGCCTGTGCTAAGCTCACGACCTGAAGGCAGCGGGTCTGAGGGTGAGAAGTCCCCCTAGTCCAGCCCCTGGCCCCGCCCCCCAGAACAGAAGTGCCAGCTCTCCTGTGGGGGGTCCCAGAGGACCCAGTCCTCCAAAGACATGCACACATACACACACACGTATGCACACTCTTCACAAACCACAGTCACTTCTTCTGGTGCCTGGGGCCTAGGAGAGCCGTGCTGGCACTGCCCAGCACGCTGGGCACTGGGAAGGGTGTCCCTGCGAGAGCCCCCAGGGGCGAGACTGTGTCTCCGCTCCCTCGGGTGGGGCTTCCCAAGCGCTCCCTGCACTGAGCACCTTAAGTGGCATCCATTCCCCCAGCTGCCCTACAGGTAGATTTTATCACAAACCTCAATATACAGACCAATAAACTGAGGCCCAGAGAGGCTCCACGGTGGGTTGTAAGGGATGGAGGTGGGCTCCACTCCTGGCCTCGGCCCACACCTGTGAGGGCAGCCTGGGCCGCTACCCCACGCACCTGGGGCCCTTATCGGCACTGGCTGCTCCGGGTGGAGCTCAGTGGCCCATCTGTGCTCTCCTCCCTGGTCCCCTGGGGGACCCCCAGAGCCCCAGTGGGAGACAGCGAGGTCAGCGATGGGGTGGCCAAAGGCGGGAGAAGAAAGGAGGGGTCCCTGGAGGTAGCTGCTGGCTTGGGGGAGCAGCCCCCCTCAGGCTTCCCAGATGGCATCAGAGAGTCCCACAGGGTGATGGGCTCCCAGCAGGACGGGGGCTGGCTGGACCCGAGAGGGCTCCCACTGCCACTTACCTGGGGAGGCATCCTGAGTGAAGGGCCTGCCACACACAGGCAGAGCGGGGGGCACGGGGGGCCGCAGCCCAGACCCAGCCCTTCCCGCAGAAAAGGCGGCACGGCAGCCAGGAGGTCGAGGACCCCTGGGGCCGCACAGCCGTCCCACCTCCTCAGAGGTGGGGCTCCAGGGCCCATCGCAGCCGACACCTGTGGGTTAGGCCCCGTGGGGTTGCACCAAGTGAACAAACCCTTTGTCCCTGTGGCCCCGAAAAGAAGGGAGAGGCGTGGCCACCTCAGCTCCGTGGTCAGTCCACGTGGCGCTTCCCTGGGGGCCGGTGACAGAAGGTGCCCGGATGCTCGGGAACGCCAGGTGCCGTGAAGCTTCGGCGCCTGCGCGGTGCCAGCCTGGCGGGCAGAGCTGCCATCTTGGCCTTCGTAGAGCCGCTGCCGCCTGATACGGTCCGGTCACGCGGTTCCTGTAAGAACAAAGGTGCGCAGGACAGAAGCCACCAAGGTGTCCCTGCGTAGGTGACCAAGTAAACAAATGGTGGCCCTTCCAGACGGTGGTGTGTGGCTCGGCACCAGGAAGAGGTGAGCTGTCCCACCGTGCAGGGAGGAACCTGAGGCGCTCGGACTGGCTGGAAGCAGCCGGGCCTCTGGGAAAAGGCAACACTGTGTCAGCAGAGACCAGGGGGTGTGGGGGCGGGGGCGGGGGCTGGAGAGCAGACGCAGAGGAAGGACGTCCGGGGCAGGACACCGCTGTGTGTGTGCGGCTGTGGCGGTGGGCACGGCTGTTTGCCTGTTCGTCCAAACCCACGGGGTGCTCGACACCAGAGCGAACCGAACGCCCCTGGTGGACTCTGGGTGACGGCGACGTGTGACTGTCGGTGCGGTCGGTGCGGGAATTGTCACCAGTGCACCACCTGGTGGGAATGTTGGTGGTGGGGGAGGCTGAGGGTGGGAGGGGTGGATGGGAAATCCTTGTACATTCTGCTCAATGCTTCCATAGACCTAAAATTGCTCTAAAAAATCGGACCCATTTCGCCCTGGCTGGTGTAGCTCAGTGGATTGAGCACGGGCCTGCGAACCAGCAGTTCGATTCCCAGTCAGGGCACCATGCCTGGGTTGCAGGCCAGTTCTCAGCAGGGGACACACGAGAGGCAACCATAAAAGAAAAAAAAAATCAGACCCATTTAAAAACTGCTCAGGCACTCACCCCAAACCCACGGGCTGCTTCACCATTGTCAGCGGGAGCATGACCTTTGCTGCCCTGGGACCTGAGGCCTGGAACTTGCCCTCAGCGTCAGCCCCGATCTCAGAGTTCAACTCTGTGCTTAAAGAACTCCGGGGATCCCAATGTCCAGGCAGGGCAAACACGTGGCCACCTCTCCGCCCCGTTCCCTCTGCCGGCGCAGTGGCCCTGACCTCCAGGTCCTGCCCAGGGCCCCTCCCTCCCGAACGCGGCCCACCCGGGCCTCTGGTGTCCACGGAGCTCCTGCCTCTCCTTCTGCACGGACACCTGGGCCCAATCGCACCCCCGAGGCGGCCCCCAGCTCCCTCTCTCACCCGTTGCTTCCTTTCTCCACACAGCACACTCCTCCCACTGTGCACGCTGCTGTAACTGTGGGCTTCAGCGTCTGGGTCGCTCCAGAAACGCAGGGACTTGTGTGTCTCTGGGGCCAGGCACTCCGCACACACAGCAGGGGCGTCTGTTGGGGGGCAAAACGTTCGTTGGAAGAAGTAGGAAGAAAAAGATAGTAACACGCTCCTAGCAGTTTTAAAGCCATGGAGAGAAGTAAGGAGCAGAAAACCCAGAGATTTCGGTAAACTTTGACATACGTGTTTTACTGACTTCTGCAGGCCATTTTACAAAAATCGTTTTAACATTTGTAAAAGACTTTCTTTATTTATTTTTCAACTACAGTATTCTGTCTTTTACTCCCGTCCAAGCCCACCCCCCTTTATTTATTTATTTTTAGAGAGAGGGGAAGGGAGGAAGAAAGAGAGGGAGAGAAACATCAGTGTGTGGTTGCCTCTCATATGGCCCCTACTGGGGACCCAGCCCGCAGCCCAGGCATGTGCCCTGACTGGGAATCGAACTGGTGACCCTTTTTCTCCCCCAGGCCAGCGCTCAGTCAGTCGGCTGAGCCACACCAGCCAGGGCAAACACTTTTCCGATAACAGTATTTGTTTACACAGAGGCTTGTTAGAGCTTGGGAAAGGACGCCCCATAGCAAGATGCACCCCCAGCCCCCAGACCGTGGCTGCTGCTGCTGTCCCCTCATCGGGGGGCCGGGCCCGGAACAGGAGCGCCCTCAACTCAGGAGGTGCAAACGCACGGTGGCCCGCTACACGGCAGGGTGTGCGTGAGGACACGGGGACCCTGGAGGGGCCAAGGCTGGGAGGCTCTCAGCAACAGAACAACGAAAAAAGTAGTTTTGGGTTTTAACCCAAAGTATAAAATAAATGGGCCTAAAAAGGGGGTGTTTTGTCGGGGTTAAATTAAATTTTTGTGGTTGTGTTGGTTTCTTTGTTGGTGGGGGGGGGGGGGTTTTATTTAATTTAATTAAAAAATAAAATAAATGGGTCTGAGTCTGTACTGATATAAAAAATAATTGAATATACAGAGGAGAAAAGACCAATCTCTTAGAGAATTCCAAATAATGTTTGTAGATTCCCTCCTGTCAAGGCAAGGGGTCCCCCTGCCAGTGTGGGCTCAGGGAGAGGACAGCGTGCAAAAGGGGAGGTGTCCTGCAGAGGGGACACCGGGGAACCGCCTCAGCCAGGTGACTAAGGTCACATCGCCGTGACTCGTGTTGAGAGCAGGACCTTGACCTGACCACTGACAAGGGCGCCTTGCCTCCGTGGTCTCCCTGCCCCAGCCCACGAGGCCAGACGGATACTGAGAGAACCGGCAGGCACTCAGGTCCCAGCGCAGGGACGTCTGCACAAGCCCCGCCCAGCACCAGCCCCGTCTGAGCCGCAGCTGCTGCCCCAGCAGCCCGCGGAGTCCCGCCACCCACTCGTCAGGGGAGGTTCTGCCCAGAAGAGCAAAAGAAAGTGGGAGAGAAACATCAGTGTGTGGTTGCCTCTCTCTCACGCCCCCTACCGGGGACCTGGCCTAAAACCAAGGCATGTTCCCTGACTGGGAATCCAGCCTGTGACCCTTTGCTTCACAGGCCTGCACTCAATCCACTGAGCTACACCATCCAGGGCTAAACCTAGCCATTTTTAATGGTAGTAAGACATACTTTGTTCATTTTAAAAATTATTCTTTTTTCTACTTTAGAAAGTAACAGCTGTTCATTCATCTCAGAAAAGTTGGGAAACACTACAGAAAAGCCACCCAGGCCAGGTACCCAGTGGGTCAGAGTGTTGTCCTGATGCGCCAAGGTTGTGGGTTTGATCCCGGGTCAGGGCACATGCACGGATCAACCAATGAATGCATTAGAAAGTGGAACAACATATCCTGGCTGGTGTGGCTCAGTGGATTGAGCGTCAGCCTCCAAACCTTTAAAGGGTCGCTGGTTTGATTTCCGGCCGGGGCACATGCCGGGGTTGTGGGCTGGGAGGCGTGGCTGGGTTCGCTGTTCGGATTCTCTGAGCTCTGAACTTGGGCTGGATGGTGGTGGCACTGTGTCCACCTGAGATACAGGGGCTGCTCCGAGCAGATGGCCTCTTCCCAGCCACAGTGTCCCGGGGCAGTGGGGTTTGGCCAGGAGGTCCAGGGAGGCTCACGGGGGTCCTTCCTGAGGGTGTGCGGGATCTGCGGGTGACCTGACCCGGGTGACAGCAAGTGGGTGGGTGTCCCTGGGGTGGGACGTCAGGGTTACTGCAGTGCTCAGGCTCCCCTGAAAACCCATGGGGGCCCCCGCTTTATCACGGCCGGGACTACTCTGGAAACATCCCAAACAGGTGCGTTAGGTTGGATGGCAAGACTCTCCTTTCAAAGGGGGGGTTGCTATTGACAGAGTAGCTGACCACAGACACTGGGGCCCCCCGGGGTGTAGATCGGGGACACTCCCCAACCAGACGGCCGGGCTGCTGGTGCTAGGGCATCCCAATGTCACACCGCCCCCTGGTGGATGTGCTCAGCAGACGCTGTGCCCCAGCTGGGTTTCCGGCCAAGAAGGTCACTTGGCCAGAACCCACCCATGAGGAGACAGTCCGGCCGCGCATGCTGAAGGACAGTCTGTGAAGCCATGGGTGTGGACTCTGCGAAGCAGCAGTGGGGGGAGACAGCAGAGAAGCGGGGGAGACTGGGAGGGGCAGCAGCCGCCTGCACAGTCCCCACTAGACGCCAGACACTGGGTGGGAACTACAGAACTACAGCCTGCGTTCAGGGTCGGGACGGGGGGGGGGTTCTGAGCGAGGACCGAGGTGCGGCCATGAGTCTTCCAGGTGTGAGTGTCGGCTCAGGCCGCGCATTCGTTCTCGGCAGGAGCCCGACGTGGAAGTGCCTTGGGACTGACTGTCCTGTCCGCAGAACCGACACCATCCCCAGACGGGCGAGCGGGAGGGGGAAGGCGGGCGGTGACGCAGCGGTGATTCCCGCATCCAGGGGAGTGTTGGTGGTGCCGCGTCCCAGCGCTTCCGTGGACGTGCGGTTCCCCGGTGACCGTGGGGAAACGCCCACGACCGCGTCTTCAGGCGTACACACGTGTAAGGAGGTGTTCACGGGGGCGGACGGAGTGACAGGGCCACAGGGACTGCTCTGTGTCTGCTCCTGTCTTGGTGGGACATGCATTCAGGACGGAATTTGTCATTTTTAAAGACGTTTCATCCATTATTAATATTATAGCATAAAGAATGTGGGGAGTTGAGTTTTTCTAGGTGTTTACATGTCTAGTATGGGGACAAGCAGAAAGCCCCATAATGCCCCCTCCCAAATAATAACCAAAACTCCACCCCAGGTCAGGTGGGGGCCTGTGGGAAAAGGGGGACACCGGGTCTCCAGAGCCCCCCTCCCTGCCCCCCATCTCTCCAGGAAGAGAGCTGAGCGAGGGTCCCAAGCACGGTGACGACGGGGTCCTGGAACCACCTGGGTCTGGGCAAAGCCACCTTCTGGAAGGGCAGGAAGGGACCCCCCTCCCCCAACCCTCCCCCTTCTCAAACAAGAGTCCAGGAGGCTGCTGGAGCTGAAGGGACTGGGAGGAACCTGGTTGAGCTCTGGAGCTCTGCTCTCTGCTCCCCCGCCCGCCCCCCCAGCCCCCTCGGGCTGGGGAGCTCCTGACAGACAGTTGCAGGTGCTGTGGTGGGGGTGGGGCCGTAGCCCAGGGGTTAACGACCCCAGCAGGGGCTTGGCCCGGACACAGGGGTCAGATGTTCCAGCCTCTGATCACAGCCGCCTATTTATAGCACGGGGGGGGGGGGGGGGGGCCTTGGCTCTCCCCACACCAGCAGCAGAGAGGCCGCCTGCTGCAGTGTCACCGCGTCACCGCCTCCGCCACTGCCGGCTGCCGGCACCGGACAGGGCAGCTGAAGGAGACACAGGGGCCACAGCCCGGCAGGACCCCGGGCCGCCAGGTGTCGTGTGAGGCAAGGGAGCGGCCGGTCAGATGGGCAGCACCCTGGAGCCCCCCGGGGGCGGGTACCTGCACCTGGGCGCAGTGGCCTCACCGGTGGGCACGGCCCGCGCACTGCAGCTGGCCTTCGGCTGCACCACCTTCAGCCTGGTGGCCCACCGCGGCGGCTTTGCGGGCGTCCAGGGCACCTTCTGCATGGCCGCCTGGGGCTTCTGCTTCGCCCTCTCCGCCCTGGTGGTCGCCTGCGAGTTCACCCAGCTGCACGGCTGCCTGCGCCTCTCCTGGGGCAACTTCACCGCGGCCTTCGCCATGCTGGCCACACTGCTGTCGGCCACGGCCGCCGTCATCTACCCGCTGTACTTCACCAGGCTGCAGTGCCCGCCTGAGCCCGCGGGCTGTGCGGCCAGGGACTTCCGCCTGGCCGCCAGCGTCTTCGCCGGCCTCCTCTTCCTGGCCTACGCCGCAGAGGTGGCCCTGACCCGGGCCCGGCCCGGCCAGGTGGCCAGCTACATGGCCACGGTGTCTGGCCTCCTCAAGATCGTCCAGGCCTTTGTGGCCTGCATCATCTTCGGGGCACTGGTCCATGACAGCCACTACGGGCGCTTCGTGGCCACGCAGTGGTGCGTGGCTGTCTACAGCCTGTGCTTCCTGGCCACGGTGGCCGTGGTGGCTCTGAGTGTGATGGGCCACACCGGCGGCCTGGGCTGCCCCTTCGACCGCGTGGTGGTGGTGTATACCTTCCTGGCTGTGCTCTTGTACCTCAGTGCTGCGGTCATCTGGCCGGTGTTCTGCTTTGACCCCAAGTACGGCGAGCCCCGGCGGCCCCCCGACTGCCCTCGGGGCAGCTGCCCCTGGGACAGCCAGCTGGTGGTGGCCACCTTCACCTACATCAACCTGCTCCTCTACGTTGCCGACCTCGCCTACTCCCAGAGGATCCGCTTCGTGCCCACCCTGTAGCCCCCCGGGCAGCTGCCCGCCCACCACTGCTCTGCAAGGTGCCAGGTGCCTGGGAGAGGAAGCCAGGGGAGGCCCCCAGCTCAGGAGGGGAGGGCTGGGGGACAGAGTGGCCGGAGGCCCTGAGCAGGACACCAAAGGGGCCTCTGCCGGCAGCTCCCAGCCCCCCTCTCTCCGTCTGTCTGTCCCTGTCTCTGTCTGTCTCTCCAGTCCCTGGCCCTCCCTGGCACCGCGGTGGTCGCTGGAAGAGGCAGGTGCTGCGGTGACCCACTTTGCACATGGGCTCACCAAGGCTGGATTTAGGTGGCCCCGGTTGTCCGTCAGTGTCTGCAGCCCACACTGGGGCTGGGTGACCGACTGTTGAAGAGGGGACAGCTCCCAGAGGTGCAGGAAAGGGGCGGAAGGGGGCCCTGGAGAGGGGCGGAGCTGCGCCGTTGGGGGCCGTGGGGGCCGGCCCTCCTCCAGCATTCAGGGGGCAGCCCCCGCACCCTGGAAGGACAGCCGCCCGAGCAGGGCCCTGCTGGGGTCTGTGCCAGCTCAGAGAGAAGGAGCCGGAATCAGGACCTCAGCGCACACGCCTCCCACCAGCCGTGGACGTGGGAAGCAGAGCCAGGACTGTGGAGTGGCCACTCAGGGCAGCCTCTGCGGCCGGAGAGGACGAAGGTGGCCTGCAGGGGCCCCCAGAGGCCAGCTGCCCTGCAAGAGCGTGTTGAGGAGAAGCTGGGCTTCTCCCCCACCCAGGCAGCCCCCCACCACTGGCCCCCACACAGCAGCTTCTCAGGGCCTGCTGCCGGCCCGGGCGAGGCTGGCCTGGGGCCGCCACTGGGGTTCAGAGCCTGGGCACCGGGTTCTCCCCTGGTGGTTGCAGGCCCAGCACCTCCATCTGCTCAAGTGTCCGTTTGCCTGGGTGCTGACCTTCAGGGCCCGATGGCCATTGTCCACCGTGCTCCAGACAGCTTCTCCCATTCAAGAGCCCAGCCTGGGCCTGCCCGGGGCAGCCTGCTGGCCGCCTCTGAGCCCAGCGGCCCCTCAGCCCACGGATGGGTGCAAGGCCTCGAGCAAGAAATAAATGCTGACGCTGATTCACGCCCTGGTCTGGTGAGCAGTCTTGGCATCTCCTGGGCCGCCCCGCCTGCTGGAAGGCAGCAGCCGTGGGGCCCCAGGCCACTCTGGGGAGGGGACAGCCTCCGAGGAAGGGGCAGGTGGCCCCCTCTCCCTCGGTGAGGAGCATGGAACAGAAGGGCGGAGCCAAGCGTGTGCGTCCCAATCCCAGTGGTGCTCAGCATGCACCGCCCCCTGCCCCCCACAGGGGTTTCTGGGTCCCGAGCACAGTGGTGGGCAGAGGGGTGCGGAGCCACCGTGGGCAGTGGAGCCCAGGCAGGTTTCAGGCACGGGCTCCAAGGGCCCTGAGCTGGCAGCCCGCAGAGTGGGAGACAAATCAGGCCCCTGCCCACTAAGGAAGGCACTCAGACGAGGAGCCGTAGCCGGGGGCAGGTGTGCCAGGCAGATCCCCGCAGGGGGCGGGAGCCCATGTCCTGAGGTGTCCTGAGGGACCCCACCCACTGAGGGGAGGTTGCAGTTAGGGGGTACATTTATTTCCAGGTGACAAAGGAGCATACGGGCCACCCCCTTCCCAGGTTGCAGCGGGGCCTGGACACCAGTTGTCCTTCCTTTTCTGGCCACACTCCTGGAACGAGAAATCTGCACTGACTTCCCCATTTCCTCGCCGTCCAGAGGCCCTTGGACCCCAGCGCTGCACCCGCACAGAACTCCAGGAGCCCACAGGGCAGACAGAGCAGGGAGGGGCCGGGGCTGTCGAGGGGCCTGGGAGGCGCTGGGGACACCAGCGCTCCCTGTGGACCAGGGGGTCACTTGCCCCTGCTGCTGGAATGTCAGTGGGTTCTGTTCCCCAGTTAGGGACAGTCGGGGAAGCCTCGGGTTTGCGCCAGGCCACTTCCCGGGCAGCCCCGCCCTGGGAGGGCGAGGACCAATGGCCAGGAGAGATGCCCCCGGAAGGCCTGGGGCTCTGCCACACACGTGATCAGTACCTGGGCTCAGGCGGCGGCAGTCTCAGCTTCGGGGGCACACACGTGTTCCAGGGCAGCCTGCCCTCTACTGTGCGGCACTGATCGAACAGGGGCGCTCCGCCCCTCCCCTGCCAGGGGGCGGGTCGTCCACAAGGATCACTGACTTTTGCTTCGCCTTAACCCTGCCGCTGACTGGGACCCCGACCATCCCAAACCAAATCCCCACTCAGCTCCCCTGAGCCCTGAGAACGTCCCTTGGGGAAAGGTGACGGAAGCCGTGTTCCCTGCAAACTTTCCCCAGACCTGTTGACATGGCAACAGGCCTGGTGGGCGTGTCAGGCCGCTTTCAAAGGGGGCCTGGTCCAGAGGAGACCTTTGCAGAGAAGAAACCCAAGTGGGAGAGGCAGGGGCCTCAGGGAACGACCCAGACCCCAGGTGCCTGCGGCTCTGAGAAGGCTGGGCTCTCCCTCCAGTTGTCAAGCCTCCTGGTGAGGAAAAAAAAAATTCAAACACTAAAAAGACACAGTGATACATTTTAAATGTTTCCGTTTGGCAAAATGTTTCTAACCTCCCTCCCCATCCGCCCCCTCTCAACCCAGAAAGCAAGCAAGAAAAAATTCTGCCCAGTAGGGTCCTCCAGACCTGACCGTGTCAGTAACAGTTCTGGACTTGCCCCGGTGGATGCCAGCCTGACACATTGTGTCTGTGCGGCGCACGACAGGGGCCCCCATGCGGTGTCCCTGACCCGGACCTGTCCTTAAGAACCTCACTCCCACCCACCCACCCCACGTCCTCAGTGCCCTCCTACAGTCCCCGCCCGGATCTGGGGCGGGGGGCGGTCAGGGGACGAGGGCCCCGGGACTGAGGTCCGAAGGGATGCGCGTTCAGGGTGAGGTTTGCCCGCAGTCCAGCCGCAGCAGAGGCCAGAGATTCCCGAAGGTGGGTAAGGCATCGGCGCTGGGTAACAGATGACAATACGCCTCAAAGGACAGTGAAGCTCTTGTTCCGTTTATGGCAAGCACATGCAGGTTTTTATATTTTCATTTTAGGTAGTGATTAACATTTGCAGGTGTATAGCATGATCAGTTAAGCAGAAAAAAATCATTACAAAGGTAACCAGGAAAAGTACAAGAATTTCCATAGTTTCAGTTACGTTAAACAAAAGTTGTTTTGACCAGGAGAACCATTAATCAGACCATTTGAACTAGCTCTATGTACAGAGTTTGAGTGTCCTATTGTTTATTAAAGGTCTTAGAATTTGGCATGGGGCAAAAGGTACGCTAGGCCAAGCAGAGGTTAGGAAATTTATTATAAGGCCTTTGTGATGTCTAACTTAGCTATCTATCTTTCTGTCCAAAATGTTTCTCTATGTACCATGGACTCTAACTCCTTGGTAATTGTATCTACGTGCTTAGTTTACAGTATCTAACAAGCTTCTCCTGTTTCTTTGCCTGTGTACTTCTAATTAATATATATTCCTGTTCAAGGTAAAGGAGGGGCTGTTACTCTAACAACTTTTAGACATTCAGGGGCTATTTCATTTGAGGGGATTAACTTGGGGGGGCACTCTGGGTAATTCTGGCTCCCTGCCACCTGACGTTAACTTGTTCTGCATCTGCTTACCTGGGTCAGGGAAGGAAATATTCTTCCCCTTGGACTCACTGGACATGGTGGGCCTTTCCTCCTCTGGGCCCCCAGAGAGGGTATTATTTTGGGGAAAGGCCAAGGTGGCATAGTTCTCAGTCTGACCTAGTTGTTGATCAGCTCTGAGAATGGCCATCATTTCTAGGAGATTCCAAATTATCAGAAAAGTAAATGTCAGAACACCAAGAGTCAGCATGAACAGAATCAACACGGTATATGCACTTATGCCACGTCCACCTGGCCGGAGCATGCTTCTGTGAAGTCGTAGTCCCCATGCCACGACTTTGTCAGACGACATGGCTGGCGTTGGACGTGCCACAGGTTTCTGGAGGCGTGGATCCGGGGTGCGAGGGTGGGGGCAGGGGTCCCTGGGTCTGCAGTGCAGGAAGCCCCGGGGAGACCCGGTGGGGCCAGCGAGGGGCGTGGGCCTGGGCGAGTGGATGATGCAACCCCCCCTTGTGTCTCCGGCAGCCTCTGATTGGCCGGCGCCCGGGCGGCCGCACTGTGGATTGGCTGCAGCCTCGGAGGCGGGGCCGGCGGGGCGCCGATGCCGCGTGGCAGGCGGCGTGCGGTGGGTGGGGGGCGGCTGGCGCTGGGTGACTCGGCCAGGGCTGGGTTCGGGCTCCAGCGAGTGGGTGGTGCTGCCAGGCTGCGGAGGGCGCGCGTTCGTCCCCCGGCACCGGGCGGTGGGGTGCTAGGACGGGAGGGTCTTGCCCCCGGAGGGGCCTCCGGGCGCCGGTCCATCACCAGCGGCGGCTCCGGGACCCCATCTATAGGCCGGCGCTCTCCTCCGGTCTCCCGGTGTCTGGGACGCGGGAGCAGATCGGGGACACTCTTACAGGTGGGAGACCAGAGCAGTTACCCGGCCGGGGCTGTTGAGCCAAGCCAAGGGGAGAGTTAGAGCGGACGGGGTGAGGAGCGCGCGGGCCCTCGATGCAGTGGCCAGGCCGGGCCTGCCCTCCTAACTTGTTGCTCCGGATCCTGCCCCGTCTCCTCCAGCAGCTGCTTCGGGCAGAGCAAGTGCCAGCGCTGAGCGTGTGGGCGCGCCCGCGACACCATGAGCGTGGGCTTCATCGGGGCTGGCCAGCTGGCTTTTGCCCTGGCCAAGGGCTTCACAGCAGCAGGTAGGCCCCGTGGCCAGGAGGGGACCCAGAGCAGAGGGTGGGCGGTTACTCCTCTGTGGCCAGGGGAAGGAAAGGGTGGGGGTCACTCTTACCTTGGGCGGTGGGATTGCTACTGTCCTCCTGGGAACGTGGGTGAGGGAGGAACTCTGCTCCCTGCAGGTGTCCTGGCTGCCCACAAGATAATGGCCAGTTCTCCAGACATGGACCTAGCCACGGTTTCGGCACTCAGGGTAGGTGAAGGGTGACAGGGCAGCTGTCCCCGCAGGGCCCAGTCACGGTGTCTGACAGTGGGAGGTGGGTTGTGACAGCCTTGACCCTGGAGGGCCAGAAGTAGTGGCCCAGGCACCATGGAACAGTCCCTCACCCCAGTGAGAGGAGGGGCCTCAGCTACAGCACCTCACAGGCCCAGCTCTGCTCTCCGAACCTGGTCACTGGCATATGGGCACCTGCTGGGGAGGGGTTGCTGGTCCGGAATGGGGTATTCTGGGGGCCAGGCAGACACCCCTGGGGCCGATGCAGCTTCGGTTTGCCACAGCTGAGTTAGGGCTCTGGATGCAGGAGTGGGGCAGGCGCCCAGCTGGGGACCATCGCTCACACCCAGAGGGTGGGGGGGCAGGGGCTGCAGCCCGAGGTGGGGCGGGCCAATGCTGGGGCACGGACACCCTGTCTTTTTTCTCTTTGCAAAAGGAACGCATTCGAGACCAGGATGCTTTCTGCCCTTAGGGAAGGGAAAGGTGGTTGGGGGTGTCACGGCCTCTTTTCCTGCTGAGCCCCTAATACCTCGGCCCCAGCAGCCTCCGTGCTAGCACACAGTACGGCCCTCGGCTTGGGTGGGGCAGGGATGCTGAGGGCCAGCCGGCTATGGCGGCAGGCTGAGCCCGTCCGGTCGCTCCCTGCAGAAAATGGGGGTGAACCTGACACCCCACAACAAGGAGACTGTGCAGCACAGTGACGTGCTCTTCCTGGCGGTGAAGCCCCACATCATCCCCTTCATCCTGGACGAGATCGGTGCCGACATCGAGGACCGGCACATCCTGGTGTCCTGTGCGGCCGGCGTCACCATCAGCTCCATTGAGAAGGTGGGTATGGCGGGTCCAGGCCTGTGCGGCTTGGGGAGGGGACGGCAGTGTGCACTGCAGTGGGCTCGGAGCTCCGGCCCCCCGGCGCCTCAGGTCTGCCTCCACGAGGACTCGGGAGCTGCTCCGTGGGAAGGGTGCTCACGCTCCCATCCAACGCGACCTGCGGAGTGTGGAGCCCCGGTGGACACACAGCTGGTTTCTCCTCCAGAAGCTGACAGCGTTCCAGCCAGCCCCCAAAATCATCCGCTGCATGACTAACACGCCGGTCGTGGTTCGGGAGGGGGCCACCGTGTACGCCATGGGCACCCACGCCCAAGTGGATGATGGCAGGCTGGTGGAGCAGCTCATGGGGAGCGTGGGGTTCTGCACGGAGGTGGAAGAGGACCTGATTGACGCCGTCACGGGCCTCAGTGGCAGCGGCCCAGCCTACGTGAGGACTGGGGATGGCGGGCAGCGGCTGGCTGCGGCGGGAGGGCCTCAGGGCACATCTGTCCATCCTTCACTCTCCTCCCTGCTCTGAGCAGCCGTTGCCCCGAGGAGAAAAAGCCTGAGACAGCCTCTGAGTTCCCTTCTCCCTGCAGGCGTTCACTGCCCTCGATGCCCTGGCTGACGGGGGCGTGAAGATGGGGCTTCCCAGACGCCTGGCAGTCCGCCTCGGGGCCCAAGCCCTGCTGGTCAGTATGTTTCCAGACCCTCTGGTGGGGGAGCAAGCCTGGTGCACAGGGATGGGTGAGTGGAGGGCCAGTGGGTGCCGCTGGGGCTGGGGTCAAATGCCCTGTGGACACAGGTGGGTGCCCTCAGAGCTGTCGGCACCTCTCTGTCTGCAGGGGGCTGCCAAGATGCTGCTGGAGTCAGAACAGCACCCAGGCCAGCTCAAGGACAACGTCTGCTCTCCTGGAGGGGCCACCATCCACGCCTTGCACGTGCTGGAGAGTGGGGGCTTCCGCTCTCTGCTCATTAACGCTGTGGAAGCCTCCTGCGTCCGGACATGGTGGGCCTCCGCTGCTGCCTGCTCCCGGTGCCTGGCCCTGTGCACAGGGGCCCTCGGCCTTAGTCCTGCTTGCTTAGTCACTTACTCTGGCCTGGCAGTGGGCGGGGCATGGGGAGCCCTGAGGTCCGGCGGGGTGGGGTTCGTGGTGCTCCCCACCATCACCTGCCGGGGAACCTCTGTGGGCCAGATGATAACCCCCGCCTCCTGGCCTGGCCAGGAAGATTAAGCAGGAGGCGCTGTGCTGCCCTGGCTCCGTAAGAGCTATAACAAAGCCAGAGCAGGGGTGGCGTCACTGTCCCTAGTTCAGGGCCTGAGGGTGGACAGGCATCTTTCTTGCCCCCTGGGCTCTCCTTCCAGTCCCGACCCCCAGGCGCCTCCGAGTGCCACTGTGTAACTGTGAGTCGAGGGCACAGAGCTGCTTTCCTGGCTCTAGCCAGCGGGGAGACAGCCCAGACGCACGCCCTGGGCTCGGAGCTGGGGGCTCTAGACTTCGCGGCTCTGAGCCGATCTGAACAAGGTGGGAGCGAGCCAGGCGGCAGTCTAGGGGAGGACAGCTGGCAGAGAAGTGCAGGTGCTGGGAGGGGCTGGGAGTTGTGAACCTGTCTCCCTCGTCCCACACGGACACTCAGGCTCGGGGGGCAGGCAGAGCCCTGTGCCCAACCCCTTTCCCTGTCCCACCAGGGAACTGCAGTCCATGGCTGACCGGGAGACGGTCTCACCAGCTGCCATCAAGAAGACTGTCCTGAACAAGGTGAAGCTGGACGCCCCTGCTTCGGGCCACTCCAAGCTGCTCCCCCGCAGCGGGGCCCCAGTGGGCAAGAAGAGCTGAGATGTCCCACTTGCGGATACACCAGGGTTCCCTCCACCTTCTCTCTCCTGGGCTTGGAGGTGTCTCTAGTGGGTGTCTCTAGGCCCAAGCCACACAGGGTGTTGTGTCCTTGTGATGGTCCACTGCCCCTGGCTCTGGCCTACTTTGGTCAGCCAGACTCCTAGCCAAGGAGGGGGCACGTCACTTCCCAGTGGGAATCTCCCTGAGTGTCTCCTGGCCCATGAGAGGGACGGACCTTCTGACTTCAGTCTCCCTCTTCTTCTCTCCCCAAACCAAGTCAGGACCACCTACCTCCTGGGGGCTCAGAAGGTGTTTCACATCCCGGGGTCAGCTGGCTTGGGGTTTGGACTCTTCCTGAGCACAAAGGTTCCTGACCTCCCCTCCCGGAAACCCTGGCCAAGGAAGGAGCCCTGCCCCATGCCCACCACCTCCCCACCCTCCACTCATGGGAGTGACTTCCTCTGGGTGGGAAGGGCCAGAGGGTCCTGTGCACCCTGACTGGAGTAGAGGGGACTGTGGCTCCCCTTGGCCAACTGCCCACAAGCCCTTACTTACCCCATTGGACGTTTGAGAAACGGCTCCCCATGCAGTTGGACTTCCAAGGTCACCAGGATACTGGGGCCACTGTCTCCTATTCCTGATTTGACCCACGGATGCTGTCGCTTGTCTTCCTGACCTTTTAGGTTAAATAAATTTCTCCCCAGTCCAGTGCCCTAACTTCTAACTTTGTCACCACAGGTGGAGGGGCACCTCCAGCTGCCCCAGAGGGTCCTTGCTGTTGGGGGTAAGCACCGGGCCCAGCCAGTAACCCATGGCCCAGAGCCCTTGCTTCCCAGGCAGCCAGGCTGGGGGTGGGGAGTAAAGGGGAGCCCCCTGCCGAGCAGAGGGGATGGAGCTTCTGGGGAGAGGCTCAGCCTCTCAGGCCTTGGGCACTGGAAGCTGCCACCACGGGTTGGGCTGGGCCTGCCCTAGTGCGAGAGGCGCACCAGCTTCGACATCCTCCAGACCTCCCGACCTAGTAGGGGCCCATGTCTGTTTAACTCACCCAAGCACGGGCAGGTGGGCCCTAGGGGACTAGCTGTGTTAGGGTTCTCCAGAGAAACAGAACCAGCAAGAGGTGGAAATAGTTATTAGTGCATGCATAAAGAGATTTGTTTCAAGGAAGTGGTTGGCACAGCCGTGGAGGCTGGCCAGTCCTTTCTGCAGGGCAGGCTGGCAGGCTGGGCACCCGGGCAGCTGGTGTTCCAGCTCAGCGACCATGAGGCAGGGAGAGCCGGCCTGTTGGTGGGTCTGAAGAGGGGGAGTTCTCTCTCCTGGGAGGCTCCCTGTCCGTACAGTTTGGGCCCACAGCTGATTGGGCGAGGCCCTCCCACGTCACGGAGGGCAGTCTATTGAAATCTACCAATTTAAATGTTACCCTTCTGCAAGAATACCCTCAGGGAAACAGCGTATCTGACCCAGTATTTGGGTGTCCCGGTCACATGGACACAAAATTACACCTCACTGGAGAGGCCCACAACATTGGAGGAGCTGCCAAAGGTCAGAAACCTCTGTGAGACCGGGGGGTCGCGTCTGCACAACCCACGAACAGTTGCAGAGCATGGACACAGCAGGATGAGGCCCCTTGCCTCCGACGCTGAGGAAGCTCCCTGCGGCCCCACCTACCCCCGCAATTGGGCGTCTGTAATATACGCATCGGGAGCACCCAGGCCAGGGGGTGGTTTTCCCTTGAGGGGCCGGAGGCGGTGGCCAGGAGAGCCCCTGAAGAACCGCACTGCAGTTTCTCGTGTCATTTGTCCCCTTCCCTTGGGCCCGCTTGGAACCAAAGCCCAGGGCATGTGGGTGGGAAGGATGAAGCACTTTGGGGACAAAGGAGGAAGGGGCAACAAGAAAAAACGGGAGAGCGTGCACGACAGAAGAAACAAGGGTCACGACGGGGTTCCCAGTCTCTGCTAGGGTGGCCTTCAGAGGCCTGGCCCCACCCCTTGCACCCGCTGCCCGCGGCTAGTGCTGGGCTTGGAGTGCTTGTGGGACCTTGTGTCTTTGTACAGTTCTCCTAAGGCGAGAGCGCCAGGCGCAGTCCGCCACCCTGCGCAGGTGGCAGGGGGGCCTCTCGGACTAGTGTCAAAGTGTCAGCACACAACGGTCAGGAGAGCGGCTGGGCAGGCCACAAGACCCCGCCTTGAAGGCCAGAAAGGGGGCGTGGCCGCCCGGGAGCACGCGCCGGAGCTAGTCCCGCGAGACCCTGCCGGGCAGGCAGCGCTGCGCGTTGCCTGGGCGACAAAGCCCGTGTACGCAGGCGCAGTACGACATCGCCCCGCCCCCGCCGCCGCCGCGCCTTCCCCTTTAAGCCCCGGCCGGTCGCGGGGCCGCTTCATGAATGGAGCCCACGTGACCAAACATCATGTGACGTCTGTGGAGCGGCGGCGGCGGCGGCGGCGGATCCCGAGCCTGGTCCAGCCCGGCCTTCCCAGCGCGCTCGGCTCGGCCCGCGCAGGCGGCGAGCCCCTATCCCGGGCCCGGAGCCCCCGCGCGGCCCAGTCCCGCGCAGCCTCCGAGCGACCGCCGCCCGCCGTCCCGGCCTCGGCCCGCCTGGGCCCGCAGTGTGTTGGGTGAGTGCGGCGGCAGGCCCGGCCGGGCGGGGGGCAGCGGGCGGCGGGGGCTCCCGGCCCGGGTGCGGCCGACTGGGCCGCGGATCTTCCTGGCGGACCCTAGAGGCATGGGCCGAACGTTCCTGGCTTCCGGTCTGCCCCGCTCCCTGCTGGTGGCCCGTGCCTCTGTTTCCCCACCGGACAGGGCACTGCTGGCCCCTGCGCGCGGGGTGCTGGGGGGTGGGCCGCGTTGTTGACGGAGGGCGGGCGGGCGGGGCGAGCGCGCGCCTCGCTCAGTGGAGGCTGGGGCGTCCTGGAAGGAGGGGCGGCCAGGGTGGCGGGAGGAAAGGGTGGGGTCGAGAGGGGTGCCCTGGGCTTCGCGGAGGAGCCGGGTGGCCTCGCCCCGAGCTGCTGATTCATCAGGTGTCTGTGACTGCTCCTTCTCAGGCGCAAGGGTCCTGGGCGGGCCGGGGGAGGGCCGGCATGGGGGGGGAGCGCTTTGAAGACCCTGCTCGAGCGGGCTCAGCTCCGTCACACGCGTGCCAGAGCCCGAGGGAGACTTGCTGAGTCATCAGCATGAGGTCACTCGATGCTCATCCCGATGCCTGGGGGGATTTGAGCTAGGGCCGGGGGTCTGAAAGGAAGAGAAGCGAGGGGTGGAAAGGACCGCGAGGACGTAGGAATGTGGATGGGGTTGGGCCCAGTGGCTGGGGCGCCTTTTAAAGTGTAGGCTAAGGTGCGAGTCGAAGGCAGGGTGGTGAGGAAGTGGAGGGAGCCACGATGAGGTAGATCCTGAAGCCCCCGGCCTGTCCATCGCCTTCCGGCAGGCTTTTCCCAGACAGCTGGTCCCCGACCCAGGTCTGGGACAGTTCCCCAAACTGGGAAATAGTTTTCTGAGTGAGAGAAGGGGAGGAGCTTAGAGGGGCCGAGCGAGGGGACGGGAAGCAGAGGCTTTCCCTGTGACTGGTCCGGTCCGTCGGCCGTGTTCCCTTAGGTGGGGAAGAGAGGAGTGCATCGACCAGAGAGGGAGGCAGGGGCTGGGGGGGTCTGCAGGGAGAGCAGCCTGGGTGGCCGGAGGGAAGGGTGGGGTCCAGTGGGGTGCCCAGGGCCTTATGAGAGGGCCTGGCAAGAGTACACCTTGTTCTGAGGCCTGGGCAGCAGTGGACAGGACCGCTGGCAAGGAGGCACAGCTCTACCAGGAAATTGCAAATGAGAGGAAGCAGCAGGACTTAGACATTGGGGAACGGAGGTGCCTTGTGAGCAGGTCTTGCCCTCTTTGCCTCGGGGCCTTGGGGCCTGGGTTGAGACTGCAGGTGGTAGGAGCTGGAAGGGTGCCTAGTCTTTAGGGCACAGCAGGTGGGCTGGGGGGGGAAGGATGCAATTTTCAGTCACCCGAGAATTGTCCCCTGGAGGTTGGGGCTCAGTGTGGTGCAGGTTAGCAGAGAACGTGTTCCGAGTTGGTGTCTGGCCAGATGTTGTGGACCCCACTGGGAAGTGACAGCTTGGAGGGGGTCTGGTCTGGGCCACCTCTCCCGGGTGTGTGGGTGGTCCCTGACCTCGAGGATGGGAGGTGTCTGGTGCAGACCAGAGCGGAGGCCCCTCTTTGCACAGGGGCTCACGGCTAGATCGGGCTGGTGTTGTGGTTTGTCTTCAGGGACTCGCCCCACTGCCACGCACCTTCAGGGTGGGGCAGAATTAGGCTGTTGTGAGCATGTGAGGCAGTTTATTGCTGTCAAGTTGATTGGTGTTTCATTTTCCATGTGAGCCACTGTGAACCTAAGTTTTGCCCCACCTGGCGCACACAGCCCGGGGCTTAGGGATGCCAGATGGTTCAGCATCCCTCGGCTGGTGTTTTGGCTGGAATTTTGTGCCTTAGGAAAATGCAGATTCCTGGAGGGGTGTTTCTTCAAGGCTTCTCAGTTACTTATGCTTTGGTGGAAGTTGGGTCTTAGACCCTTTTCAGAGTGGCTTTCAGTGGCTGAGAGCTGCTGGGAGGCGGTCAGAGAGTAGGTGGAAGTGAGGCTGGCACCCAAGACCACGCTTGCCTGGGAGGCTTGGCTGCCGGGGTTTGTAGGCCCGGAGGAGGGAGAGCCAGCTGTCTTGTCTCCCACCTGGAGTCCATGCCCTGGACTTGGGCCCCGGGGAGCGCGGCCGGGTCACCTGAACTTCTTTCCCTTTCCGGGCTGGCTCTCGGCCCGAGCGCATGGTCCAGGATGCTTTGGAGGCTTAGGGGACATCTGGGTCTTCTCCACAAAGCAGACCTGGCCTCTGGGGGAGCCGAGATGGAGGATGACTGAGCCCCAGCCCTGAATGAACCTCAGGGCTGGGGGTGGGAGGTAGCTTCTCCATCAGCCCTTGGAATCCCATCTGCCTGGCTTCCAGAGGTGCTCTGCGCCATCAGTCCCATCCTGTCCCCAAGGCTATCTGTCCGATCTGTGTGAGTCCCCAGGTGGGAGGAGGCCAGGAGGCTGGCAGCCCTGGCTTTGCGGAGGCCTGCCCCTCCCCCGTGCGCTCAGGCACACCTTTGATTAGGAGGCCATTGGCTGCGCTTGTGCTGAGTTCAGGCCTTCTGTGGAGGGTGAAATCTGTTGAGAAGGCACTTTTCTGTGTGATCTCGTCAGGAAGTCACCGCTGCGCTCAGCATCGGGGGTGGAGGGAGATGGGGGTGGGAAAAGCTGGTGCCGGGGCTTCTCCTTCCACAGACAGCGGTGGGACCCAGGCAGTTCCCTGCCCTCTGGTCTGTACACCCTGTGCCCAGGGTGGGCGTGGCCTCAGGACCTTCTGGCCTCCAGCTCTGGTTTTGCCTCCTCTGCTCTGGAAGAACCAGGCTCTGGATCAGCAGGCCTGCCTGAGACCCCAGGCGGCCTGGCTGTGGGGAGACACCTCCAGCCTCCTGGTGCAGGGCTGGGTGGGGGAGAGTCCACCCTGGAGCCCACTGTGCTTCCACTTCCCCAGCTCACACGTCAGCTCCCTGTGAGGGTAAGACACCCTGCCCTGGCCAAGCCGGAATGGCCTGAAGTTCTGTGGCTTCCTCCAGGTAGGACACTGGAGGCAGCTTAGCAGTCCAGCCATTTACCTCCCTGCATATAACCTGGAAAGTAGCGTGCATAGTTGGGGGGCAGGGGCAGCCAGCCTGGTGGTGGCCTGCTCTGCCAGGGGTCTCAGGATGAGGTGTGCAGAGCTGTTGTTGGCAGGGCTTTAGGAAGCAGAAAGCGAAAATTAGGGTGTGGGGTGACCAAGTGGGTGGCAGGGGCCCTCTGGTCCAGCCACCTAGCCTTTTTGTTGCTGCCCTGTGGGTGCTGATTCTGGTTGGGGGGCCAGAGAGCCAGTCATCAGCCCAGCAGGGGCTGAGCTGGCCCCTGCAGGTCTAACTGTGGGCACTCTTGTGAAACACCCTGGATGGGGAGGGCAGGGGCATGAGATGCTGCAACCCAAAGCCACAGGGTGGTTACTCCATCAGCAGTGGGGTGCCATGTCTTGCCTGCCACCTGGAAGGTGGGTGAGCTCCTGCCAGGGCTAGTTGGGTGGCCCACTTGCCACTCTTCAAAGTGAGTAGGCTCTGGGAGGATCAGGAAGCGCCCCCCTAGTCTTCCCCTCCGCCTGAGTCCCCAGTGGGGGTAGCCCCCTAAGCCTTCCTGGGAATGGGACTTTGTCCCGGCTGACTTGGGGGAGAGGGCTATAGGAGGTGGGCCCCCTGAATACACATGTGCAGGGTAGCTGGCCCTTGCCCTCACCTGCAGTGGCCTGCTGGCCTTTCTGGCCCCAGCAGCTTTCTGCTCTGGCTGCCGGGCCCCTGGGGCCATGCTGGCTCTGGGCCTGGGAGCGCCCGGCCCGGGAGGGAGCAGAGGGATATGCTGAGTCAGCATGACTCGCCAGGAAGAGCCGCTCTGGGCGCGCACTGGGTCTATTTTTAAAGCTGTGGGCTTCCTTCTAGGCTGGCCCCTCCTGCACCCTTCTGATCTCTCCCCCAGCCCCTTCTCTTGCCTCGGCTTTTCTCACAGCCCTTCAATTCCCCCTTTCCCTTTGGACCTTCCCGGCCTCCCACCTGGTGTTCTAGGGGCAGGGTAGACAGGGAGGAGTCCAGCTAAGGAGAGGCAAGGCCGAAGGGCAGTCCTTAGGGCCAGGTATTCGGGAGTGGGCAGGTGGAGGTACAGAGGGGAAGGTGTGGCCTCCGGATCCTGACCTCTGCCTCCTGTCCCGTAGAGTGCCTGCTTGCCGTGCCCCCGGGTTATGACGACCCCCAATAAAGGAAACAAGGCCTTGAAGGTGAGCGGGCAGGGCGGGCGCATCTTGGGGCTGGGACAGGGCGGCGGTGGCTGCCTGGCCGGTGACCGTGTGTGCTGTGCTGCGCTGCCCCCAGGTGAAGCGGGAGCCTGGCGAGAATGGCACCAGCCTGACGGACGAGGAGCTGGTGACCATGTCAGTGCGGGAGCTGAACCAGCACCTGCGGGGCCTGTCCAAGGAGGAGATCGTGCAGCTGAAGCAGCGCCGACGCACACTCAAGAACCGTGGCTACGCCGCCAGCTGCCGCGTGAAGCGGGTGACGCAGAAGGAGGAGCTGGAGAAGCAGAAGGCGGAGCTGCAGCAGGAGGTGGAGAAGCTGGCCTCGGAGAACGCCAGCATGAAGCTGGAGCTCGACGCGCTGCGCTCCAAGTACGAGGCCCTGCAGAGCTTCGCCAGGACCGTGGCCCGAGGCCCCGTGGCGCCAGCCCGGGGCCCCCTCGCTGCCGGCCTGGGGCCCCTCGTCCCCGGCAAGGTGGCTGCCACCAGCGTCATCACAATAGTAAAGTCCAAGACGGACGCCCGGTCGTAGGGACGCGCACTTGCCCAGGCGGGTCTGTGAGGGGCTATTAGGCGCGTGTGATTTCAGCAGCCCTGTCCCCTTCCTCCTCCTCCCTCCCTTCCTCTCCTACCTCTTCCCTTCCCTGCAAAGCACAACCCTCACCCCAGGGGCACCGGGCTGAGCCCCTTGATCTCGTCGTTGTCATCGTGTGTTTTGTATGTTGGGATGGGTCAGTTTGGCGGTGACGTGGGGTCACCCCAGGCCCCTTTGCACCAAGGCCACGTGGGCTTGGGACCCAGAGTTGGCCCTGTGGGAATGGATGGAAAGACGGAGCAGCTGTGGGGCTCCAGTTTCCTGAGCCGGGGCTGCTCCAGGATGGGAGGGCCGCTCCCTTACGAGCAGCCCACAGGCCCTGACGGCGGCCTGGCTGGTGGAGTGCTGGGTGGTTCGCTCGCAGCTTGGCCAGCAGGCATAGGTGGGCTCCGCTTTGAGGATTAAGGTGTCCTTGAGGGCCCTGGACAGGCAGGCCAGCGGCCTGACGGTGGGGGGAGGAGCGTCGAGTGACCTCGGGCCAGGGCCCTTGGTGCGCTCGCCTGGCGTGTTGCGCTGAAGACCGAGTCGCCGGTGGTGCGTGAGCACGAGTGAGGGCGTCCAGTGTCCTGCGGTGGCCCCGTGTCACTGTTTACACGACCTGTCTGTGTGGTCACATAGCCCTTTATTTAAAGAGAAGTTTTCTTTTACGAAGTTATTAAATTATATGTTTAAAAGCTAAGGGAAAAAAAAGCTTCAGAGTATTTATAAAACTGTCTTTTTACAAAAAACAAGCAAGAGCATTTGACCGTATAAATGGAAAAGGGAAAAAAGTATAATAGAAACTTTGCTAGTTTAAAAAAAGAAAACAAAAAAAAAAACAAAAAAAATCCCTTTCTTGTAAACTTACAGACAAGTCTTTGTGGCTGTTGGAGTTTAGTTTTTATATACACAGAGTTATCAGATGTTATTTATAAAACTTAGTTTAAAAAAGACAAAAAACAAAAAAAGCCCAGCTGCGAGCGACCAGAAGGCGCGTCCGCCGTCCTCTTTGCCGACTCTTTTGCAATTGTACCGAAAGTGACTTACGCCCTTGCCCTTCCTGCTTCCGTCTCCTGCCGGTGCAGTGTCGTCGTGCCTGGTGAGGTCTTGTGCAGCGTCTTGTGCTGGTGCTTCTGGTGACCTTTGACCTGTGGGTGTCACTTCTTGTGTCTGTTTTCCCGTGTTTGTTTTCGGAATCGGTTGTGTTTTGCTTCTGCTGGCTTGCTGGGCGCAGGCTGGGGTTCCAGGCAGGACCTGCTCTGGCAGTTTCGGGGGGGGGGTTCTGTGCCCACCAGCCCAGTGTCTTTGGCCTCGCCACCTGCCCCAGGCGTCCAGGAGGTCTGATTCCGGGCCCTGCCTCCCCTGGACCTGCTGCCCTTGGCTTCGCATGTGTGTGGCAGGCTTGGGCTGATCCAGCGGCAGGGTAGGTAACACCGGGGGCTTTCCCGGGAGCCCCGCACGCTGCTTTCGTGCTCACCGCCTCTGGCCCTGGGTGGGGGCTTTGCAGAGACCAGGGAGTCACTGTGGGTGCCCATGGGGCCACAGCCAAGCTGCCTGCCCTGCCTGTCTTCCTTCTGGTGTCCAGTCGCCCTGCTCTGGCTCTGGCCACTGCACTCCACTTTGTTTCACATGGGCCTCAGCAGGAGCACCCAGGGGCCTACTGACCCCAGAACTTTTTGTGCTGCGGGGCGGTGCTTCCTAGGCAGAGCTGGGTGGTTCCGGGGCCCACCTGGGGCAGCCCCTTGTGCCTGCCTGAGGGCCTGGGGTCACCACCAGGACCAGACAAGGGCTGCATCTCCAGGGCCAGGTCCCTTCCTTCCTCTCCCTGAACATGTCGGCAGCTCTGGGCTTCGGGCCTCCTTCCGCCTCCCTTCGGGATCTGTGTCTTCCAGGGATCCGATGCTTGGCTTTATGGGGTACTTGTCTCTGGGGCCGAGCCTGCCTCCCCATCCCAGCCTCCGGTGGAGGCTGCTGGTTTCCCATGCTTGGGAAGGCTCCTGTAGTCACAGGAGCCTGCACTGTCATCCCCAGGAGGCTAGTGCCGTCTCCAAGGGCCACCGCCTCTCCGTGGGGCTGCTGGTTGGCTTTTCTGGGGGCCCCGAATGCCTGTAAAAGCTCAGAAGTGCAACTATGTGGCCTGGCGGGGTGTCACCTGGTGGGCAGCTGGGTTTTCATCCCAGGGATTGGCCCCTCGTGCCTGTGGGGCAGGAGCAGGGGCGTGACGTCAGCTTCCACCGTGTGGATGGCTTCTCTGGGTCCAGGTGTTTGGAGGTATTTCCGCTGCACCTGGGTCAGCCTGCAATGCTGATTCGGCCACTTGCGCCACACCACTCAGTGGCTTCCTCCCTCCAGTCTGCCTCTGTCTTAGGGTCCAGACGGGAGTCATTGGTGGGTGTAGCAGCAGTGCTCTGGAATCGAATCCTAATGATCCCTAAAGAGAGGCCATGCCCGGTCCCGGCGGCCCTCCGTGGCTGTTTTCCATCCCTACTTTTGTCCTGACTGGGAGGCGGTTGTCCATCTCTGCACACTTCGGTCCCACTGCTGACCTGGGGAACGGAGGGAGGAGGTGGGTTTTCCAGGGGGTGGTGCTGAGCAGAAATTGCAGGTCCTTGGTTTGGTTTACAGGAGAAGCGTCTGGAGTCAGTGAGGACGTGGTTCCTTTCAGAGTTTTTGGACATGAAGTGACTGCCCCCTGGGTCAGGGGAGCGTCCAGTTCCCGTCAAGCCAGCCCTGCAGGGCCACTCCACCCTGCGTCCCCTTTCCTTGGTTTCTTGACAGCAGGTTCTGTGTCCACGTGTGACTGGTTGGTGTCTTTCTGGTTCTTGTTAATTCAGTTTTCCTGCTGTGAGGGTGTCGTGTTCCCTCTTCTTCTACTCAATTTTCTGACACAGCGAATCGAGGGCTTTGGCCAAAGCCAAGTCTTTCAAATGTGTCCACTAAGTAAACCATACTGTGCCCCACCCCACCTCCCGCCCAACTCCTCCCTTATCCCAGAACGGACACTCAGATTTCAGAGAATCTTGTGGGAACAGGTCCACCCCTTTTCCGAGCATGCCCCAGGGATGCCCCCCCACCGTGGCTGCTGCTCCGGGTGGCACTGCCTTTTGTGCAGGCGAGAAGGCATGGCTGTTCAGCGGCAGCTAGGAGGCGTGCCGCTTTCTGACGAGCTCGTCTTCCCTTGGTCTGCGCTTCAAGTCTGTGTGCCCAACCCTGACCGTCAGGAGCAGCTGCAGTGGTCTTGCTGGGGCCCAGAGCTCTGATGTGCTGTCACCTGCTTTGGGGCCAGTGGTCAAGCCCCATCTGGCCCCTGGTGCCTCCAGGTCCAGGGTGTCCGGCTGGCCAGAGCTCCCTTCCACAGCTGGGAAGCCTGGACCACAGCCTGCAGCACTGTTTCCGCTCTGGGATCTTGAAGCTACTTTTTTAGGCTGTGGTTTGGTGAGAGGAACCAACACATTAACGATTTTTCCCCCAGAAGCCACTAAATAATTCTTTTTGGCGCGTTTTTGCCTTCCTGTTGGCTGTCTGGTCTTGGAGCAGATGGGGAGGTGGGGGGTGCTCTCACGCAGGCGGCCTGCCTTGCTCTGGCCTGTGTCTGGGGTGTGTGCTAGGCCTGTCGGGCCAGTTGCACCCCACCCTGGAGCAGCAGCCTCCATACGTGGGTGTCCCCAGTGAACTACGAGGAGCGACCCTTCCTTCTTCCCCTCCTCAATCCGCTAGTCCCGGAAGCCTTTAACCAAACGGGGGTGGGTGCAGCGAGCCTTCTCCTGGCATCTGGGGCAAACAGGACAAGGGCTGCCCGGTGTGTCCTGCTCTGCTGCTCTCCTGGCGCTGAGAGGGTGGGCCCGAGCAGAGTCATTCGCACTCTGCCTGCCCTGACCGGGGCTGAAGCCAGGGGTAGGTGGGGGTACCCTGGGGTCTGCCCAGCGGCTGGGGGTTGTTGGAGGTCCGGGTAGAGGGGGCCTCATGGGGGCGGCCCGCCTTGGAGCCACCCTGCCCTGTGCAGTATTTATTGCTAAATTATTGTCCAGGAGGGGCGGCACTGGGCCAGGCCCCGGGTATTTATTGCTGTACATAGTGTATGTTTGTGATATATGAGGTTTTCTTTATTTTGTATATGATCAATAAACTCCTTTTAAAAAGACTGGCAGGTGCTTCCTTGGGGCGGCTCAGGCGGGGCCGGAAGGGCGTGGTCTCGCGCGAATGCGTCAGCGCGTGGCCTGCCGGGAGGCGGAAGCGGAAGCGCGCGTCTCCCCGGGAGCGATGGCAGCCGGCGGTCTGAGCCGCTCGGAGCGCAAGGCCGCCGAGCGGGTGCGGCGGCTGCGGGAGGAGCAGCAGCGGGAGCACCTCCGTCAGGTACGCTGCCGCTGCCCGCCCGCCCCGCCCCGCGTCCCTGGGCCGCGCCACGCTCACCGTCCGCCCCGCGCCCGCAGGTGTCGCGCATCCTGAGGAAGGCGGTGGCCGAGCGCAGCGCGGAGGAAGGCCGGCTCCTGGCCGAAAGCGCGGATCTGGTGACCGAGCTGCAGGGCCGGAGCCGGCGACGCGAGGGCCTGAAGCGGCGGCAGGAGGAGGCAAGTCCTGCGGCGCTGTGGGCGGGCTGGAGCCGGGTGGGGGCGGGCGGGGCGGGGCTCACGGCTGTCCTCGGGGTCTTGGCAGGTGTGCGATGACCCGGAAGAGCTGCGTAGGAAAGTGCGGGAGTTGGCCGGCGCCGTTCGGAACGCCAAGTATCTGGTCGTCTACACGGGCGCGGGCATCAGCACGGTAGGGAGGCGAAGTGTGGGCGGCCAGGCGGGGGCCGACTCCCGAGTCCGGGAGCAACTTGGGCCTCTGGGACGGGGTCGGGCCTCGGGCGCCCCCTTTTGGTTATTTGACCCACGGGTCAGAGTCCTGATTCGCCACAAATTCCCATTAACGGCGGCTCTGAGGTTGAGAAGCTTGAAATGACTTCATTTGAAACCTAAGTAGTTTTAAAGGCTTGTACTCTGTGTCATTCCCAGTTAAAGGCAAGGGAAGAACATAAAAAAGGATATCATAGCTTAGTATTTGCAAGCACTTCATTTCAAACTAAGGCAGTGAGTGTACTGTCTCAAGGCGATATGGAAGAGCTGAGCCCTAACTGCCCTGAGTCCTCATTCACTGATTTACTGGTGTCAGAGAGTGGTGAGTAGGGAGCAAGGCAGTGCAAACCAGTGGATGCCAGGTAAGGGAAACAGACATGCTGGGTCTCCAGACGTGTTGTTGAGCTGTCCTGGGCCATGGAATATGTATGACCAGCTTGGACACTGCGATGACACATTATTTGCCTAATGGGTGTGTGTGTGTCTAGTGTGACCAATGTGGAGGCCCAGCAGAGGTGAACCCCGAGACCCTCCACCTGGAGAAGCTGGTGGATGAAAAGGAGGCAGATCAGCAAATGACTGTCCCGTGAAGTTGGCTGTGTTAGGTCCTTGGAGTAAAGTGCAGATACACCCTCTGTGGTCTCAGAGCTGGGAATCCATCCCACCTGGGTTTCTGGAGGCTGAGGCTCTGTGCTTGGGCCTTGGCAGGTGGGTGAGATTTTACAGGCCAAGGTGGGAGCAAGGCTCCAAATAGGGAGCAAGCCCCAGAGGAAGGGCTGTCTCTCACAGACAGCTGGGGCACAGGCAGTCTGGTCCCCTACCCCACGGCGGCGTGCGAGCTCTCAGGAGGTTGTTTTGAAGCGGCCATTTCACCTCTCAGGAGTGGCCACAGAAAGCCCCTCGCTGCTCATTAGTTTGCTCTGAGTGCCACCGTGTGAGGGTCTGCTTTTCGATTTGAGTGTGAGCTGCTGATCAGGGTGGGCATTTTTCTGAGCTTAAGCAACAGGGAGGAGACAGGGCTCCTCAGAAGGGAGATCACTCAGCCTGCGGGGCACTTTCTGTCTGTCCAGTGGCTTTCTTCCACTGGGTGGGGAACCCGGGAGACTGCATCGTGTTTATCTCCCCTGGAGAGGCCAGCCTGTCCCCACGGAGGTTAGAGCAGAAAGCATCTTCATCGTCTGGATAGGAGAGCTTAGGCAGGGGTGGGTCACACCTAGAGGGTCACCTTTCTTCTGCACTGGCTAGGCTCTGGGGACACAGGTGAGCCTGACCAGCGCCCCCTTCGGAGTGGAGGACAAGAATGGCCATGCATGATGCTGGAGGAGCCCCCAGGGGGAGCCGGACCAGGTGGGAGTGGGGGTCCAGGCACTGGGAAGGGCACATACATACTGCATCGGGGTTCCAGCAGGAGATGCTGAGCCCGTGGGGTGAACAGAGGCCAGTCCAAGGGCCAGCCTGCAACGTGTTGTGAGAAACACCAGCTTCTTATTCTTGGGGACTCTGCTGGTAACCTACAGTGGTGCTTGTTCACTGGGCTTCTCTTCCTTTGGAACACACAGGCAGCCTCCATACCAGATTACCGGGGTCCTAATGGAGTGTGGACGCTGCTTCAGAAAGGGAGGCGCGTCAGGTAAGCAGCCTCACACAGCCTTGCCCTGTGGTGCGCAGGGGCAGCGCGAGCCTGACCTCTGCTTCCCTCCCGCCTGGCAGTGCTGCCGACCTGAGTGAGGCCGAGCCCACCCTCACCCACATGAGCATCGCCCGGCTACACGAGCAGAAGCTGGTAAGAGCCCGGTGTGGCTGGCTGGCTGGCTGGCTGGGGTGCCTGCCATGTCTGTGGCGTGGGGCCTGGAGTGCCACCTTGGTGCTGCTTCTCTGTGTCCACACGGGAAGGACTCACAGGAAACCTGGAGACCCTCTGCTGAGCCCCTTCAACCAAGGGACCTTCCAGGACCTGAAACATAATGACCCAAAACAGCATCCGGGCCCAAGCCCTGCTTGGCTGAGAGGGGGCAATGCAAACATTTGCCCCCTGGGCTGCTTCAGTTGGTTCAGAGTTGTTTGGGTCGGGCCCTCCCGAGTCCTGCCAAGACCTGCCTGCTTCCCGGGTCCGGGGGTACTGGGGCACTCGGGTGGTCTTGCTGCTCAGTGCCGCTGTGTCCCCTCTAGGTGCAGCATGTGGTGTCTCAGAACTGTGACGGGCTGCACCTGCGGAGCGGGCTGCCTCGTTCGGCCATCTCAGAACTCCACGGGAACATGTATATTGAAGTGAGCAACCCCTCTGGGACTCGGGGGCCTGGGCAGGTCAGCAACTCTTGCTCACAGTGCACCCCCCCCCCTTAGGTCTGCACAGCCTGCGCCCCCAACAGGGAGTACGTGCGGGTGTTTGACGTGACGGAGCGCACTGCCCTGCACCGACATCAAACGGGCCGGGCCTGCCACAAGTGTGGGGCCCCGCTCCGGGACACCATTGTGCACTTTGGGGAGAGGGGGACCCTGGGGCAGCCTCTGAACTGGGAGGCGGCCACCCAGGCTGCCAGCAAAGCAGACACAATCCTGTGTTTAGGCTCCAGCTTAAAGGTACACAGATGGCCCTGTGGATGGGACGGGAGTGAACCTGCTGGCTGCCGGCCAGCTGGGCACTGGACCCAGCTCCCTATAGCCCTCTTTGCTGTTGTGTGTGTGGTCTGTCTGTTCCCACAGGTTTTAAAGAAGTACCCACGCCTCTGGTGTATGACCAAGCCCCCCAGTCGGCGGCCTAAGCTCTACATCGTGAACTTACAGGTAACTTGGTGTTCAGAGTTGCATCTTAGGTCCAGAGTCCTTGGGACGTTCCCAGCCCAGCACTCAGGCACCTGGGGAAGGAGCGAAGTGCTAGCCTCACTCACCTTCCTCTGCCCCCAGTGGACCCCAAAGGATGACTGGGCTGTCCTGAAGCTCCATGGGAAATGTGATGATGTCATGCAGCTCCTCATGGATGAGCTGGGCCTGGAGATCCCCACCTACAGCAGGTGAGGGGACATTGGCCCCACCCCCTTCCTGCCCCTGTGTGGTCGGGCTGTGTCTGTCTTCTCTCATGAGCTGAGCGTACAGAGAGTTTTGAGGTGTTGCAAACTGTCTGAGGCGTGACTACGGTGTGGTGGCCTCTGCAGGGACTGGCCCAGGCGCCCTGGCTGATGTGATCCCTGTGGGGAGAGGGAGTCTCCCCCTGTGTGGCTGGGTGCTCCCCTCGTACAGCAGACAGCTGGAGGGCGGCCCTGGATGGGCAGTACTGCTCGAACAGGATCTTGGTGTGGGGAGCTGGCGACCTCGGGGAAGCTTAAAGAAACTGTTCCTTGATACAGAATTTGTGATAATTTCAACATGGTGTGTATATTGCGTAAAAAGTTTACACTTTCTTTCTCTGTGAATTTTCAGGGTCTTATAGGGGAAATCAATAACCTCTTTTAATCAAAGGGTTCAAGAATTAAGGATCCCTTCACCTTCTGGGCCTGGCAATTCTTGTATGTTATGTTTGTGGTGTTCTGTAATGTGGGCCTATTGTGTACTGTACTTTTTTTTTTTAACATTAACTTAGCTCATTTTCCTTATCAGTGCTTATCTGTATCTTAAGTTTATAATATGTGGTTCTACATCTCAGACACATGACCTCACCCGGGAGCCTGTAGGCCACGCCTCCCTAGTCAGCTGGTTTTCCCTCCCATCAGGTCTCCCCGTCTGGGAAGGGGGAGAGGGTCTGGTCCACCTGCCCCCGGCCTTCCAAGTGACAGTCGGGGCCCACAGTTGCTAGTGACTCATCCCTGCTGGGACTATTGCTGCCCCAGCCGCATGTGCCTGGCCACTAGATCACTGACGAGGACACGTTCTGCCAAGGCCGAGCTATCTGGGAGCCTACCCCCTTGCAGCTCAAAAACGGTGGCAGTGCCACCAATCAAAGGCTGCCGTGGCTAAGACAGAGGGAGCAGGGCCGCCTCCTCAGTCAGCTTTCCTGTCCTGGGGCATGCTGCGACTGTGAGAGGCCCCCAGGCACACCTGACCCGGCTTTCCCCTTTCGGTAGGTGGCAGGACCCCATCTTCTCCCTGGCTACCCCCCTGCGGGCTGGTGAAGAAGGCAGCCACAGTCGGAAGTTGCTGTGCAGAAGTGGAGAGGAGCTCCAGACGGAGGACCAGGGTGCCCCTCTTGGCTCAGCCCCCATCCTGGGTGGCTGGTTTGGCAGGGGCTGCACCAAACGCACAAAAAGGAAGAGAGTGACATAACCTGGTGCTTGGCTGGGAACAGCACTGGCACTTTGCAGGCGGCTGGAACTCTGATTTGGGGGCTGGTAGCACCCAGAAGGCCAGGACTCTGCCCCACGGGGTTAATGAAAATTCTCTAGGAGTGACATCTTCCCAGTGACCAGCTTAGCCATCTGTCTTGATGGGAAGCCCCTTGCACTGCTGTGGTTGCCCCCCACCCATGGGCCTGAGGGTCGACACCTGGCCCAACCAGCTTCTTCTGAAGAGGTGGCAGCCATGCGTTCCCTTGAGAACGGAACTCGGGTTGTCTCCCACCTGGCAGGCCAAGAGGAAGTAAATGCTGCCTTATCTTGTTCAGGCTACTCAGGGCCTTCAACCCCGTTTCTACTTCTTACTACGAATGTTAACTTTATAGCAAACCTTTTTCTGCTTTGGTATGCGGCAAAGGGGCGGTTTGGAGCCTTAGCTCTCGGCAGACCTTTTTATTGTTATTAAACATCTGCACTGTCTTCCCTTGCCACTGCGTGTCTGCCTTTCACACGCTGTCTGGAGCGGGCGCCCCGCCTGGCTCCTCAGGGGCCTGGGGGTGGGAGGTACTACATGTGGTCTTGCCCCGCCCCTCCAAGTGCAAGCTCCAGGACGGTGCGCGTACGCCATTGGCTGCAAGCCAAGGGAGGGGGTGGGGCTTGGCCCTGGCGAGGGACATGAGTGGCCATGTTCAGAGGGCGTGACTCAGTTCTGGTGAGGCCGGTGGCGCACTCCATTGGTCACGCCAGACAGATGGGCGGGCTGGGGCTTTGCGGACGGGGTGGTGCTTGCCATTGGTCGCGCGCAGCTGCCGGGGGTCCGCGTGACAGCGCGTGCGCGGGGCGGGGCTGGGCAGAAGGCAGCGGCTGAGAGTTTCAGAGCCTACCCGGCGGGCTGCGACGGTGGGGACATGATCCGAAACGGGCACGGGGTGGCAGTCGGCGCCGAACGGCTGGGCCCGGGAGGCAGGCCTGCAGTGCGAGTGTGGTGCGATGGCTGGTGAGCGCGGCGGCGGCGGGCGTTGGCGAGCGTTGGCGGGCGGGGACCGGGTCGGGCCGCGGTGGCCGCTGCACTGCCACCTGGAGAGGCATGTGTGAGCTGGCCTTCACTTCGGGACTTTGCTTGGGGCCGGGAGTCAGCCGTCGATTGCCGGGGGGGGCAGAAGGTGGTCAGCAGGCGCAGACTCGGGCTACCGGAGCCCGGAGGACGCTTGGGACCCAGGGCCACCCCTGCCGCAGCAGCCTGGCATGAAGGACCAGGACGCAGGCCGGACCGCTGACCCCGTCGCGGAGACTCGGAGGGTTCTGGGAGAAGCGCCTTTCCTACAAGCACTCCTTCCCCGACGTTTGCCAGTAAGCCTCAGACAGAGTCAGGCCGGCCTGCCCAGCTTGTGGACCACGGTGGCGAAAGTCGCATGATGAATTTAATCATTTTAGTGACGTCTGAAGGAGCCAGGCACCCACAGTCTTCCCCAAGGGTGTCTGTGTCGGGTTCCCTAGCTTGGCCAGCACAGAACCAGAGAGATTGTCCTGGGTGCCTGGGCAGTGTCAGCGCAGGAATTGGGTGACTCCGTCCAGGACCCCCACTGAAGCCCCTGGGTGCCCTCATGCCCGCTCTTCTGTTGGGCCACAGGGCAGGGTTGTTGGACACAGTTTGGGGTTGTCAGCTGATAACTTACTGCTTGTGATGCTTCCTTGGCCCATTCCTGAGGCAAGCAGAGAAGGAAATATACCCTTATTTACAGAGTCTGCACTTGAATCACCTTAGGCAGAGGGAGGGTGGCTTTGTGTCCACAGACTCTGACCTTGGCCCTGGCCAGCAGGCCCTTGCTCCCGCTGCCACAGCCACAGAGGCTGCAGTGACTGGGACACACCCTGGTCCCACTGCCACCCTGCCTTTCATGTGCCCCCTGGCCCAGCCTGCCCAGTGGGCATGGGGGACCAGCCTGGGTGCCCCTGTGCACTTGGACTTCATTATTCCCTTACCCCAGAGCCAGAGCCCCACAGGCTGTGCTGCCGGGGCCTGGTACGGTGTGACCAGGGTCACAGATGCAACAGCTCTGAGTCACCTGGAGAAGCAGGACCGCTTTGCCAATCAGAAGGCGGTGCGAGGCTGGAAGGAGTAGAATGAGCTTGAGGGCGCAGCTCGGGCCCCCAGTACACGGGCACACAGGGGCCCAGCCCCAGCAGCTGCTGTCTGTGGCCTACGAGTTGAGAGGTCACTCTAACCAGGCCTGGCTTGGTGGATAAAGCCCTAGACCAGGTGATAGGGAGGTGGGGGTCGGCCTGCTCACAGAGGCTCTGGAGACCGAATGGGAGCAGCAGGCACTGCCCTCGGGCACTGGTTGGCCTGAGCTGCCTATTGGCCCAGAGGCTCTCCATTCGCTTCAGGGAGGCAAGCGGGTTTAGCCCACCCTTGAATTCTACAGCTTAAAGGGACCGCCCGTGGCACTTTGCATCTGGGAGGGGCCCTAAGGGCCGTGTGGTCCCAGGAGTGGGGAGCAGGGCTGTTCTTTCTGCTCTCCAGCCCTTGGGATGTGCAGACCTGGTCCCCGGGTATAGGCGGATGCTTGCCGCATCAGGCCCCTGGCCCAGGGGCCAGCCCCTTTCAGAGCTGAGCACCCGGCTCCCTGCCAAAAGCTCAGGCCCAGCCAGACCCTGGGGAGAAGTTCCTGGTGGTGGCTTCTGAGAAGGCTTTCTAGGGAAGGCACAGAGGAGCCAGGCTGTACCCCTCGCAACCCATGGGCCACTTAGTCCCCACCCTCCCCTGCCCAAGGAGTGACCACCCTGCCCTCCTGCAGCTATGACATGGTGCATTACGGCCACTCCAACCAGCTGCGCCAGGCACGGGCTATGGGTGACTACCTCATCGTGGGCGTGCACACCGACGGTAGGCCGGGGCGGCCATGCCACCCTCCCTTTCCCCGTGCCCACCTGGGGCGGTCCCCAGCATTACTGGGGACTCTTGCTGGGTGAGGGGACCACGCACTTACCCGCAAACTGTCCTGAGCGGGTGTGCGGGTCGGAGGAGGACAGGGTGGTGGCGGCGGCAGCTGGGGCGTGGGAGGGCCCTCCCAAGGAGGGGCCGGTGAGCCTGCAGCCCAGCCCGTCACAGTTCAACACCATGTCCGCCCCTCTACTCTGGCCCTAGAGGAGATCGCCAAGCACAAGGGCCCCCCAGTGTTCACGCAGGAGGAGAGGTACCGGATGGTGCAGGCCATCAAGTGGGTGGACGAGGTGGTGCCAGCGGCTCCCTATGTCACCACGCTGGAGACGCTGGACAAGTACAGCTGCGACTTCTGTGTCCACGGCAGTGAGTGGGCACTTGAGGCAGGCTCAGACTGCCGGGGTCACGGGCAGCACTGGGCTTCCTCACACTTCGGGGAGCCCTGAGCCCTTTGGGGCCTGAGAACGTTCTAGGTCTTCCCCTAGAAACAGGCCCAGGCCAGGAGGGCAGGCCTGGGAAGGGGGTTGTGAGCCCTGAAGGCCTTGGTGGCTTTGGGTTAAGGACCCTTGTCCCTGTGTCGCTCTGTAGATGACATCACACTGACTGTGGACGGCCGGGACACCTATGAGGAAGTGAAGCAGGCTGGGAGGTACAGGTAAGCCCCATCTCGGGCCCTTTCCAGGAGTCGGATTCAGTGTTCAGGGGCACGTCCGGGCCGCAGCCTGTGCGGCCATGGCCGTGGCCGCTGCGCAGAAGAGCGCCCCAGGCCTCTGCCACAGCCCAGAGTGTCAAGGACGTGCCGGTCTGTGCACAGTGCACCTGGAGACTGGGTTGCCCCAGGTAAGGTGACCCGAGAGCTCTGACCCCACTTCTCCGCTGCCACTTCTGTCCCCAGAGAGTGCAAGCGCACCCAGGGCGTGTCCACCACGGACCTCGTTGGCCGCATGCTGCTGGTCACCAAGGCCCATCACAGCAGCCAAGTGAGTCCTGAGAGGTGGGGCCAAATCTGAGGTCCCCCAACCGCAGACATCACTGGGAGGGAAGGAGGACTGTCCACCCTGCCGTGGGCCGAAGGACAGTGGGCTGCGGTGTCCTGGGATTGGCTGCATCTAGAGGGTGCAGCTCGTGACCTCCGCCCCCCCGCCCCTTGCCTTGCAGGAGATGTCCTCCGAGTACCGAGAGTACGCAGACAGTTTTGGCAAGGTGAGTGTTGCCTGGAGCCTCCCCTGCCGCCCTGCTTCCTGCCTCTGGGCTCCGAGCGGGGAGTGACCTGTGCTGCCTGGAGGAGGAGCGGCCTGGCCCTCCCACCCTTCCTAGTCCCCTCATCTGACCCCTGCCAAGGAGATGCTTTCCTCAGAAGGCTCCTCCCAGGTGACCAGTGGTGGCCTTGGGGTGTGGGGCCCTCAGAGGTGCTGTGTCCACTGACCTCCTTCCTCCTGGACTTAGGTGGCCACAGCTGCAGTTTTCCACTGTGACCATGGGGCGGGGCCACAGTCCCACTTGCCACAGGGGCCCCGCCCAGCCTGGCCCTGGTGTGTACAGGAAACAGCCAGGAGCCAGCTGGCAGGCTGCGGCCGGGGTCTAGAGTCCTACCTTGTAGCCGCCCCCACACCTGCTGCCCCTGCAACTGTGCCCCTCAGAGCAGGCTGACAGGCAGGTGCAGGCAGTGCCGGGCTCAGAAGAAGGGGCCTGTGCCTGCAAAGACTGTCACTGATCAGAGCTCTCTTGGCTTGCAGTGCCCAGGGGGGCGGAACCCCTGGACAGGGGTGTCCCAGTTTCTGCAGACCTCCCAGAAGATCATCCAGTTTGCTTCGGGGAAGGAGCCTCAGCCGGGCGAGACGGTCATTTACGTGGCCGGTGCCTTTGACCTGTTCCGTATCCTCCAGACCTAGGGGTGGGGGTGGCCCCAGCCCTTTCCTCTGTGTCCACACCTGCCCTAGGGCAGCCCTCCCTGCCTTCTCGAGGCCCTGGGGCGGGCGGGCTGCGGGGACGCCGAGGCTGCCGGGTCGCCGAGGGTAGGCCTGCAGCGGCTCTTGCTGCATTACTTGCTCCTGAACCCGGGCGCAGACATCGGGCACGTGGACTTTCTGGAGAAGGTGCACAGCCTGGCGGAGAGGCCTTACGTCATCGCCGGCCTGCACTTCGACCAGGTCTCAGCTCCAGGCAGCCGGTCGTGGGGCCTGTGCGGCGGGCACAGGAGGCCGTGGGGAGCAAGGCCCTGGGTGCTGTGGGGGCCGAAGGATGAGCTGGGGCCTTTCTGGGCAGGGTTGTCCTCCAGGCCCTGCCCACGCTGGTGGGCGCTCCCCCAGGGGCTACCAGCAGGAGGCTCGCTGACCTGCCCTCGCTCTGGCCTTAGGAGGTCAACCGCTACAAGGGCAAGAACTACCCCATCATGAACCTGCACGAGCGGACCCTGAGTGTGCTGGCCTGCAGGGTGAGCGGGGGTGGGGTGGGCTGTAGGCCTCCGGGGGCCGTGGACGGCTGGCCCCGCCACACTTACTCCCCGAGTCCCCACTGGCAGTCCCGGCTGGCGTTTGGGACCATCCCTCACCCCCCTCTAGCCCAGCGGGGCCCCGGCTGACCAGCTGGGACCCTGCCTCCCTCCGCAGTATGTGTCAGAGGTGGTGATCGGGGCCCCGTATGCAGTCACAGCCGAGCTCCTGGACCACTTCAAGGTGAGGCTCCTGGGCAAGGGCCCCAGGGCACACTGGGCCGTCTCCCTGGGGCGGGGGCCTCCCTGACCCCTCCTCCCTCCGCAGGTGGACATAGTGTGTCACGGGAAGACAGAAATCGTGCCGGACAGGGACGGCTCTGACCCGTACCAGGTGGGGTGTGCTGGGCCCACCCGGGTCTGGGGAACGGGTGTAGTGGCCACTGCTGCTCCGAGGGCCCCACAGTCCAGGGAGGCAGGAAGGACGCTGATGCATGAGAGGAACTGTCCTGACGGCGCTGGGGCGCTGGGCGGCCTCTTGGGCGTCCAGAGGAGAACCCACATCTCCCCACTTCCCCTCGGCTCCAGGAGCCCAAGAGGAGAGGCATCTTCTGTCAGGTGGACAGTGGGAGTGACCTCACCACGGACCTCATCGTCCAGCGCATCATCACAAACAGGTGAGGCCCCCGCTGGGCTGCGGGGCCCAAGGCCCCCTGCTGAGCGTGCGGCTCACACCCAGCTGGCCCACAGGCTGCAGTACGAGGCCCGGAACCAGAAGAAAGAGGCCAAGGAGCTGGCCTTTCTGGAGGCCATGAGGCAGCAGGAGCCGCAGCCCACGAGGGAGAGGGACAGTCCCTTCTGACGGAGGATGACCGCCACCGGGAGCCCTGGAGCTCGGCCTGCTCCGGCCCCGCTCCTCGCCCCTCCGTGGCTGCCTGCCGTGGGTTCGACAGCGTGGCCGCCCCCTCCCTCCTGCACCCTCCCCTCTGAGCTGCACGGGGAAGGAGCCCCGCAGGCAGGATGAGCAGAGGGCGCCGGTGACCAGAGGGGTGCCACCCTGTGTGCCTGGGGAGGCCCAGCCCCGCCCCACCCTGCCCCCTCGGGAGGCTCCCACAGACCCAGCTGACTCCTGCCCGCCCCTCTCGGCGAGAGTCCACTTCGGGGGACAGTGACCCGAGGGCGCACAGCCTTCCCTCCGCAGGGTGCGGACCAGGCTGCCCCTGTACCCGCACCCTCTGCCTTGTGCTGTGTCCCTGGTGCCCCAAACCTGGCTCCTGGACCCTGAGCCCCGCTCCCCGGCCAACCTCCTGCTCTCCCCACGGACTTCTCCATTTTGTGCGTGACGAGCCGGTGTGCAACCAATAAAGCGGGTGGGAGACCCACTGTGTCGGGCCGTCAGCCCTGCTGCCGCCTGTCACCAGGAAGATGAGAGGCTGAGTCCCTGCAGCTCCAGAGGGCCACCCACGCAGGAAGGCCTGGGATCCACAGAATCTTGGGGTCTCCTGCACCCAAGTCAGACCCACTTGGAGCAGCCCAGTGGCTGCAGGGTCACTTCTGGGGGTGGGGGCACCATGTAGCCTGGCCCCGTGGGAGCCCAAAGCCAGCACACAGCCTGCCCACTCTGGTCGGGGCTGGGCCAGCCCTTTCTTCTGAATTCTCTGTTTCATTGACTTTAGAGACAAACACAGTCTGTTCTCCGAGAGCGTGCACTCAGGCCCGTGCTCAAACCCATGTCCTCGGGGCGGCAGGAGAGCGCTCTCACCCACCGAGCCAAGAGGGAGAGAAACATCAGTGTGTGGTTGCCTCTCACATGCCCCCAACCGGGGACCTGGCCCATAACCCAGGCGTGTGCCCTGACTGGGAATCGAAACTTTTGGGCTTGTGGGATGATGCCCAACCCACTGAGCCACACTGGTCAGGGCTCAATTTCACCTTGGGGTCTGGACTTGAAGCTTTGAGAGGCCCAGGGCCGTCCCTGCACCTCCACCCGTCCGGGCCCCCGACTTCAGGAGCCCTGTGGTGCCAGGCCTCCCCGTAATCAGACCCCTGGGGTACAGGGGACCCCTGAGAAGAGGGACTGGACATCCCCCTATAGATTCAGAAGGGTGGGACCAGTGGGCTTCTTGAACACCTGGCTCAGCCCCAGGCCTTCCCAGAACCCACCTCACAGGGTGCCCCCCTGAGCTGGGGACGGCCCCCAAGCAGCAGCCAGGGAGCCCCAGCTGGGGCCTGGGCGTGCAGGAAGGCGCCCTCCCTGAAGAGACCTCTACCCCGGCACACCCCGGCCTCCCTCAGCCACTGCACTATACAGGCGCTCCATGGGTGGGGAGCCCCCCAGGGCAGGCTCCAGACCTCCCTTGAGGCCCCAGCTCGTGTTCTGAAGGGAGCTGCGGTGTGGGGGCAGGAATCCACGGGCAGGACCCCCCGACCTGAGTGTGCAGCCTGCCCACCTTCCTGAACTGCCCCTCCACCCGCTGGGCAGGGCTGGCTGCCCGCGCCGGGGGCACTTGCCCCAGTGGGTCAGTTCGAGGTCTTCTGGGCAGCCTGCCCGCCCCGCAGCTGCCCTGTCCCGCCGGACCCAGCCTGCTCCTGCTCATGGGCATCGCGCCAGACCCAGGGCTCTGTGGCTGCTGCTGAGGAAGGTAGGTGTTGGGGCTCCAAGGAGAGGGTGGCGCTAGAAGTCGTCCCTCTGGTGAGGGACAGCTCCAGCCTCGGGAGACCCAGGGCTCGAGGCAGGAGGACCGTCTGGGGGGCATGACGGGAAGGCTGGCCGAACACCCCTCCCGATGGCTGGGCGTGGGGAGCAGGGGGGGCTGGGGAACGCAGGAAGGCGGGAGACGCCCCGAAAGCTCACGGCACTGCGCTGGAGCCCTGGGCCCCACCTGTGTGGAGTGCTCCCGGAGCAGACGGGGCGTGGCCCGGACTCACGGACTGACCCCTGGATCTTGGATCTTGCCCCCTCCCGCGGTGCCCCCCCCCCACACGCGTGTCGTTGCCTCATTTAGCCGTTTACTGTGGAGACGGGGAGGGCGGTACCGGGCGCCTTCTCCTCGGGGGCCCAGGGTGCGAGCGGGGCCGTGGGCGGCGGGAACATCAAGCCCCGAGACAGTCGGCCGCGCGGAGCGACGGGAATACGTCCGCCTTGCGCTGGAAGGTGGCGCGGCTGTCAGGGATTCGTTCGCAGCTCTGCAGGTTCTGGGCGACAACCTGGACGCACACGCCCTGCGGGCAGGAGATTAAGGGGGCGCTCCGGCCGCCCGTCCACCCCCCCGCCCCGCGGCCTCCCGCTGGAGCACTCACCGGGCTCTGTAGGCTGGGGCGCAGCTCCCAGGCAGTGCCTGCCCGGCCGGGGGTTCCCGTGCCCACCGGGCGCTCGGAGCGCCGTGCGTATGGGGACCCGCGCGAGCCGGACAGCAGCCCTGCCGCCGGCTTGTACCAGGCGCGGCCGGGGGCAGCAGCAGGCTCAGCGCCAGGGAGGTGGCCAGTGTGGAGGGTCGGGCCCTAGGGACGGGGTTGGGCGTCCGGCTCAGCGTCGCCGCCGCAGCGGGCGCCTTGTATCTGTGGCGGGCGGGGCGGGCCTGCTGCGCAGGGGCGCCGGAGCTGGATGCGCCGGTGGTGGGGTGGGGAGCCGATGCTCACAGCCCCGGAGTTGACGGGGGTCCCGGTGGTTCCCAGCCCCGTCCGCTGCTGGGAGGGGGCGCCCGGGCTGCTCCTACTGCCAGGCGGCCGGGCCCGGAGGCGCCTCAGAGCAGCACCAAGTGCAGTTGCTGAACCCCCCACCCCCCGAGGGCGCCCCAGCCCTGAGTCACCCCCAGAGGCCCCTAAGGCTCATGAAGCGAGAGAGCCACTGAGTGCACAGCGCCAGAGCTACTGGAGGAGAACCCAGGCCGGAATGCGGGCGGACCCTGGTCTCCCACCCAAGGGGGAGGATCGGCCCTCCCTTGAGGGGGACGGCAGGGAGCCAGGTGGGAGCTCTGGGAAGTGGACAGAGGGGTGGGTGCCTTGGGGCCTTCTCTCCCCAACCCAAATGCTGGTCTGAGGACAGAACTGCCGGCAGAGGTTCATTTTTCGCACACCTACTGTGTGCCAGCATCCAGGAGACAGCTGGACCCAGGCCCTGGGTGAAGCCCCTGGGTGCCCAGGGGCCGGTAAGGTGGAGGCAGTGGTGTGGCTCTGTGCCTCAGGGGCAGCAGAGGGGAGGCGGTGGAGCAAGCTGAGGGGACAGGGTCCAAGCTTCCTGGGACGCGGCAGATGGGGCTGGACTCTGTGCGTGTGCAGGGCCCAGTAGGCAGCTGTGTCCAGCTTGAGGGTACCCAGCCAGGTGATGAGGTGTCCAGGTGGCAGGGAGTGTGGGTGGCCCCCAGGTGGTGTCTGTGGCTGGAGCTGGCAGCACCAGTCCCAGTGGGCAAGGGGGAGAAGCTGCCTGGGAGGCTGGGTCCCGGTGGGCACTTTCCACTGGGGATAAGTCCTCGAGAAGGGAGTGAGTCCAGGGGGTGGGCCAGGCTGTCCACACACCCTGGGAAGCCGAGAGCCCTCTGGCGGCTCATCTGCAGTGGCCATGGCCGCTCCTGCTCCCTCCAGAAGTCCTGGTGACCGCACAGCCCTGGACTGTCCGGAGCCAGAGAGGATGCTGGACAGGCCGCCAGACCTCACCTGGCAGGTTACATGGGCTCACCCGGGCCCCTCCCCCACTGCCCAAACACCTCTGGAGACTGTGCAGAAGGCCCAAGGCTGGGTTTTGTGGGGTGGGGAACTTGGCCTGAGGGCCCAGGGGGTGACCAGCACCCCTTCTCCTCCGAGACAATCCCCTCTCCTCCCCCAGGGTGACCACCACCCACCACACAGACAGAAAGGGTTTCCTAGGGGCAGCAACGAGGCGGGGGGGACACTGAAGGGTCGTATGGAGGGTGCTCTGCAGCGCGGGAAAGCACAGCCTGGCAGTCTCCGGAACCTGCCCCGAACTGGGGCTGCCGAGCTGGGGCCACCCTCCGACACCAGGGACACAGCCTGTCCCACGCTGAGTCACGGACTCAATGTGAAGCTGGCCCTCCGGGTGAGCCCGGGAGACCTGCCTGCCACAGACACCAGGCCTCCTCACCTTGCAGCGCAGCCTGGCCCCGTGCCACCAGCACAGGCCCTGGATGCCTTCTTGGTGGGAGGGGCTGCAGGCCATGGCTGGCAGCTGTGCCCAGATAGGGTCTCAAAAACCAGCTGGGCTCCCATCAGGTGAGAAGCTGGCTGATGGGCCACAAGCCTCTGCCCAGAGGTTCCTTCGCTTACATTAGGAGCACACCCCTGGGCCTTTGCACCCCCAGGCTCTTCCAGCCCGAGCCACCCACCGTCACTGCTCCCTGCTCTTCCGGCTGATCCCGCACCCCTCCCTCCACAGGAGCCATGACTCGGGGCCCGGCCGCACTGCAGAGATCTTTATTCATGAGAGTTCTCACATCTGTGCACGCCGAGGCCACGTCAGCACCAAGAACACAGGCAGCCAGAGGCATCTGCAAGGCCCAGGCAGTTTAATGAGTTTCCCTTATTGGATAAAAGTGTCAGCATGGAGACCAGGATACAGCGCTGCTCCGCCCTCACCCCCCCCCCCCCCCGAGGCTCACTCCTTGAACTTCCACTCCTGGCGGCACATGGGGCAGTGCTGCTGCACCTGCTGCGCGTTCAGCCACTTGAGGATGCAGTGCATGTGGAAGCAGTGGGAGCACTGGCCCCACACCAGCGGGCAGTCGTCACCTGGCACCTTGCCTGCGGGAACAGGAGAAGGCGTGGGTCACACGGAGCATGCCCACAGCTGGGGGAACGAGGCCGGGACCCAGGACCCACGGTAGCCGGGGCCTCTTAGAGAGGCAGGTTCTGGAGTCGGGACCAGTGCTGCGGCAGAGCCGCCCTGTGTGAAAGTTAGCGTGACCCCACCTGGTGGGAGCCCCTCAGGGTGGCTCAGCGTCAGGAGGAGCCCTAGCCAGGCCCACAGCCCCTGACTGCTGGCCGTCTAGGGCCCAGGCCCGCTGGCAGACACTGTGCAGCTGGGACGCTGGACCTGCACTGCCAGGCTGCCGTGTGACTGTGCCCCCAGGTGAGCAGGACCCACTCGTCCAGCCAGGGGCCAGAGGCTGGGGCCTCGAGACCATGCAGGTCCCTTCCCCCAGGCAGCAGGGGCCCAGTGCGACACCCAGGAGCGGGCTGAGGAGCCTGTCACAGGCTGGGTGTGGCCATGGCGCCGCCTTCCATCTCTCTCCATTTCTAGCTCGAAAGGCTCCCGCCTCCAAGGCCCAGGGTGCTTGCTGCTGGCTTTCCACGCCACACCCCAGGAAAGGCTGCCTCCGTGGAGGGCCTGGGGCACAGAGGACGCTCCACACTGCCCAAGGCTGAGAAACAATGGTCCTGATCCCCAGTCAGTCCGGTGCGGACACAGTGCACAAGGACCTCCCCAGGGCCCCGAGGAGGGTCCCCACAGTCAGGGAGGAGTTGAAGCCTGCTCCCTACACCCTGTTCTCCCAGGGGCGCCTTCCCCCACACCCCTGCCTGGGGGGTCCTCTACACCTTGCAAGCACTAGCTATACCGGATGTCACTGTGACACCGACGTGAGGAACCACACAGACAAGGCAAGGGCAGCTGGACAGGGGACATCTTCTCCAGGCAGCAGCTTCCTTTGTGACCTGTGTCCTAGGTACAGGACAGAAGCTGCCTTCGGATGCCTGTGCTCAGGAGCCTGGCCAGGTCACCTGTGGTCCCAGCACTTGCTCTTGACACCACACACGGGAATACACGATTCTGCAGTGGAAGCAACAGCACACTGGCAAGTGACGCTCCGAAATCCCACCCGGCGCCTCCCTGGGCAGAAGCAGGAGCCGGGAGCCAGCCTGCCCTCTCTTCCGCCCTCACGCCAGCTCCCCAAGCAGACGCCCCGCCTCCCAGGCAGGGGGCGGGGCTGCAGCTCTGCCTTCTGATTTACTGGTTGGGAGCAGTGTTTCCCAACCTTTAAAAAAAATCATTTCCAGTCTTAAAAAGTCCTTTTTGTAAGGCCCTGGCCAGACAGGTTAGTCGGTTACAGCATCTTCTCAAAGCCAAGGATGCGAATCCCTGGTGTGGTTCCGTGGGCTGGTTGTCAGTCATCCAGCAAAGTGAAAGGTTGCCAGTTCAACTCCCCTTGAGGGCACGTGCCTGGCTTGTGGGGTCAGTCTTTGGTTGGAGTGCACACTGAGAAGCAACAGACTGATGTTTCTCTCCCTCCCTCCCCCTCTCTCTACAAACAGTCTTTTAAAAAAATTATTTATTTTTTAGAGTGGGGAAGGAAGAGGGAAAGAGAGGGAGAGAAACATCAACGTGTGGTTGCCTCTCATGCACCCCCCACTGGGGACCTGGCCCGCAACCCAGGCATGTGTTCTGACTGGGAATCAAACCAGTGACCTTTTGGTTCACAGGCCAGCACTCAATCCACTGAGCCACACCAGCCAGGGCATTAAATAATTATTTTAAAAATCCTTTCTCTGAGGCCCTGGCAAGGTAGTTCAGCTTGTTACAGTGTGGCCCCCATGTGTTAAGGATGAGAACTCCTGGTCTAGGCATGTAGAAAAAGCAACTGATTAAAGAACAAGTAAGTGAAGCTGGTCCAAAGATTAGACTCTAAATCCCCCCACTCTCTGCAGCTGGAGGATGGTGGATTCGGAGGCAGACACCAGCCCCGCTGGGACTGCCCTCTGGGCTCTGCAGGCCACCAGCCCACCTACACAGGCTCTTAGGCTTGTGTCACCAGGGACACCACCCCAAAGATGGTTTGGAGCACTTTTCAGAGAGTAATGATCAAGTCTGTGGCTTAAAAGATTTCCAGAGCCCGCCCCAGGCTCCTCCGCCTCTGCGACGCCCTTGGGAAACAAAGTTTAAAACACCATGAGTAAAACCTTGTGCTGCACTGATCTCATCAAGTAAAACCAGATCAAGTAGAGCCAATCATCGCCTCCTAACATTCCAGTCCCAAGCCTGATTAAATCAGGAGGGATTTGCTCCTGCAAATGAGATTTCCTGCTCAGAAGGTGAGGTCTAGAATGAAACAGCGTTTGCACTGAAATTCCGTGGTGTGCATTTTTCGGAGAAGATCAAAGCCCTCTTTTTCCGGGCATTCATCCAGCCCCAAGAAGCCTGGTCACTCCCAGGGCAGTGTGGGGCACCGCAGGAGTGCTCCCGGGGCCACCCTGGTCCCAGCGGAAAAGCCCTGACCCTTGCTTCTGCATTATATTCACTTGTCTCTGACGAAAAACCACGCACTGGTGCAAAATCTGCTTTTGAACCAAATATACAATAAAGTACTTCTACTGTGCAGAACATAGTGGGGACAAAGGAACGACAAGAAATCGCACAAAGCCTGATGTACAGGGTAACGAATGCAGCGGCTTCCTAAAGGAGTCTGAAGTCAGTCACAAGGAGTGAGGGAGGCTGAAGGAGGGCTGCTCTAGAAGAAATAGAGAGGGGCAGAGCAGTGGAATGCACAGCCCCGTTGCAGCCCACCCGAGAGCGACAAGACATGGGGACAGCTGGAGAGATGCGAACCAGCCCTGGGAAAGGGCGACGACCCGGGGAGAATGCTGCCTTAAGTCGGGCGAAGTTAGGGACGCGCGTGCAGTGGGTGGGACAGGACGCCTGTTTACCACTTACTTTAAAACGATTCCGCAGCCCTGGCTGGTGTAGCTCAGTGAATTGAAGCATGGGCCTGCGAACCAGACAATCGCGGTTCGATTCCCAGTCAGGGCACATGCCTGGGTTGCAGGCTGGTTTCCTGCAGGCCAGTTCCCAGCAGGGGATGCAGGAAAGGCAACCGTACATTGCTGTTTCTCTCCCTCTCTCCTTCCCCCCTCCCCCTCTAAAGATAAATAAATTTAAAAAAAAAAAAAACGCTTCCGCAAAACCAGGATGCAAACACAAAAACCCTCCTCCCGAGACCCTGTGCTGTACGAGGGGGGTGGGGTGTCCTTACACAATTCTATTTGTTTTGTTCGAGAATTTTCAAATAACAAGTTATGACGTTTTTTGCCCCATGTGTTTCCCAACCCAGTTTGATGACAAAAAGCTGCACTATTTTTACTAACGAAACATTTGCTGGCATCTTTATATAGATAGGGACCCACATCTCCAGCCTCTTTTTGGCTAACTTTGCTTGAGGCTAAGGGCTTTGTGCGGGTGTTTCTGGGGAGCCGCCTCGGCCGGGAGAACACGGGGGACACTCACAGTCCGGACAGCAGCCATTGAAGGCCATCCGGCAGATGCCGCAGTTCTCGTCATTGGCCACCCACAGCCAAGTGGCTACGCCGTTCCAGCACTTAATCTTCACCTTCATGGCGGCAGCGCCTGCAGAGAGGGAAGAGATTGCCTGCTGCCCTGAGTCTGCCGAACAACAGGCACCAGGCTAGGGTGCTGCCCAAGCCAGTGCCCGCTCGGAGAAACCGCTTTAGTTGCCCAGAGGAGCACGGGCGGCTGGGGTAGAGGTCGCCCGTGGGAACCCCGGGCGCCACAGAGGCTCTGCACGCACTCGGGGTACCTGCAAAGACCGCCGCCACAGGGCGCGCTGGCTTTCCTTAACAAGTGCACAAATGTGACGCACAGCACGTCACTGACTGGGGGGGCGACAAACAGACGGAGCTCCAAAGCCTCTGGCTAGGATTCAGCCAGAAAACCGCCACCCGGGCCCGGGTCGCCCGAGGTGAGGGGTGGATAAAGCGGTGAGCCACGCCCCCAAGACCACACCCCGCCCCGCCCCTCGCACCCGTGCCTACTTAATCGAGCGCAGCCCCGCCCGCCTTCAGTTAGCAGCGCCAGGGCCCGCGCGGGAAGGTACGAAAACGAACGCGACCGCGGCCGGACGCTCTGCAGCCTTGCCCGCCGAGACTCAAGCCCCAACGCGCAGGCGCCGGCCTGCCCCAACCGCGCCCTTAGCCAATCGGCGGTCGCTCCGAGGACGCGGCTCCGGAAGACGCTGCGCGGCGTCGGAAGTGACGAGCCGGCGTGCTGACGCGCGGGCTTGAGCCTAGGCCGATTCCGCGCCCGCCATGGCCGACAAAATGGACATGTCCCTGGACGACATCATTAAGCTGAACCGGAGCCAGCGAGGCGGCCGCGGCGGGGGCCGGGGTCGAGGACGGGCCGGCTCCCAGGGAGGCCGCGGCGGAGCTCAGGCTGCTGCACGAGTGACCCGGGGCGGCGGGCCCATCCGGAACCGGGCGGCGCTAGCTCGCGGTGCGGCGGGCGGCGGCGGCAGGAACCGGCCGGCGCCCTACAGCAGGGTGAGTGCAGAGGCCCGTGACGGGGGAGCGGGCCGGCGGGGTGGCGCGCGGCAGATAGGGTGGAGGGCCGGGCCGAACCGGTGGGCGTGGGCGCCGGGCCGGGCGGGAAGGTCGCGCGCCGGCCGGGCCTGGGAGGCGGAGACCATCCCCGCCTTTGTGTGGGCTGGGCGCCTGGCCTCGTGGCGGCGGGTTACCAGGGGATGCAGAGCGCGGGCTCATGGGCAGCGGGAAATTGGTTGGCGGGAACGGAGAATTTGGGGGAGTTGGGGCTCCCGCGCGGGCGGGAAGCCGAGGGCTTCGGGTCCCTCTCCGCACTCGCCTTCAGGCCCAGATGAGCCGAGGGTCTTGCCATGCCAGCGAGAGAGGGGGACTCCTGGAATAAGACTCACGGGCTTGTGTCTGTTTTCGTGTTTTTCCAACTTTCAGCCGAAACAACTTCCTGACAAGTGGCAACATGACCTTTTCGACAGCGGCTTTGGGGGAGGTGCCGGTGTGGAGACCGGCGGGAAGCTGCTGGTGTCCAATCTAGATTTTGGAGTGTCCGACGCTGATATTCAGGTGAGGGATGGGAGCTTCTTGGTCAGCAGTTCACCCGCGCAGAGTTGATGGTGCTGTTTGGGATGTGGCCCTGGACCTTTTTCCTCCTTAGGGTAGTGAGCCCTCCCAGGTACCTAAGTCCCCCTTAAGGGGCTGCCGGAGTACCAGGCAGAGGTCCTTCTGGAGTCGAACCAGAACCTACTCTGACAAGTAGGTTCGTTTGTGCCGAGAAAGGCCACCAGCCTAGTCTGAGGAGCTGCTGCTCTTCCCACTACAAGGTCCTGTGAGTGAGCATCTCTGCCAGAGCTTCCTGTTTCTAGCGGGAATGGAGCAGTCTAGTGTGAGTGGTTCCTGTGCCTGGCAGAGCTGGGCTGCTTGCTTGCTTGCTTGCTTGCTTTATTTTGTGGCCTGGTCACGATTTGTTGGGAGGAGAAAGAACACTCTCCGCAGAACTGGCGGCACAGGAGCCGGAGAGGGCACGTCTTTGGCTGCTTCCCCTGAGCCCTGCGTCCCCTCTGTGTTGCTTCACTTCCCACCACTCCCCAGGTCCCATCAATGGCCTGGCTTTCAAACCCAGCTTGGGTTGAAGTCTCTAGTTGTTTTTTTTTTTTTTTAATTTCTTTCTATTGAATCCCAAAGGAATTTAAATTTGTTCTCTGGTTCAGCGGTGACACCCTGGGGGTCCGGGTGCTGGGCCGTCCTGGGCTCAGTTCCCTAGCACTCAGCTGCGGGAGGGTGGAGCAAGGCTGGTGAGACTCACAGTGTCTCAACACTTCTTTTAAGGTGGTTTCTGGCCTCCACTGGAAACCGCTTTTGGTGAACTCCACTTCCCGCTGTTGTGCCTGCGGCCGGAGTAGCCCCACACTCTGGGTTCCCTCTCCATCTCCCAGCCTGCCTGAGGTCAGGGCAGTTTCCATGGCAGCGCTTGACTTCAGACTTTGCGGCAGGCTTGAGTAGGAGGAGAGGGAAAGGTGAGCCAGAATCTGCCCTGGGGGAGGGGCTGGGTCAGGGCTCCCAAACCAGTGGGCCCTCTGAGCTGCTCCACCTGTCAGAAGGTGTCCCTCATTCTGTGGTTTTGGCCTTTGCGGATTGTCGGCACAGTCCTTGGGTGTGTCGTGACCTTTCCTTTGTTGGAGAAGATAGCGACTTCATTTCATGCCCTTCACTGACGGGCTTTGTGATCTTTTACCTGCATTGGGTGCAGGTGTTAGGCCCCCCACGTTGGGTGGGCTCTCAGGCCCAGTGCTCCTGGAAGTTGCTGTCCCCCCGCCCCTACGTTTCCCACGAGCACTGTCCTGCCCCCGTGTGTCTGTCTGCCTCCCAGGGAAGTACCCTCAGAGTAGCTCATGCGCCCAGGGACTGACCCTGGGCCACTGCGAGGAAGATGGTTGTGCTGATGAGTGCGCTCTCTGACTCCCAGGAGCTCTTCGCTGAGTTTGGGACGCTGAAGAAGGCAGCTGTGCACTACGACCGCTCCGGCCGCAGCCTGGGCACTGCCGACGTGCACTTCGAACGGAAGGCAGATGCCCTGAAAGCCATGAAACAGTACAACGGCGTCCCTTTGGATGGTGAGCGTGGGGCTGGCCCCAGGGACCCAAGGGGCTGGCACATGTCTGTGCTGAAATGTGGCTCACCCCTGTGGCTGAGGACACTTTATATTCACCCCCTGGTCTGTCTCCCATTCTGCCACCTCTCCTGCTGCCCCACACACCTGGACCAACCTCTCACCCAGCAAGCTATGCCCCTCCCCTCCTTCCACTCTTTCTGAAAGACTCATCCTGTGTAGTCTTCTCATACTCTGTAGTATCTCTCTGAGTGCGGGGCTGCAGTCGGAAAGACAAAGGTACCGCTTCTCCTTCTGTCAGGTTGCCCACACCTGTCCACCCACCAGCGACACCCTCCTGAACCAGGTTGAGAAAAGGGCGAGGTGCTGGCTGGTTGTCGCTGGTGCCTTCTCGTCCCCCCCCCCCCCCCGCGTGGCCAGGCCAGCTGCTTTGGTAGGAGTGTTGCAGGTGCCCGGGGCCCTGTGTGGGGCTTGCATGGAGACGGGGCAGCACCCTGGGCAGGGCTCAGGCTCTGACGGCAGTGTGCCCCCTCTGTTCTCTGCCACAGGGCGCCCCATGAACATCCAGCTCGTCACGTCACAGATCGACACACAGCGCAGACCGGCACAGAGGTGAGTGTGGGACGTCCCTGTGAGACTGGCCTGGGGGTGCGGCGTCAGGTCTCTGTGTGTGAGCGCACCCCCTTTTCCTTTCCAGCGTAAACAGAGGCGGGATGATCAGAAACCGTGGCTCCGGAGGTTTTGGCGGCGGCGGCACTCGGAGAGGCGCCCGGGGAGGCAGCCGGGGCAGAGGCAGGGGCACTGGCCGAAGTCCGAAGCAGCAGATCTCTGCAGAGGAGTTGGACGCCCAGCTGGACGCTTACAACGCCAGGGTGAGTCCTGGGCGAGTCCTGGGTGGGGCGATGGGCTGGCCCAGACCGGGGGGCGGGGCCTCCTGGTGAGCGACACCTCTCTCTCCGTTGCAGATGGACACCAGTTAGAGCGCCGGCCAGTCCGAGTGGAGCTGGGCCCAGACGTCGCATCCTGCGCCCGCGGGCAGGGGTGGAGGGGTCGGGCCGTGTGGCCAGTGATGGATTTGTTTTTTCTGTTTCAAAATAGGATTTAAATTTCATGTAAAGGTTTTTCTTTTTTTTTCCTTTCTTTTTTTTTTTTTAATTCTGAAACAGACCTGTTTTGTACTGAGTTATTTTTGGGATAAACTTTGCTGGTTGCTGTTGTGGGGGAGGTGGCCTGCTCACCTCCGCCATAATAAACAGACGCGTGTGTAGAACTGGAGCTCTGGTCGTCCCTCTGGTGGGGTCCTTGCCTGGGACTCCAGGAGGGAGGAGGGGCATGGTGGTAGGTGTGCAGGGAACGGCCCTCCTGGCATCTGGCTTCCTGACAGGTGTTGGGCACTAGTGGGGGGGCTGCCTCTCCTCTTGTACCGCAGGCGCTGACCCCTTCCTCCCTGGCCTGGAAGGCAGAGGACGTGCAGCCGCCTGTCCACTGCCTGCTCCGTGAGGCCTGGGGCAGCTGCCCAGGCTGCTGCCAGATTCCGGGGGACTGGGTTGGGCTGTCCTCTGCTGCCCAGCTCTGACTCTGCAACACCGTCTCCTCGTGGTTCTGTCGGGGGTGTCCTCTTGTTGCCAGTGGCAGAGGTGGCTGGTGGGAGCCGGCAGTGTCCCTGACTGCCCTCAGGATGCACAGAGTGGGCCAGGACCACACTTGGGGTGCATTTCAGGGGGCTGAAGCCCCTGTGGGACACTGTGCGTGGAGACCTGCCCACACCCTTTGCATCCTCTTCCGCCCCCCTCCGGAGGGCATGGGTGTGGGCCAGGCAGGTCTGCCTGCGGCCCTGTCCTGTTCTGTGGCCACGGTACGTTCCAGGGAGGGCCAGAGGAGCAACCCCTGGCCCCTGATGGCAGGCTGTGCAGTAGGTGGTGACACAGCCTTTGAGAACAGGTCCGGGGACCAGAGCGAGGCTGTTGCAGTGGGAAAGTGCATCGCACTTGTTCTGCCTGGCAGCTCAGGTGGCTCCCAGGTCCCCACCAGGCCAGAGGGAGCCGCACAGGAGCGTGACCGCAGGCAGCCCTGTGACTGCCAGCTGCACATCAGCAGCTCTGAGCGGCCCTCGGGGCACCAGACGCCTGCCTTCAGTTGCTATGGCCCAAGGGGTGGATGTGGGAGGAGTCAGGCCACCCGGCAGGGCGAGTGCCCCTGCGGAGGTGGCCTTGGGCTGAACAGGCACAGGCCAGGCAGGGAGGCCACCTATGAAGCATGTAGACAGGCCAGTCAGGGTGGCCGTGCTCCCGCCATCTGGAAGCTGATATTCACACTGGCACAGTGCTGTTAGCAAACTACGGACCACACTGTCCTTCAGCCAGTGTCCCAGTCACGGGGGTCATAGAGACTTTTCCTGGTCCACGTGGAGAAGGGTGCCGAGTCCCTTCGGAAAGTCAGTGCCCCCAGGCCTTGTCTGACTTTGTGGGCTGGTGCACCTAGGAGGCGCACGGTGCGGCTTGTCTGACCTTCCTGATGGTGTGAGCTGCTCCCTTGCAGGGGGAGACCCCAGTTTTCTCTGCTGTAAAGCTAACATCCTTCCCTTTGTAATACAAAATCGTGGGGGGCAGCAGCTTTGAAACCAGTGAACCCGTGTCTCCAGTCCTGCCTGCAAATTGCAGCACCCCGTGGTGCAGGATTGAAGGTGCTCATTAGAGGGTAGTGTTTACATCTCCCTCCGCCCTTTGGCAGCAGTCAGAGTTCTCTGGGGGGACCAGCTCCTCCCTGCCCGCTGTACGTTACTTGTGCCAACTCGGATTCACTACTGATTGCAAGTCCACCATCTGTTAACTGTGCTGCTCACAGTTTCGGCTCTGGCCGTGGGGAGCTCCTGACGGCCATCCTGCACCTCTGCACCTGCCACATCCTTGCTGAGGCACTTCCTGAGTGCCTGGCGCCTCGAGGGGCTCCTGGCTAGCCCAGAGACTGGAATGCAGCTGCCCAGGCCCGAGTACTGTGTGAACGCCTCACGCCCAGGCCAAGGTTGCCCGGGCCCTCTCTGGACAAAGCTGGAAGACCACAGACCGGGTCCTGCAGGCATATGCCCGTGCACACTGCTGCGCCCCTCCGGCTGTGTGCACACGCAGAGGACACGTGTGCAGGCTCCCATCTCCCATCCTCATTTGGGACAAACCCGGCTCTCATCATCCACGCACATCGGCTTCTATGACGTGAGTGTCCCCTGGCCTGCTGCCCAGCAGGAAGCAGCACCGGGTCAGCTCCTCTGGCCGGCTGAGTGCTGGGGAAGGCACTGGTCTTGAGGTGTCCCCCCAGCCTCCCCTCCCCTAGCCCCTCCCATGGGGTCTGTGCTGGTGTTGCACTCCTCACGGCCCGTGTCCTAGTGTGGCTTCCCAACGTCCCTGATGGTTTAGTACTCGTAATTTACATGTATTACTTGTCCTCAAGTTATTGATGGTTTTATGAGTTATATTCACGAGCTGTCATTATTAACAAGTCGCCTTAGGATTACGGACTGTTTGGGGGAAGGAGCAATAAATAACACATCCTGAGAGATTTCAGTGTAAAAATAAAACCAGAAGGTAATCTCTTCAACTGCATCACTGTCTGTGATCTGTAACCTAAGCTAAGACTCTTTGTTTTTATGCTGTTTGTACTTGTTACAGAAACAATCTAAAGCATTTTGTTACACTGGTTGTGAATTAATATTAGTATAAATCCATGTGAGCACAGTGGTAACATTCAGGATTTCGTGATAACACTTCGGAGCATCTGATGTTTGCCTGTGGAGTTTCCTTGCTCACTAATTCATTCTAAAAATTGGCAAATAACAAGAAAGTACCAAACATTTTTTCCTTTGCAAACTATTTTGAAAGAATTAAATCACTAGTGACAAGATATAATTCTGGCTTAAAAGTGCTAGTGAATTGGACAGCAAGCATTGTGGCCAGCATGGGAGTTCTATACACACCATCCCCACTCCTTGCCCTGCACATTTCTTGCCTCTGGCTGTTCCTAAGCTGTGTCCTTTACAATGAACCAGTGATCGGAAGCGAACGGCTTTTCCACGTTGTGGGAGTTGTTTGGCAAAGTTTTGAACCCGTAGGGGCAGTCATAGACGCCTCCAACGTGCAGTCTGCTGGCAAACATGGGGGCCTGGGGGCCGCGCTGTGGCTGGCATCTGTGGTCGGGGCATCCCAGCGGCCATCCTCACGTGGAAAGGCCTGGCCGAGTGCTGACAACCAGCCTTCACTTGGCTGCTGCGCTCCCAAGAGCCCGGCCAAGCTTCTTGGGCCCAGGAGCGAGCAGGGCTGGCGCTCGGTCACAGCCACCACTCTGGAGTGCTTGCCTCGGAGAGCTGGACACCAGGACAGATGGGCTAATGGTGCCGTGACCCCGGAAAGGGCTTTTTCCTTAGAAACGAGTGTGTGCTGAGACTTGCTGCCCTTGCAGAGGGTGAGGATGCAGACCGAACAGCCGTCCACCAGCTGAAAACCCCCCAAGCTGTGGAGAGGTCCAGGGGCTCAACGGCACCATCCTCTCCACTTTGGTGCCTGCACTGGGCCGTCCTGGTCCTCTCACCCTGGGGCCCCTCCCACACTGGCCGGGGACAGGCTGTGTGGCCGGCACCTCGGGAAGGTCGGTGCTGCAGCACTTCTGAGATCACATCATGGGGCTCTGCAGCCTCATCTGGAGCGCGTGCTGTTCCGTCTCTCGATCTGTCTGTCCATCTAAACCTCCTGCCCAGAGGGGTGTTTGGGCTTGAAGTTCAGCTGGTCTTGGAGACCATGGCTGTGGCCAACAGGTCGGGAACCACAGCCCCACGTGAGACCCAAAGCCAGAACCACTAAGATGCTTCCTGATCCTCAGAAACTGCGGGAAATAAATGGTGGTTGTGTTACTGGCTTTCAAGAGAGGAAGGGAGGGAGGAACGAAGGGAAACATCGACGTGTGAGAGACAACTGGCCACCTCTCATACTCACCTTGATAACTGGGGACCCAGCTTGCAACCAGGCCTGTGCCCTGATGGGGAAGGGACCCTGCAACCTTCCGGTTTATGGGATGACACTCCAACCCAACTGAGCAACACCAGCCAGGGCATGGTGGTGGTTTTAAGCAGATAAATTCCATGGCACATTTTTATATAGTGAGATTCCTAATAAAGAATACGTTCAATATGCTCTGTAAGTATGGTCTCTTTCGGGCACTTGGGCTGCCTCAGAGCAGACTCATCCAGGGACACAACTCGGTGCAAGGACAGCTCCCAGGCACAGGAGGCTTCCGAGCAGCAGGCTGAGCACCAACCGGAGGGCACAGCTGGTGGCCAACTCCACTTCCTGCACGGGAGCCTGGCAGTCTGACTCCTGTCACAGAAAGCTCACAGATTCGCCCTAAAATCAGACATTCCCAAAGAATACCAGGTCGCTCTTGCATTGCTCTATCGCCCGGAATGCTCTCCCGTTCACAGCGGGTGTGGGTGCGTGTGTGGCAACTTACATCTGCCTTGGACTCCCTACCAGGCAGGGTGGACTAGACTTCCGTGGAGTTTAAGGTTCTCCCTACCACGGAGGCTTTCTTCTCTGCGACACTCCGGCCACAGCCCATTGTCTGCGGGTTGGCGACCCCCAGCACCTTGGGGAAATCTTTGCCACTTCTTTCATGTTAAAGCCTCCTGACTCAGGGTTGGGTTGGCAGGACACCTGGAGAGGCCGGGCCCTTGGCCTTCTACAGGCGGGACCCGCGGGCGTCCTGAGAGTGGTCAATGCAAACTCGAAGAGATGTCTTCTGAGGGCTCCCGGGAGAGCGGGACAATGGCAGCAGGTGGAGGGCGGCCCTCGCGGGCTCGTGCGGGCCTCCGGTGGGCCCGGCCGAACGCGTCGCTGCCCAGTCTGCACGTGGGCCGCGAGCCTGCACTGGGCGACGTCCCGGCGAGTTACTGGCCGCTGACAGGACCTCGCCGAAACGCCACAACGTCCAGGCGGGGCGCACGCAAGACTGTGACTACCTCGTTTCCCGAAATTGTCTGAGCCGTGGGGTCCCGGGGGCCGGAAAGCACCCGCAGCAAAGGGTACAGACCTCCGAACACACCGGCTCCCCCGAATGACCAGACACTCTGCACCGCCCACGCGAGGCGCGCCCACGAGGCAGGCCCCGCAAGATGGCGGCCGCGCATGCGCCGCTGCCGGCCCGCCCAGCGCGAGCGGAAGTCGCGTGACCCCGGAAGTGGCCGGACGGGCGCGCGCGGGCGGGGCACCGACGTTCGTCATTTCGTGCGGGAGGGAGTGCGAGCGCGGTGCGATCGAGCCTCCGGTGAGCGCCAGGGGCGGCGGCGGGGCGGCAGCGGCGGCGGGGAGGCGGGGCGGAGGCCCAGACTTTGCCTGCCCCGCCCGCCGGGGGGAATCGGCGCCACGCGGGGGCGGCGGTGACAGCGGGCGGTGGCCCAAGCGCAGGGCGGGTCCGGGCGCAGGGACTTCCACGTGGGGGCGGGGGGCGCAGGCCTTGGACCGGCGGGGTGCAGGCGTCCTTTGTGGTCGCCGCTCGTGACCCCGCGGCGCTCCAACCCCGCCGGTGCGTGTGGACCTGGACCAGGCCCTACGCCCCTCCCTAGGCGAAGGCGCACCCGGGCTCTGGCCATCCCGGAGGGCCGCACCCCACCCGGCGCGCGTCCCAGATTGCGGGGCCTTTCGGAAGTGCGCGGCCGCGGCTTCGCGCTAGTAGGATCCTGTAGCCCGCGGCCTCACTTGGTGGCGTTAGGGTGTGAACCTTCTAGAGGAATTCCGGAGAAAGCGGCTAGGAGGCCGGGAAGAGCGGGCGCGTCCGTCACGCCTGTAAGCGACTGGCCCGCTCGCACGGGGTGCCCAGCGTCCTTTTGTGGGATCTGGTAACTCGTACAGGGCCGGGCTCCCAGCTGGGGCACAGGCGTTGGTTACCTACCCGCAGCAGCCGGCGGTCTGCGGTTTGCTGGGCCCTGACCGGACTTGCACAGGCCGGACGGATGTGAGGGGTTTCGGATACTCCCTCAGGGATTTCAGAGGGGCAGGAGCGGGGGGTGGGGGGGGACCTCAGCCTTATGCAGCTCCAGATGCTCCTGCACCAGGGGCCACAAAGAGGGCCCCCAGAATACCCAGAAGCTGCGGCAGTTTCCAGCTCCAGGTCACCAACCCTCCCAACCGGAGAGAACCTGGGCAGGCACTGTGGGTTCCCCTGTCCTTTTGGGGCCTACCTGAGGGACTCATGCTGGCCCCGTTACCTGTTTCTTGTACAGGGGCCTTGCTTCCTGGCTAAGGCAGGGTCCAAGGGGCATCTCTGGTCAGGGAGAAGCTCCCTGGTCTAGCAGGAGGGGTCCTTGGGGGTGAGGGCCTGGGCAGCTTAGAAAGAGCCCCAGAACTTAAGTTTTTTTCCCCAGCCGGCGGGCGCTGGGGTGGTAGCTGCCTCCTCCTCCTCCTGGAGGGAGAGGAAGGGAGGTGCACCTGGTCTGTGGAGCAGGCTGCAGGGCCCGTTCGGTCCTGGGCTGTGTGCTTCATGTGCCCCCACCCCGGGCCTTGGAGCCCGTGTTGGGCCCTTTGACAGGCTCTAGCTGCACCTTCCCTCCTGCTCCAGAAGGTGCCCCGCCCCTTAAGCACAGATAAGGGGCCTGGCCTGTGGAGGCCTGTTCAATAGAGCCTGCACTGGTGGCTGCAGGGCCTGCCAAGGGCCCCGGGGGGAGCAGGACACTAGGGGTCCCTCTGGGCCGCCACAGTGCACCCTTCCCACAGGTGTTGCAGACCAGCTAGAGGTGAGCATGGCCGAGCAGGAGCCCACAGCCGAGCAGCTGGCGCAGATTGCCGCCGAGAATGAGGAGGATGAGCACTCGGTCAACTACAAGCCCCCGGCCCAGAAGAGCATCCAGGAGATCCAGGAGCTGGACAAGGACGACGAGAGTCTGCGCAAGTACAAGGAGGCGCTGCTGGGCCGAGTGGCCGTGTCTGCGGGTGAGCGGGCTGGCCGGGCGCCCAGGTGGCCCTGCCCTGCTTCTCAGGTCCTGCTGCTGCTCCTGCTGGAGGCAGTGGGTGGGGGGCTTGAGGTGGGAGGCCCCGGGGGTGGAGCTCTAACCTGTTGTCACTCCACAGACCCGAACGTCCCTAATGTCATTGTGACCCGCCTGACTCTGGTGTGTAGCAGCGCCCCGGGCCCCCTGGAGCTGGACCTGACAGGTGGGTGGTACCCCTAGGTCCCTGGCGAAGGCTGCCTGAGTCCTTACTCCTTTCCTTAAAAATAGTTTTCTGGAGAGCAGGCGCCCTCTCGTGGGCAACACAAGAAGTGCAGCCAAGTGGTCTTGGAAGGTACTGGCTTTGGCTTTGGAGAGGCCTGAGTCTGGTGGGGGGCGTAGAAGGGACAGCACGTCAGGGAGGGGAGTGGCCTCCCAGGGCCAAGCCTCCTACTGGGACGTCCTCTCGAACCCAGGTGACCTGGAGGCCTTCAAGAAGCAGTCCTTTGTGCTGAAGGAGGGTGTAGAATACCGGATAAAGATCTCTTTCCGGGTGAGTCCGAGGCGCTGGGAGGGACCTGGAGGGGCTGGGGCCGAAGAGCCCTGCTGAGCCCCGCTGCGGGACCCTCCCTGCAGGTGAACCGAGAGATCGTATCTGGCATGAAGTACATCCAACACACATACCGGAAAGGCGTCAAGAGTGAGTGAGGGTGGGCGGGGGAGCACAGGCAGCCAGGGGGTCAGACCCGGGAGGGGGGTGGGAAAGGCGGAGCGCGCCCTCCCTGCGCTCTGCCCGCTGACCGCCCCCTCCCTGCACCGCAGTCGACAAGAGCGACTACATGGTGGGGAGCTACGGGCCGAGGGCCGAGGAGTACGAGTTCCTCAGCCCCGTGGAGGAGGCACCCAAGGGCGTGCTGGCTCGTGGCAGCTACAGCATCAAGTCCCGCTTCACAGACGACGACAAGACGGACCACCTGTCCTGGGAGTGGAACCTCACCATCAAAAAGGAGTGGAAGGACTGAGCCTGGCCCGGGAGGCGGGCAGGGAGGACAGACGGAGGGATGTGTGCACCCCGCCCCACCCCACCCCACCCCCATACCAAAGTGCTGACGGGCCCTTGCCCACGCTGCCACCATTACCCGGTCTGCCTCCCCCAGCCCACAGGTCCCAGCCTCCTGGATAGTCTAGTGTTGCTGCTGCTTCCGCCTGTGCTGTGGGGGTGGAGGCTACAGCTCAGGCCTCCCCTCCCACCCCAGATCCCTCCGGGGCCCCCCACTTGTCCTCACCCAACCAGAGGCCCTGGCTTTCACAAGTGGGGAGCTCAGGGCCTTTTGGGCCGCTGCGGTCCTGTCCCCCCTCCAGGGTGAGGGTGGGGGAGGGCACACGACGCAGGGCCTGGGGAGCCAGGTACCCTCTAGCTTCTACCCCCGGTCAGTTCACCCATCGCTGTCTGTACCTGTCTAACCATGATGCCTTAACATGTGGAACGTGTGCTGTGGGGGCCGTCGCTGACCTCTAACCCCTGTGTCTGCATGAGCATGTGGTCTCCCCCGGTCCCCGCCGCCCCGTCCGCAGCCCTGTGGCTGAGGCGCCGTGGGACGCGCTGCTGCTGTTCCCCAGCCTGCCAGGCCCGGCCAGCCCCTTCCCCTCCCATCTCCCGGCTGGGCTGTGGGGGGACAGCACCAGGGGCTCGGGGAAAGCCAAATTGCCAAAACTCAAGTGGCCTCCAGTCCCATCTGAGAGGCTGGGTGACCTTACGCCTTTGCTTTCTCTGTTCCTGGTGGGCAGCACCCAGACCAGAGCCCACGGCCCCAAAAAAGAGCCCTCGGCAGACAAAGCCAGCGGCTGAGCCTTACTTGTCCCACCTGGGTCCACTGGCCCGGAGTGGCCTGCCTGGCCTGCCAGTATTTATTGCCTCCACCTGTGCCGTCCTCTGGGCTAGCTGGCCTGCCGCCTCTGCCCCCAGGCTCCAAGCCACCATCCTGGCAGGCCCTCCCTGGACCTGGCCAGGACAACTGTGGGACCAAGTGTGTGAGGTCGGAGCTGCCCCAGTGCCTCCCTCCCAGGTCGGCCCAGGCTGGGTGCACAGGAAGCCGTCCCTGCTTCTCCTCTTCTGACCGGGAAATAAACTCCCCTGAAGGAGCCCAGGTGTCTGTCTGCTGTTCGTCTCTGGGCAGGGAAGAAGGACAAGGACGGGGCCCATTCCTCCGAGGTCCCCAGGGGCAGGGTGTGGCTGCCTCTGCCCTGCCCTAGTGGGAGGATTTAAAGCCCTGCTTGGCCAGAGGTGCTTGGTGGGTGGTTCAGACTTGGAAACTCCTCACAGGACCAAGGGTGGGGTACAAAGCCTGGTCACAGTCCAGCTGACTTGACCTCGAGCCCTTGGGCCCACTGTCTGGTCTCAGGAGGTTCCCCAGCCCCAAAGAGTGGGAAGAAAGCTCCCTGGAGACAAAGCCCCATGCAGAGTAATACTTGGGAACCAAGGGACAGCCAGTCCCAGGGAACTGCACCCCCACCCAGGCTGTGGACCCAGTGGGTGTGGGTGTGGCTGAGCCTGAGGCCTGGGTGCGAGGGAGGAGGAGTGGCAGTGTGTCGGGCTGGGCAAAGTTGGAATGGGGGGGCTGGAAATGGTGTCCCCAGATGCACGGAAACCAAGGGAGTCCTCGTGGGCTGCCTGAGGCCAAGCACATGTGACCTGCCCAACTGGCCAGCGGGGTCTCTGAAGGGCCTGGGGTGGTAGGGAGGGCATCGCTTCCTCTGAGCAACACCGCCGAGGGTGCCCAGTGACCGATGCGCTTGCCTCCCCTGGGCTGGGAAGGTGCAGATGGGAAGCCCGAGCTCCAGACGGCAGGCAGGCTCCAGGAACCACTTTTGCTGGGCTGACGGGTTTGTGGTCTGCACTGGGCCAAGTGGTTCCATGTCCCATGGCCAGAAGCAGGATGCTGCTGTCCTGGCCATGCACTTGGGCCTGCCTCTCTTCCCAGTGCTTATGAGGTGAGCCCTGCCAATGGGTGCAGGCTCAGAGATGCTCTCTTGCTCCAGAGGCCAGTGGCCACAGGGCGAGCCAGGGTGACTCCCACGGGGATGGTCACTTGCTCCAGCCTCACTGGGATCCCTGTGGGATCCTGGAGGCTGGGCCCTATGCTGGATGACAGGAGGAAAGGGCACTCCCTGCAGCCGCTGGCCCAGACACAGGCCAAGAGCAGCCCCAGGAAGCAGCCTAGGCCTCCAGCTCTAAGTCCACGGCGGCAAGGACCCTTTCTGGCCTCTCCCAAGAGCCGCCTGCCCCGAGCCCAATGGGACAGACTTGGGCGGGGAGGCGCTGAGATTACCAGCTCAGGCCTCGCCCACTGATGTCAGATGCCACCACCTGGACGTGTCCCTGCCTCTGGAGAGGCCAGACTCGGGCACTGTGTGCACCACCGGCAGTTCAACTTCGTGGGCGAGGGTCTTGTGAGGCTCTGTCAGGCCGGAAGGTCCACTAGTTTTGTTCCTGGATTTTCCAGCCTTCATGTGAACTCAGGCCCCAAGTGCCAAGTTGTACAGGCACAGTGCCAACAGCCAGGACTTTGTTCTGGCCCCTCCCCCGGTGCACGGTGACATGAGGTTGCGCCTATAGAACCTGTACAGCGTGTCCCCCAGGTCCAAGTCGAACGAGATCTTCCTGGTTGCACCCTGACCCCTGTCAAACCTGGGGCTCCTCTGCCTGGTCTCCCCACCCCAGGGAGAAAGAGCCTGTGGTCCCCTCCCCTCCCTCTGTCCCCCAGATGGACCCTTCTTCCACTGAGGGGGTTGCCATTAGCCACCAGATTAGGGCCCTCTATGTGACCACCTAATCACTGAGACAAGAATCTCCATGTCCAGCATGGTCCACTGCAGTTGAGGCCCATGTCAGTCCACCAGAGCCACCCTTCCTGGGACCGCTCCCACAAGGCCCAGTGTGCCCACGACAAAGTCTCCGCCCCAACTGCCACTCAGCAGACAACCTGCAGGCAGGAGCTGTCCTTTGGCAGCCAGATGAGCACTTCCTGGGTGTCCGCCAGCCCACTGGGCACCTCTCAGTGTCTTCAACCCAACTGGATGAGAAGGGAGCAGTTTCATTCTGAGGATTGTTTTTGAGAGTAGTTACTTATCAAAACACATAATCGCTCAAGAGTTCAGCCAGTGTTTTATGGGCACTTTCTCTGGGCATGAGAGACTGCTGGGGGACATCCTGAAGCAGTGGTACCAGTCCAGAACGACGCCCCAGCCCTAGTCAGGAGGACGCGGCCGTGACCTCCAAAGACAGCGCCAACTCAGGGCCAGAGCACAAGGGGGAACAGCAGCCCACCCTCCCCTGGGGTAAGGCCTGCTGAGGTGCTCAGTGAACCTGGCTGTCTTGGGGGCTGGACGCAGCGCCGCAGCTCCCTCACCCAGCTACTGACCAACCACCCAAGAGACAAGATCTCAGGTCTCCCCCAGCTTTGCAAACCCCACTCTGCTGGTCCTGCACAGTTGGTGCACAAGAGCGACTCAAGAAGCACGGATATGGTACCATGTCCCTCATCTCAGGTCCCAAACTGTGGTCTGTAAAACGAGGTCATCCCAACCACAAAAGCGTTGGGAGTTGGGAGCAGCACAAGAGGCAATCCTCACCTGTGCCCCACCGAGCTGCAGGGGAGGCATAAGCTCATAGCCCTTCTGTGCAGAAAGTTTCAGCTCCTGCGAAGTCACCCCTGGGAAGCAGGCAGGTACCCCAGCAGGTACAGCCACCTCGTGCTGACGCTTCTCTACTGGAAGTGGGGGAGGTGCACAGAGAAGCCAGCGACCTTCAGGAATTGGTCTTCTAGTTGAAGGAGACCCACGTAGCAGAGAGCAATATATTAACAAGTGCAAACTCTCAAAAGTAGGAAAGCCTCTTTCTGGTTTCCTCATTTCTGAAATCAGGATGTTAGGCGACGTGTACATTTACTGTGGGAGTGTTTGTTTCCCCTCCCCCTGACGTTATTAAATTAATGATGAGTCTTCAAAGTCAGTGGCAGCGGCGGTTTACAAAGGAGGAATTAACTACAAATACAGCGGAAAGGTTCTGAAGTGGGGGAGGGGGGTGAAGGCGGTGGGCACCGGGGAACGTATCCACCTAGAGCCCACCCTTCAGCAGAAATAATATGCGAGCTACGTGTGTTATTTTAAATTCCCGTGGAGCCACGTTAAGAAAAAAACACTCTGATGTGTCAATATAAAGATCATTAAGGGAATATCGTTCGAAAATCTCCCCGTACTATCCCGATCCGGTGTGCTTTACACTCAGAGCCAGTCTTACACCGGCGGTAAGTGGCCTTGGTGGCAGTGGCGACCACCTGTTTGTTACACAGCGCGCGTCTGGAGGGCGCTGCGTGCGACCGGGCCTTCTCGGGCTGCTACTCAGTGCCCGAGATGCCTCGGGCAGCTTTGGAGGACTCGGCAGCCGAGGGGAAGGGATAGTGTAGTCCATGGGGCCTTTCGCCTTGGCGGGCACCGAGGAGTCCTCTTGGCCCGCGGGCGGCTCCAGCTCTTGCGCAACATCTGCGCGGAGCCCCGGGTCCATTTGCCCCCTTCTGGACCTTTAGGAGGACTCGCTCCGTGCAGGTGCCGCAGTCCACCCAGTCCCACCAGCCGACGTTGGGAGCACGCCGGGCCCCGAATCCAGGGAGCGGCGAGCCGCGCCCAAGCCCAAGACTTCCTAAGACAGAAGCCTCACGAGTCTCACGCGCGCCGGAAGTGGCGTCAGCCTAGGAACCGGAGGGCGTTGCCAGTCACGGAGACGCGGTCCAGTAAGAATGCAACACGCGAGATTTCAGATGCACAGGCGCAGCTCCGCCCCTCGGCGGGGGCTCCGCCCCACTGCCACGTTTGACAGAGGATTGCTCTAGGTGAGCGCCTCTTGGCCAATTAGGAGACGCAGAGCGCGGGCCCCCGATGGTAGCAGCCATTCCACCACCGAAGAAAGTGTCGGAGAAAGCCACCAGTCACAAGTCGAGGAGGAGAAAGTTCTCCGTCGGGAGCCAATGAGAGGCGGGGTTACAGCGCGAGCGCGAGCCCCTCCGCCAATTCCGGGCGAGGGCGGTGGAGTCCCGCGGAGCTCTTCCGAATCTAGGCCGGAGGCAGTGTAGACGTCCACTCCAGGCGCGGAGGAGGCGGGCCCCGGGATCCGCCGGCCAATAGCGAGCGGGGGCGGGCGGGCACGCGCGTGGTGGCCGGCTTTATAAGGGCGAGGAGAGCAGCGCGCGCTCTCGTGGCCTCGCTGTCCGGCGGCGCCAACTGAAGCGCTGCGCTTGCAGTCGACATGCTACGCCGCTCTCTGCTCTTCGTGGCTCTGGCCGTGCTGGCCCCCGCGGGCGCTGATCCCGAGGAGGAGGACCATGTCCTGGTGCTTCACAAGGGCAACTTCGAGGAGGCGTTGGCGGCCCACAAGTACCTGCTGGTGGAGTTCTGTGAGTGCTGCCCGGGCCTCGCCGCCGTCGTGGGGTGGGGATGGGTCCGAGGGGCGCAGGGGGCTCCAGGGGCTAGAGGGCTGGGGCGCGAGGCGGGGAGAGGGGGGACCGAGGGGCGGGCGCCCGTCCCAACCTCCCACCTCAGCCCGACAGTGGATTGGGGTCTTGGGGGCTGTTAGCATTCGGTCCACCCCTGGACGCGCTGATTCCCAGCCCCACGGAGGTTCATCCTGGGCAGACAACCCCCAGCCCTGCTGTCAAAGCCTCTGCGCCGCAGGTGCCCCGGGGACATCGCTCCTGCCCAAACTGGACCCTCAGGAAGATGAGGGCTGAGAGCCAGGACTGCTTTTGTGACCAACATCCACATGGCAGAATCCCTCTGCGAAAACAGGGTCTGCGTGGGGGGGGGGGGTGCTGCTGCGAACACAAAGGGACCTGCCAGGCTGCAGACCCCTCACGGCTCCCAAAGCGCCCTCAGCCTATGACAGCTAGTTCCAGAACCCAGACCTGGTGCTTATACGTGTTTAAGCCCTGCCCACCTGTGGTGGACACCTTGGGCCTGACACAGCTGCCACCCTTGGCTAAAAAGTAGTCTTGTCCTCACAGTATAAAGACCCAGCTGTAAACCTGAGGCTCAGGACAGGTGTGCACAGGTGTGTGTCACATACGTGTGACTAGGTCCTGACGCGGGTGGCCTCGCCCCCTTAACCTCTCAGCTGTCCTGAAGGGAATTTCTAAGGGCGGGTCTGCCCCAGTTGCCTGCACGCGGGTAATAGGAAGTTGCTGGTCGTTAAAGAGTTAGTCTTCCTGTGCTGAATGGGGACCGAGCAAAGTGGGAAGTGGTGTTGGTTTGTCATTCATGGCCTCTGTCCCCATATTGCCCAAGAGCACTAAGCTATCAGCTCAGCCTTGTACGTTGAGAGGGTTATCTGCCGAGCAGATAAGGTGTTCAGAGAGGGAAGTGCCCACGGACCAGGGAAGCTGGGAGCTGGGGCCAGTGCTTTCCAGCATCTCGCTTTCCTTTCAGACGCCCCCTGGTGTGGCCACTGCAAAGCTCTGGCCCCTGAGTACGCCAAAGCGGCCGGGAAACTGAAGGCTGAAGGCTCGGAGATCAGACTGGCAAAGGTCGATGCCACAGAGGAGTCCGACCTGGCCCAGCAGTACGGCGTCCGTGGCTACCCCACCATCAAGTTCTTCAAGAATGGGGACACAGCCTCCCCCAGAGAGTACACAGGTGTGGCCTCGGCTCTGCCCATCCTGGGCCTAGAGTGGGACTTGCCAGCAAGCCCTGGAAAATTCCTGAGGGGTGGGGGGCCCATTTTCAGAAACGTGGAGGGAACCAGTCCTTGGACCAAGTTCTTGGTCTAGTTCTAGTTCGGTCTTTGAGGAAAACTCTCATCCTGGAAGAACTTCCCAAGTGGAGAGTGACACCCTGGGCGTGGACAGCAGGCCTAGAGTGGGGGGCTGCGGCACCAAGGGCGGCATTGCTGTCCGCTGTGCCGGCCACTAAGCCGGGCACTGGGGGCTTTCCACCAGGAAGGGCTGGGGATCAGACGGCCAGCTCACAGCTGTTGGGCAGAACTCGGATTCAAGCCCTTCTCCGTCGGCCCAGCCCTCAGCTGCTTCTTGCTCACTCTGACACTGCTGGCTTGGGGCTGGGCTCTTTGTCACCCAGGCAGTACCTGTGACAGACAACCGGGGACTCTTTTGTCCATAGAACCGGTTCTGTGGCTCAGCCGTCAGAACGCACTGAAGTGGCCTGGCTCGTTAGTTCTGACGGCAGCAGCTCTGCTCTCACTGGGCTGCTGTTCGTTATTTGTTTGTTTGTTTGTTTGTTTGTTTGACGTTGTCACCCAAGGATGTGCTTATTGATTTTAGAGAGGGGGAGGGGAGGGAGAAACGGGAGGAGAAACATCTGTGTGAAGAAACATTGATCGGTTGCTTATTTATCTTTAGAGAAGAAGGGAAGGAGAGAGGGAGAGAAATATCAGTGTGTGGTTGCCTCTTGTGCATCCCCCGCTGGGAACTGGCCTGCAACCCAGGCATGTGCCCTGACTGGGAATCGAACCGCGTTTGTTTGGTTCGCAGGCCCGCAATCAGTCCACTGAGTCACACCAGCCAGGGCTGATCAGTTGCTTCTTGTATGTTCCTGGACCTGGGACAGAACCTGCAACCCAGGCCTGTGCCCTGACCAGGAATCAAACCCGCAACCTTTTGGTTTGCAGGGTGAAGCCCAAGTAACTGAGCCGCACCAGTCAGGGCAGCAGAATCTCCCTTTAAGTGTGAGATTCGGCAGGCTGGGCAGTCAGACCCCGTCTCAGGAGGACCAGCTGCTTCCCTTCCCACTCTCTCTGCTCTGGGTGGCGCCTTAGAGACTCTTCCTGCTGGTCCAGGAGCTGTGGGGACAGGGGTGCTTACCCGGCCTGGCCAAGGAGGGCAGGTTGTCAGCCCAGTTTCGGTGGGAAGACCGGCCGCAGGGCTGACTTTTTAGGCAGGTCCAGCACACCTCTAGTTGAGCTGAAGCCGACTGGGGGGGCCCTGGCGGGAGCGGGCCTCCCACTCACAGGCAGTGCGGGTAGTGACCGCGGACGTCAGGGGCGATGGGGAAATGGGAAGGGGCTGGAGGGGGAAGGACCTGTGACCCCGTGGGCCTGACCTTCGCAGCGAGAGGCGGCCTTGCTCAGGTCAGGCAGGGAGGGTGGGGCCCAGTTTCGAGCGAACGCTGCCTGTGTTTGGACGCAGCTGGCAGAGAAGCCGACGACATTGTGAACTGGCTGAAGAAGCGCACAGGCCCCGCGGCCACCACGCTGCCGGACGGGGCTGCTGCAGAGGCCTTGGTGGAGTCCAGCGAGGTGACGGTCATCGGCTTCTTCAAGGTAGAGACTGTGGGGTTCACCTCGGGTCTTCTCAGCTGTGGCCTCGGAGGCCGGGGTCCTTGGTGCTGGGCGTGCCGCCACCACCTTTGCTTCTCCCCAACAGGATGTGGGGTCGGACGCTGCCAAGCAGTTCCTGCTGGCGGCAGAGGCCATCGACGACATTCCCTTCGGGATTTCGTCCAGCAGCGATGTGTTCTCCAAATACCAGCTGTCAGGGGACGGGGTCGTGCTCTTTAAGAAGGTGAGTGGCCTGGGGTGGCGGTGCCCGGGGCGGGGCTGAGGCTTCAGGCTGGGGCTGGCGTCGCCTTCCTGTTGCCGAGTGCTCCTCGAGGACCTTGCCCAGGGATGCCGGGCCGCCAGCCTGGCAGTTATCAGGGCTGTTGTGCAATGTCAGGCCGTCAGCGCCACTCCGACGGCGCCCTTCGGCCCTCTGTCCGCTCCTGTGGCAGCCAGCGGGCGGGCGCAGTGTTCTGTGAGGGTGGAAACAAAGTAACGCGCCGGCCGTTTTAGGCATTGCTGGGTAGTTCTGCAGCATTAGCTACACTGTGTGTGGTGCAACATTATTTCTGCCTCTAAAACTTCTCGTCCCCCAGCCTGGCCTAGAGCTCTGCTCTGAGGGCCCCTGGGCCCGGCCCTTCCTCTTCCTAAGGGGCTGCTCGTGCCTTAACTGTGGTGCGCTGCACACTATGGCCACAGCAGAGGGGCTCTGCCTTTAATTTTTTTTTTTAATTTACTGATTGATTTCAGAGAGAGAGAGAAGCTTCGTGTTTTCACTCATTTACACATTTGTTGATCAGTTCTTGTCTGTGCTCTGACTGGGGATCGAACCCACAACCGTCCCTATTGGGACGATGCTCTAACCAGTGGACTCCCCGGCCAGGCCAGGGGCTGGGGGAGTCTTTGCCTTTTATTTCGGCTACCAGGCGGTGGGGGGCAGGGAGGCAGGCAGTCAGGCACCCCTGCTCTTGGAACAGGGCTGTCCCTGGGTTGGGGGACAAAAGCCACATGCAGAGTGGAGGCGGCGGAAGGCAGGCTGCAGGGTGGCCTGCGCCCAGGCCGTCAGAGTGGACGCCACGAGGACACGGGGCAGCAAGGTGCTGGTCTCCGGCTCTGCCTCGGGGTGGGGGACGGCATTTTCCGCAGGACCTGCTGGGCGGGGGAGGCCTCTCAGCCGCCTGCGGGGGACAGGAACTGCCCGGGCAGAGGTAACGTCGTAACGTCAGCTGGTTCAGGTTGAGAGATGCTCTCCGAGACGTTGAGACCCATTCACGCTGTCCCCGTCACCCCGACACCGAGGGTGGGTGTCTTCCCGGAACCGTGGGTTTGGGCAATCAATCGTGTCCTGGAAGGGTAGAGCCACCATTTCTGTTCTGCAGAAAACGGCAGTGCTGGCCGGGGTCCGCGCCCGCACAGGCCAGCACCTCCATGCCCAGGGTCTGGTGCAGAGCCCCCGTGGGGACCAGCCCACCGGCCCCACTTTCTCAGCGGCCACGCCCTGTTTTTCTTGCCTGTACTTGCTCCCCCTCCTTCAGGCTCTTCACCCCAGTTTCTTGCAGTGTGCGGGGCTGTTACGTGTTCCCGGGGCTGAGCCGGCTGCCACTTGCTGTCCAGGCTGACGGGGGCGCGGTGGCACCAGCGGCACTGGAGCCTGTGAGTCCGGCCTGCATCGCTGGCACGGAGCCTGGACAGTGGGCTTGAGAGCCGGGCGCCCTGTGTCTTTGTTCTGACGCCCCTCTGTTCTCGGGCGGGGTGGTGCCGGCCTCCCCGCCACACCGGCGTCCAGCCTTTCTGTGACGCAGTCTCTGAGGCCTGACCAGGCTGGCTCCTGAGGCCGGCCCCAACTGAACGATGGCCGGCCGTCTGCTTGTTACGAAGGAGACGCCAACCTGGCGTCACGTGGCAGCGTCACCAGATAGACTGCCACTCAGCAGAGCGGCGGCCCCATGTGACACTGGCAGACACTGCTTAGAGGGCAGGGTGGGGGCTGTCTGTCCCCCATCGGGGCTCAGTGTCTCCCTGGGTGTGGGGCCGGCCAGCCCCCTCCTCGCAGCATCGAACGCTTGACCTTGGCATTTCTGCCCTTCTCACAGAACTCCCCACGTTCGAGGGTTTGGGGAAGGTGGAGCTGGCCTCGGCCTCAGCCCGTGGGGAGCAGGGGCTGGGGCCTCGTCTGGGCTCCTGACGTTCACCTGGCCCTTGGTGTGGTCTGTGGGGGGCAAGGTGGGAAGGGCACCCTGCTTTTCTGGAAGTTACGGGGAAGAAGTGCAAAGAGGACTGAGCAGGGGGGAAGGCCTGCAGCTCCTCTGCAAGGCAGCCGGGAGGTGGTGGTGGGGAGCAGGCCTGAACTGCCACTCGGGGCACAGGACAACCTGTGTCAGGCAGCCCCCCCGTGCGTGGCCCCAGGACTCGACAGGGGGTCCTGGAGAGCCATTTGTGGGTTTTTTGTTGTTTTTTTAAGAGCTTATTTATTTTTAGGGGGAAAGGGAGGAAGAGGGAGAGAAACATCAGTGTGTGGCTGCCTCTCATGGGGCCCCTACTGTGGACCTGGCCCTCAACCCTGGCATGTGCCCTGACTGGGAATCGAACCAGCGACCCTTGAGTCCACTGAGCCACACCATCCAGGGCTGGGAGAGCTTCTGTTAAATGGAGAGACTTGTTGGTTTCGATTATGTTACTAATTAGAACCGAGAAATTTTTTGAAACTTAATGAACGTAATTCGTTCTAAAACAACAATAGAAAACTAGTCACATGCTACCAAAATCACATTTTTATAAACATTACTTTTTCCCAGGCATTTTAGTGCATCGGCGGGGCCCGTGGGGCAGGGTGTGGGCCAGCTGGTCCCTGCAGGCCTGTGCTGGCCCAGGCTGAGCGGGCCGGGGACACTGGTGGCCCCGTGGAGCCCTCGGTGCTCAGGGCCCTCTCTCCGTCCGCAGTTCGATGAAGGTCGGAACGACTTTGAGGGGGCGGTCACCAAAGAGAAGCTGCTGGACTTCATCAAGCACAACCAGCTCCCGCTGGTCATCGAGTTCACTGAGCAGGTGCGGCTCCGGTGGTGGGGAGCCCCGGGCGCCCCACCCTCGCAGTCCCCATCGTCACCCAGCCTTCCGGCGGTGCGGGGCCCGCGGAGCCCGCGTCTCTCGTCCCTGGCTCAGCCTGTGGCTGAGACCCAGTAACCTGTTTGTGGCACAGACGGCCCCGAAGATCTTCGGAGGCGAGATCAAGACCCACATCCTGCTGTTCCTGCCGAAGAGCGTGTCCGACCGGGAGGGCAAGCTGAGCGACTTCAAGAAAGCTGCTGAGAACTTCAAGGGCAAGGTGCGTGGGCCTCCCCGAGGTCAAGGGCGGGCTGAGGCTTCCCCCCGCTTGGGGCTGCCCTGTGTGCAGGGCCGTGCGGAGTCGAGGCGGCCGTTCTCAGCGTACTGTCTCTCCCCCAAGATCCTGTTCATATTCATCGACAGCGACCACACAGACAACCAGCGCATCCTGGAGTTCTTCGGCCTCAAGAAGGAGGAGTGCCCCGCCGTGCGCCTCATCACCCTGGAGGAGGAGATGACCAAGTACAAGCCCGAGTCCAGCGAGCTGACCGCGGAGAAGATCACGGACTTCTGCCACCGCTTCCTGGAGGGCAAGGTCAAGGTGTGCACCACGCCTGGCTGGGCCTGGCCCGCTGGCTCCTCACTTCCCAGTGTGGACCCCGAAACCGTGCCCTTAGGACCCTGAGGACAGGCCCCTGGCAGCGGGAGAGTGACCTTTGCTGCCACACTGCGTGGGGAGTGAGGGGCGCCGGGGGCCCGTGGGTGGGGGCCGTGAGCACCACATCCCTGATCCTTGCCCCTCCGCCCTCCAGCCTCACCTGATGAGCCAGGAGCCACCCGAAGACTGGGACAAGCAGCCTGTGAAAGTGCTGGTCGGGAAGAACTTTGAAGAAGTTGCTTTTGACGAGAGAAAGAACGTGTTTGTGGAGTTCTGTGAGTGGAGCCACCCCCTGGGCCTGCGGGGCGGGTGTGGGGGCAGGGGTGGCCTCCTGGGCCAGGGGACGGGGCTCAGCCCTGCTCGCTCTGCCGCCTCCAGACGCCCCGTGGTGCGGCCACTGCAAACAGCTGGCCCCCATCTGGGACAAGCTGGGAGAGACATACAAGGACCACGAAAACATTGTCATCGCCAAGATGGACTCAACGGCCAACGAGGTGGAGGCCGTCAAAGTGCACAGCTTCCCCACCCTCAAGTTCTTCCCCGCCAGCGCAGAACGCACGGTGCGCCTCCGGGCCGCGGGGCGGGGGTGGGTCCTCGAAGCCCCTGCCTCCCGGGGGGGGGGGAAGGTGCCGCCAGGGTCTGCTTCTCACTCCCCTCCCCACAGGTCATCGATTACAATGGGGAGCGGACGCTAGATGGTTTTAAGAAGTTTTTGGAGAGCGGCGGCCAGGAAGGGGCAGGGGATGACGACGTGAGTGATGGTCACCCTGACTGGCCTCTGGGGCCACAGCCTGCAGGCCACTGGACACAGCTGCCAGGCTGGGAGAGGCCTCCCCTCGCGGTGATGTCCCTCACCCATCAGCACCCCAGGGCAGGGTGCTGTTCAGGGGTCCCCTGAAGTCTTAGCACCCGCCCCACATGGCTCCCCGCTGGACGTCAATGTCCTCCCCCAGCCCCTTGCCTGAGGTGCCCTCTGTGAGTTGTGGTCAGTGTGGGGCAGCAGAGGAAATGTCAGACTTGGTCCCAGGCCAAGAGGGAGCAACAGGGGTGGGGCTGCTGACCAGCAGGACATTTGTGTTGAGAGCAGAGGTCACCCGGAAGCCCTCGGCAAGTGGGCGAGGGGCCACTCCCACTGCCGAGTTGGGTGTGATTGGGACGGTGGTTGGCAGGCTGTCGCTGGCCCCACGCGCCCTGAGGGCTGGAGGGGGCAGACGCGTGGGGGGCAGGCCGTGACCTTCCACAGACACCCCCCCCTCCACCCCAGGACCTGGAGGACCTGGAAGAGGCGGAGGAGCCTGACCTGGAGGAGGACGAGGATCATAAAGCCATGAAGGACGAGCTGTGAGGCAGAGCCCAGCCGGCGCCCCGCCCCTCCGGCGCCGACCCTGCAGCTCCACTTCTGCCACGCACCGGGGGAGGACGAGCCCGACCGGAAATGCAGGGAGCTTTCCGAAGCAACACCTCACCCGCACACACTAGTCCGCTGGAGCCCGCCCTCCCCTCTGCCTCTGGGCTGCCGGCGGGGCTGACCCAGGCCAGCCCGTCCCGCGGCCTCCGCACGGCCGCGCGCCTGCGCAGTCTCGCCCGGGCAGCGCTGCCTCCCTGTTAAACTGTCATCCGATCACTTCAGCGAGATGCCACCTGTGGGGTTTTTAGACATTTTGGGGTGTCAGGGTGTCCGTCCCACCTTGGCCGGGCCACACTGGAGACAGATGTCCCCCGCATGGAGAGCGACTGTGCCATGCTGGACAGGCCCCTCCCACCTGTGGCAGTGTTGCCACAACTGTGCGTGGTTCCCACGCGGTCTGGTCAGCACAGACTTCAAGTCCTCTGTCCCTGGGGCCCTGCCACGATGCAGGGGCTGTGGGCGCCGGCTGGGCCAGGACGGGCCCCCTCCGAGAGCCGGCTCCTGGCTGGGCCTGTGGCCCCCACCGTGCAGAGCCCAGGCCCCCCGCTTCCAGGCTGGGCAACAGCCAGGGACCTCAACCCAGTCAGCTGTCAACAGCTCTTCAGGCATTTCTCCCACACGATGGAATTGGGACACATCGGCCAAATAAAGTGGAAGTTTTCACTGCCTGCCTCCGCCTCTGTCTCCCGGCCGAGGGGTGGGGCTGCTCCTGCTGAGACGCCTCCTTGGAGCACCGCGCAAGTGTGAGGCTCCCAGGGGCCGCCGCAGTCCCCAGCCTGTCACCAAGTGCATGGCCTGGGAGCACAGGTGGGTCACCAGGTGGGGGGAGGGGAGGGGCTGCCACCCGCCCCCCACTGGTGCCCTGCCTCGGGGCTGGCTTACTGGCTCCCCTGTGACGGGTGTGTCTGGCATCTAGTCGTCACCAGGTGGGTCCTGCTGGGGACACTGGGCACAGCCCCTGGAGCAAGCCGGCCAGAGGTGCCGGGCTGCTGCCTGTGGCCATGGGGGGCCCGTGGGAAGCCAGCCTTATGGCTCTGCAGTCGGGCAGAGTGGCACGATCTGATCTGGTCACCAAACGTCCACAGAGAAAACAGCAGCCGCCAAGTTCTTAAACTGCACTGACTCGCAGAAGCTCAGCCTGCTGTTTGCGGCAGACAGAAAGGCATGACGGGGCCCGAGGGTGTGAGGGGGTTGCTGCCAAGCCAAGGGCACCTGGGAGCCGGGCCAAGGACGCCGCCGGGGCCCGCAGGGCTCGGGCCAGGCCGTGGCCCCAAGCACGAGCACAGCGAGGGGCTCGGTGTCTGTCGCTGCCTGTGTTTCTGCAGGTGGGAGGGCCCACGTGGCGCCATGTGGTCCATGAAAGCCCATCCCCAACTCGCTTCCCAGAGCAGAAAGCGTGCGTGTCCGGGTCCAGGCTCACCTGCTGGTTCGCCGTCCGGGCACTGGCGTCTCCGTGGACGCACTGCGACTGTGGTTCTCTTGGAAACCCCTCCCGAGGGAGGAGGAGTGTCGTCTCCCTCAGACAGTCTTGTTCCCAGCAGGAGGCCCTCGTGCCCACGCTGCCCTCCCAGTGTGGCCAGCCAACACCCAGGCCCTCAGGACCCAGGGCCGCCCCCTCCTGTGGCAGGACGTGGGGCGTGGCGTGCAGGGTGACCCCCGAGGGCTGTCTGGGCGGCACAGACCGGCCCGGCCTGGCCTGGCGCCTGGAGGCCTCCCCTGGTCGCTGGTTGCTGGGAGGCCTGTGCCACGGCTGCTGTTCAGCCGGTCTGCCCAGGGTCGGTGTGTGGCACCCCAGTCCTGCCGACTGTAACACGTGCACGAGGGTGGGGGTCACTAACTCAGCTCTGCCACCCAAACCGGGTGGTTTCTCAGCATGGCGGGTTCCTGGGGTCACAGCCACAAGGGGTGGGTTTCATCCAACCCTGCGCTCGCCGCCCCTATAACCGTGCCAGTGGCCCCGGGACCTGCGGAGGGAGCCTGGCCCTGTGCACAGGCCACATCTGTCACGTGCCCCAGCAGGGGTGTCACTGATACCAGTCCCTTCTGCAGACTGCTGACGAGGCCATCACTTGGCCCGTTGGCTGGGAGGTGGCGGGCGGGGTCCAAGACCCGTCAGGGCCACTCCATCAGCCGCCTCACAGCAGCTCCTCAAGGTGGTCTGGCCAACCAGGCTGTGGGGAGGGCGGCCTTGGGCGGGCCCAGCCTGCCCCCTGCCTACGGGGTGGCAGGGATGGGGTGGGGGGGGAGCGGGGTTCTCGGCATCTTCAAAGTAAGCTTTCTGCGTCTGCCCTCTAGGTGGCAGGAACTTACAGTCCCAAAAACCAGTCGCTTCACAAGTCCTTCGGGCTGCGAAGGGTCAGAGCAGGACCACCTGAACACACACAGGCTCGTTCCCACGTGGCCGCGGCACAGGCAGGCTGTGCCCACCAGGCCAGGCTAGACTGCTGGCGGGCAGCTGCCGACGAGTGGTCTCCAAGGAGCCAGCTGCGGGGCACACCCATGGTTCCGTGTCCACAACTGCCTTCTAGGGGCTGCACTGCGACCGGGAGGCTTTGGACAGCAGCCCCTTCGGAGACCAGGACGTGCTCTCAGCTTGCTGTCAGCAGGCAGACCTGGAGACGGGGCCACCCCCACAGGCTTGCCCAGCCCGCCTCTGGCCCAGGTCCTGGTGGCACCTGGGGAGGGCCATGCCACTGGGGCAGCTTCCCCCACGGCTCTTTCACCTGATCCTCTGCGCGGGGAGGGCAGACAGAACTTTCCACCAGCACCGGAAAAGGTGATCTTCACATCGAAGGAAAGTTCTGTCTTCTGTCTTCAGGGTAGAACTTTTGGTCCCCGAGCTTCGTGTCAGTAAGCCAGGAGCCTGTGCCTGGCTCCTCCGCAGCCCGTCAGACCACCAGCCCGTCCCCAGGAGTCAGACCACCAACCCATCCTCCAAGCCCCCAGGGGCAGGAACGAGGGGCATCATCCTTCTGTGGGTCCCCTGCAGGGCCTGGGATCATGAGGCAGCCAGAGAAAACCCACCAGGGCCGGGGGGCTGTCTCGGTGGCCCGGTCTCCGCAGGGTGCGGCACGAGGCTTTGCGCCTAGAGGGTGTGAAACACAGGGGTGAGCGGGAGTAGATGTAGTGTCTGGACAGCGCAGCCTGAAGAATAAGTCATAAGTGAGGATACCAAATGATAATGACAGTAAGAAGACAAATGATACAAATAAATAACACAATAGTTAGTACCGAGTAGTGCAACAATAAACTATTTAATGTATTCACCGCTGTAAACCTACTTTGGCCCACCCTGTTCATTTGGTGACTTGATTTCCTGGGGCTGAAACCACCCTGATGACACGGAGCTGGTGCCCCTGCTGCCTGCCCCTGCCCTGAGGAGAGTGCTGGTCAGCAGGGGCACCTCGCCACAGTCAGGGGCTGCCCTGTGTTCCCCGCCCCCAGCAGCCACATGTTGAGGGGCCAACCCCAGGACATCAGGGTGGAAGCTTATTTGGAAACGGGGTCGATGCGAATGTAGTGGAAAGAGGGCTACCGGGGGGGTGGGGGGGCCTACTCCATCGACTGGTATCCTTACAAAGAGGGGACATTGCACACAGACAGCTAGCGACCCCGCCGGGGGAACGCCCTATGGACATGCGGCCGAGGACAGACCACGGCACCAGCCAGTGGAGAGCCCCGAGGGGGACTGCCCACAGAACCAGGAGGCGCCAACACTTTCCCCCCAAGTTCCAGACTCCAGAACCAGGAGAGAACCGAGCCCTGTTGTTCAAGGTCCCACATCCAGCACCTGTCATGGTGGCAAAATGGCCAGCTCAGGCGTGCGGGGCTTCCCTGACCCCGCAGGCGCACGCCTGGTCCAGCTAGGCTCCCACATGCGTCCAGGGCTTCCATCTTTTCTGCTGCCTTCTCTCCCGCACCCAGGCCTAAGCCCCGCCCCAGGCCTCTGTGGCTGCTGTGATGGCAGGTGGCCCGGGCCCAGCCTGCTGAACTGTCTTCTGAAAGTTCCACTGGCTGCGGTCCCACAGGTGAGTTGGCACTGGGACGGCTGCAGAGGGCACACCAGCCCCTGGGACATCACGTCCTATTTCTGGGGCGCAGCCTCAATGGCACCTGCATCGTGAGCACATGTCCCATTGGTAGCAGAAACCTGGAACTGGAACTGGGGGGCAGGGACGGGGGTCAGGATGGAGAGGAACAGGCCACATGGGCAGGACCTGCAGAGGGTGTCCAGTGGGCGGGGCAGGACAGCCTGAGCAGGAGCTGAGGTGTCGGGACTCCAGCCCCTGGGGTTCTCCAGCAGGAGGGCGGCACCACCAAGACCCAGGTTTTGGTAGAAGTGCCGAGACTGGTATGGCCGTAATGGAAGGTGATGTGCCAGGGAGGGAAGATGGCTCGGGCCAGGCCTTCTCCCCAGCACTGCCCTGATCGTCCTGGGATGGGGCAGCCCTAGCTTTCTGGGAGGTGGAGGCGCCATGACACCTCACTGGATGTCATGCCCTTCTCCCAGAGTTCCAGCCGGGGCCCTCTGCTGTCCTTGGTGCTGGCTTGCCCTCCTTACAGGCCCTGTCCTTCAGGTGTTCTCGGTAAGGCACCTTCTAAGTCCAGCCGTGGGGCCGGGTGGCACAGCCAGCCAGGAAGGATCTGACCCCTTTGGCCGGGCACGGCGACAGGTGGGCTGAAAGATGAGCCGGTAAACTTGATCTGAGCGTGAGGCGGAGAGCGGCTCGGTTTCAGCTCTCGTGGTGTGAGGGTGACCATGCAGCTTTATATAGCCCTTGGGGGCCCATATAAATAGGGCTGCTCTTGCAGAAGGGGCACAGGCAGCAGTTCAGGAGCCGGGTTGGAAGCCACTGTCCTAGGCTCAAGGACCCTGCCCACCAGTCTGGGTCGGGCTGGGCCCATTCTTCCCCTGAGCAGTAGGGCCCTCCCAGGGCGGCCAACACCACAGTCCCCAAGATGCCCAGCAGAACTGTGCGCTATGTTCGCTACAGCCCACGGCAGCGGCGGCGGCGGATGCTGGCCCAGCGCAACGTACGCTTCCCCAACGACGTCCTGTTCCTGGACCACATCCGCCAGGGCGACCTGGAGCAGGTGGGGCGCTTCCTCCGGGCTCGGAAGGTGGCCGTGGACACCATCCACCCCTCCGGTGAGTGCCTGCTGCAGGGCCAGCCAAGGTCTGCGGGGACGGCAGGGGAAGGACTCTGCTGTGACCCCACCTGCCCCGCCCTTCCCAGGCCTGGCAGCCCTGCACGAAGCTGTCCTGGCTGGAAACCTGGAGTGTGTGAAGCTGCTGGTCAAACACGGGGCTGACATTCACCAGCGCGATGAGACGGGCTGGACACCCCTGCACATCGCGTGCAGCGATGGATACCCTGACATTGCCAGGTGAGAGGGTGAGGCCCTCGGCTTCCTCCCAGCCCCTCCTGCCTCAAATGGTCTCCAAAAGCTGGCCGTGGGGCTGTAGCTGAGAACCCTCAAGGCTCTGGGAATCTCCTCTGCCCTGATGCCCTCCCTACAGCGCATGGGAAAAGTCAGCCGTTAGTTCCTGAAAGGTCAGGTTTCTTACCCCTCACCCCACCTAGAAAAAGGGAAAGTAGGTGGGTCTCAGGGCTCTATCCGGCTCCCCGGGGCTTCGGGGGTTTCTCCAGGCCGTGTCCCCACTGCGACGTCGGGGGGGGGGCTTTCACCCCAGGTACCTCATCTCCCTGGGGGCAGACAGAGAGGCAGCCAACGACGACGGCGACCTGCCCTCGGACCTCATTGATCCGGACTTCAAGGACCTGGTGGAGCTGTTCAAGGGGACTAGGATGGACTGAGCCCGGCCCTGCCCTCCGACGACCCGCACCCCGCGCCCCCGCGGGGCCAGAACCCCGTTAGCTGGGCACAACCCCCGTCCCACCCCTCTGGCCTGGCTTTTTCTCCAGGTGAATTTTTTATTGTTGCACTTTTTACTTTTTCAATAAACATGATGCCTCAGCCCGTGGTGGTGCCGTGACTGCTGGAGGAGACACCTGCCCATGCCAGCCTCAGGCTCCAGCCGCTCTCGGGGGTCAGCAGACCCTGCCGTCCGCGCCGGAGCCTGGGGCAGCCCCCTACCCCGCACATCGCGATGCTACCGCCCCACCAGGGACCCCACCGCCCGTCGCCAGGCGCGCCGCCGTCACGTGGCCCGCCGCGTTCTGCGCGTGCGCGTGCGCGGCGCGCGTCACTTCCGGCCGGGCCCCAGCTGGCGGCGGCGGCGGTGGCGGAGGCTGAGCGGCGAGGTGAGGCGGCGGCGGCGGCAGGGGCGGAGCGGGCGCGGCCGGGACCCGCCCCGGCGCAGCGGCCCCGAGGGGAGGGCAGGGGCGGGTCGCGAAGGCCCTCGCGCCCCACCCACCCTGCCCCGCGCCCGGGCCTGCTGGGGGCGCCGGGGCCGCGCCGCGCGGGAGGCGGGTGTTGCGGAACGTGGCGCCGGGGCCACGGGGCAGGGCCGGGAGGGGCAGCGCGGCCGAGGTGGACCGGGGCGCCGTCTCCGGCCTTAAAGGGGCCTCCCCGCGTGTCCCCTGGGGCTGGCCCCGCCGCAGCCTCTCTCCCCTCGGCGTCCTGCCTGTCCCACCCCTGCCTTCCGGGGCCGGGGCGTGCGGACGGAAAGCGGGCAGCGCGGCCTGCCACGCCTTCGTGGGGCGTGGGGCGGCCGCGGCGAGTGGTGCACAGGGTGCCCCCGCGGGGCCGGGCTGCCGGGTGGAAGCCGTGGGCATTCCACTTCCCCTTACAGGAGCAACGGGGCGTGTGAAAACTCCAGGTCTAACGCAGATGCAAACGTAGCGTCCCCCGTCCGGTCCCGGGGAACTTCCGAGAAAAGGTGGTCTTTTAGCTGGACCCCCAAGGACGAGGACAGCAGTTGGGGCCGAGGGGACCAAACTTTGGGGCAGCTTGTGCAAAGTTCCTCGAATGCCAGTGGGCAGCAGAGAGCGACCCTTGGGGTGCAGGTGTCCACAGCTTTGAGGAGGACTCTGGCAAGCGGGGGGGGGGGGGGGGGCAGGGGAGGGCCTGAGTCCTGAAGGCGTGGTCTTGATTGGGGTGGTGGGGTTTCCGAGCCGAGGGGTGCACACGCTGGGGTCTGTTGCTCGCACCGGAGATGCTGTTGTCACCCAGGGAAGCGGGATGAGGGCCGGCGCGCTGCTCGGAGGCCTTGCCCCGCGTTGTTTGGAGTCCAGTTCAGCAGTATTCTGCTGGCACTGCTTGGGTAGTGGGTCATTTTCCAGAAGTCTCATTGGCTGGAACTGGACTGAGAAGAGCCCTGCACACACACAATGACAGGAAAAGCAGAACCTAAGAATGTTTGAGTCTCGGAAATCCCGAAGGAACACAGAACGCCCGGCCATCAAGTCATTAGTTCTCACTGTGCCATACCCACGGTCACTGCTCTGGACAGCAGTGTCCCCCTCTCCTGTCTGCAGCACATGGTTGCGTTTGGGGCAAGAGTTTGAGACTGGGGCGTCGGGCTGGGCTTCGGCACCTCCCACCCCTGTCCCCAGAAGGTTTCTGGGACCCTTGGTTCCCCTGGAAGAGCACGGTACTGGACTGATCCACCAGGAAGGCTGCCTCCAAAACCGAGCAGGGCTACATGGAACCTGCCCGGGCAGGCGAGGGAAGAAGCAGGTTCTGGGGTGCTTCTCCTGGGTGAGCTGTGCAGGCTGGCCCTGGAGGCCCAGAGGTTGGGGTGCAGGCCCTACTCTGCTGGGTGGCAGGCTGCTTCACCCACTGAGCCTCTGTCGGGGGCTGTCAGGGTGCCTCCTTGGCCCGGTGTGGGGCTGGAGCTGAATCTGTGAAGTACCCAGCGCATTGGCGCCCTGTGGTTAGCCCCTGGCCAGCATTTGCTGTGGGCTGTGGAGCTGCTGCTTCTTCATAGGCCCCACATTTTCCTGGTCACCCCCTCCTCCAAGTGGGCTGGCTTTGCCCCGTTGCCCAAAGCTGGTCTGGGTTACACTTCACCATCAGCATCGTCCCTCTAGTTCTTGGAAGTGCCTGGTTAGACAGGGCATCCTTCTGATACCCTGTTGTGGGGTGAGGAGACACAGAGATCTCCATCCAGGTGGTGGCTTCACATGCCTGTGCCCTCCTGGGGACACCTTTCGGACCGCTGTGCCCCAGAGAGGGAAGGCACTTCCCCAGGGGCAGCGGGGACGGACAGCCTTCAGCCACAGAGCGGCTCAGGACTCTGTGGTGCACCTAGGGGGCCACCAGGTGCCTGGGCAGCACCCACAGCAGCCCACAGAACACAGGGGGCGCAGTTCTCTGCCCTGACAGCAGCAGGCAGAGCTGGCTCTGTGGCAGAGACTGTGGGGTGGCAGGGGGCCAGCAGCAGGTGACACCTGATGAAATAGACTGGGGCCACACGGCGGGCTGGACGGCAGTAGAGGGCCCAGGTGGTGTGTGGGTGGCATGTACTCGGGGAGCGGGTGTCGGTGAGATCGTGCCAGCAACAGGTGTACGGGGTGAGAGAGGATGCGCACCCTCGGGAAGGGGGAGTGACCATAGGCTGTGGCAGTGGCCCTGCCTCGGGGAGATGGGACGCCGTCCTCAGCTCTGAGACTCGGGTAGTGGGCACTGCAGCTCCTGTGGTGCGGCGGCGCGGCAATGGGGGGGGGCCGTCGGGCGGGGCGGGCCAGCGACTGCGGGCAGCAGCCAGCCCCAGGGCCAGGAGGAGCAAGAAGTGTCTCGGGGTGACGGCACTGGGTTCGTGATGGTGCATGTGACGGTGTGTGGATATGTGATGGTGTGTGGACGTGTGATGATGTGTGGGACGGCGTGTGGAGCTCAGGAGCTGAAGCAGTTGTGTCCCGTGACCCTTGTGAGTGAGAGCAAGGAAGAAGACCAGGGAGGGAGAGGCCGCCACCTGAGCACCGAGCAGCTGATCTCTGCCCTGCCGGACTGCAGCCCCCGACCCCACCCGGGCCCTCAGGGGCTCTAGGGGCTCCCTAGAGGCCACTCGTGCTTTTCCAGGCCTGTGTCATTCTCTCCAGCTCCTTGTCACCTGGCCCCTCCACACCCTCCTCCCTGGCGTCCCTGCGCAGCACTGTCCCCTGGTGGAGAACACGCCCGGGTTGCCCGCTCCCGAAGCTAGACACACACCTCCAAGGCCCTCACCTGGCCCTAGGCCTCCGGACCCGGACCCAGGACGGCGGTTGGGGCCAAGCCCCACCCACCTGCCTCACCCCGTGAGAGACGGTCGCTCTGGGAGGGGGGGTTGGGTGAGGCCGGTCCGGACAGGTCAGCTCCTCGTCCAGCTCTTTGTCACCCCTGCCCTGGAGTGGCTGTCACAGAGCTCAAGTGTGTAGTCAGTTCTTAAGGTTTTATTTAGTAACTTAGAGGGGAAGGGAGAGAGACAGAGAGGGAGAGAAACATCAGTGTGTGCTTGCCTCTCATGTGCCCCCTACTTGGGTCCTGGCCCACAACCCAGGCACGTGCTCTGACTGGGAATCGAACCGGCGACCCTTTGGTCCCCAGGCCAGCGCTCAATCCACTGAGCCACACCAGCCAAAGCTCATTTGATTTTTAATGGGAATTTGGGGGGTCAGAATCAGTCCCAGCCCCTTGCAGGAAGCCCAGGAGGTAAGGAGGGTACTCCAGCCCCTGCCCCTCCTGTGCCCAGGGGCAGCAGGTGCCTGGGCTTAGGGGATTCGCCAGCAGGGCCATGAGACCCCTCAGTGCCCGGAGTCCGGCCAGGAGAAGGCTCTGGTGAGAAAGACCCGAGGAAGGGGGCCGAGCTGAGGGGAGGGGGGGGTTGGAGGTCGCTCCCGTCTGGGACGGCCAGTTGGCAGGACCAGGCAGGGCACAGGCTGTTGGAGTCGGGCCCGGCAGGGCGTGACCCCCACCTGAGAGGAGGCGGCAGAGGCTCCTTTGAAAACGCCGCTGTTTGCCCTCCAGTCTCAGGGTGTGAGGACCTGTTGGTGTCTGGCCCTGGGAGAGGTGCCTCCCAGTACGACGTCTGCCCGGGGCCTCGGTGACAGGGCTCAGCCCTGCGTCTGGGCGCTGGTACCGCCTCCACAGGCTCCAGATCTGGCCAGGAGGCCCAGCCAGCGGTGGGGGGTGTGAGATGGTCCCCAACACAGAGACCAAGGGCTCTGGGGGTCTGGGGCTCACCTCGCAGGTCGGGTCCCCTGCAGGCCAGCTGCTCTGGGCCAAGCATGACCAGGCCTAGGGACCGCAGAGGAGAAGGGAGTGGGCGAGGCTGTGGGGGACTAAAGAGGTGGTTGGCCAGGGGAAGAGGGCCGGCTGGCACCTCCATCCTGGGTGTAATTAGAGCTTCCGCTCTCTGGTGATGGCCAACAGCCCCTTGTCCCAGGGCGCCCTCCGGTGGGGTGGCCCTGGGTGTGAGCACGGGCTGGAGGCTGCAGCCTGGGGGGGAGGCAGGGCTCCGCCTGCTCACAGGAGGCTGTTCTACACCTTTTTGCTGTTTTCGACTGAGCTTCTGGGCTTCAGTTTCCTTGGTCAGGTGTTTAAATGCGCACAGTCTGACGGGAGGACGCCCACAGCTGTCCTCTTCTGGCTGGGAGGGCTGTGGCCCAGGGTGGTGGGGGGAGTCCTTGTGCTCAAAGCCCCCTCACAGGGCTCCCCCACCCCCAGCGGTGGGGGGTGCCCAGCGGTGGGGCAAGGTCAGGGCTGGGGCCAGCCCTGTATGGCCAGAAGGGACACTGTCCAGCCTGCGAGTCTGAGGGTAAACCTAAAAATAGACTCCCACGCAGGGCTGCAAATCCCCTGGGCAGAGGGGGTGCAAACCAGCTGGCTTGGGCACTGGGCCTCGGTCACTGGGTCAAGCCCCAGGCCCGGCAGCTTCCTCCCTGCTCACAGCCCTCCCCTGCCCTCCTGCCCAGCTGGCCTCGGGGACCAGGCAGCTGTGCCAGCTCCTGCATCCTCACCAGTGGGAAGCTTGGTGTCCACATCTTAAGAGGGGCACAGGCTGATGGGAACACACGCAGGCCTGCGGGCCACGCGGGCAGAGTTAGGGTTTGCTGGAGAGGCGCTTGCTCTGCTTGTGGGGACGGGGGCCCCTGACTCTGGGGAAGGGGCTCCCCAGGCAGTGGTGGCCCGGTTCACGCATGTCCCTGCCCCTCCCCCTGCTGCTGGCTCCCACCAGTTGAACCTGCTGCCTCCTTAGTCAGTTGTGGGCCCCACCCTCGGGTCCCCTGGTGACATTGAGGTCACGGCAGTTTGTCAGCAGCTTAGAGGGAGGAGGCTGACGGGCCTCGTGCCCCGCCCCCCAGGAAGCCCCTGTGCAGAGGGTGGCACTGCCCCATGGCCCGCGCCTCCCTTTCAGAGGCCGAGGGGACCCGGCAGCAGCGCGTGTGGACCAGACGCCCAGCAATGACCAGGTGGGTCCTGGGCCGCGGAGTGGCCTCTGCCTGGGGGTGAGGGGAGCGGGACCCCTGCCCTGCCCCCGACGCTCCTCACCAGCCCGGCCCCCCAGCTCCCCTGTCTCCAGGGTCGTCTACAACGGCAAGAGGAACAGCAGCCCCCGCTCTCCCCCCGGCACCGGGGAGATCTTCACCCCGGCCCACGAGGAGAACGTGCGCTTCATTTACGAAGGTACCGGCGCCCCTCCCGCCACCACGCCCCTCCCTCAGCCTCCAGGGCCAGTCTGGAGGGACAGGCTCTGGCAATGGGGGCCAGTTCCCAGGGGGGCAGTGCCACCAGAAGGGGCAGCATCTGGAGCTGGTTGGGTGCTCTCGGGGAGGGGACGTGTGGAAGACAGGTGTGCACTCTGGGGGCTCCCGGGGGGCTCCAGGGGTGGGGCGTGTGCTGGAAGGCTGCTGGGAGTGGGGATTGCTGCACCCGGCAGGGTCGCCTGTGCCTCTCCGACTGAAGCCCCTGGTCACAGTGTGGACGACAGGTGGTCCAGGCAGCGCTTCCCGAGTGAGTGGGGGGTGCGCTGGGGACGACTTCAGGTCCAGAGCCGTCCAGTCTGGGGGACAGATGCTGTGAAGAGGGGGAGTGGGGGGCCTGGGGGAGGGCCTGCGAGGACCCTCTGAAGGGGGCCGGGCACTCCCGGTGGCAGGCTCTGGCCTTGGGCCAGGGCTCTGAGCTGGCTCCTCCTTCCCGCAGCCTGGCAGGGCGTGGAGCGGGACCTGCGGAGCCAGGTTTCAGGCAGCGAGCGGGGCCTGGTGGAGGAGTATGTGGAGAAGGTCCCGAACCCCAGCCTGAAGAGTGAGTGGGCTGGGGGTGCGGCTGGGTCCGAGGGCTTCCCGAGGGGCAGGGCTGGGCGAAGCTGCCTCCCGCGCTTACCGCTGACCAGCTGTGTCCGCACAGCCTTCAAGCCCATCGACCTGAGCGACCTGAAACGCCGGAACATGCAGGATGCCAAGAAGTCCTAGAGCCTCCGTGGGCGCCCCCCTGGCCTCTGGGAGATCCGGGTGCGGCCTGATGCTGGTCTGCCCTCCTGTGGGCCCAGCTCCTGGCTGGGGGGGAGGGGCCGTGCTCCCAGGGGGCCACAGGCCCCAGGACCAGGACAGCGTGATTGTGATTGATGGCCTTGGCCCGCCCCTCCTCCTCCAGCCCCCTCCTTTCCTCTCGGCGGGCTCCGCTGCCAGACACTGGGAGGGTCTAGGCCCTGCCGGCCCCTGAGCCCTTCTGGGCCCAGCTGCCTGGGTGTCTCTGGAGCCCCCTGGCTCTGCCTGCCCCCAAGGACTTGACCCTGACTCTTCCTGTCCTCTTCCCCACTGCCCCACCAGCCCCCGGCCCCTTCCAGGATCAGGACAGAGTTGAGAGGACTGCTGTGGTCCCCTGGGCCCGGGGGCCGTGTTTTTCCCTGAGGCGGCAGGAAGGCGGGGCGAGAGCAGCCCTTCCCACTGTTGGTGTGGGCCTCTCACCTCGCTGCTTCTCTGTCATGGACACAGGAAGTGTGTGGCCCCCCCCACCCCCACTGTCCAGCCTGGCCCCTTGCTTCCTGCATTAGCTTCCGGGTGGCACCACCTACCAGCCTGGGACACCGCAGGCACCCTCACGGGGTCCTGGGCACCCAGGCTGGGCTCCTGGTGTCTGCCGCCCCCTGGGGCAGGGCTGTGTAGGTGCCTGGCGGGTCTTCCGTGTGGTGCACCGTGGGGGTCGCCAGGGCTGTCTTCTTGGGACTGGAGCCTGGGGCCGGAGAATAAAGGCGGGCAGCCGTGGTCAGCCTCCTGGCATTCTGTCCCTGCTGCCCAGTAGTGCTGGAGACCCGGGTTCATGGTCAAGGCCCCTGAGCCCAGAAACTTTGATCCCTGGGCTCCCCAAGGGGCTTGGCCTCTGGGGGCGGGTGTTGAGGGTGGGGGCCTCCTGGAGGCAGGGGCGGGGGTTCCTGCAGGCTGCAAGGGGCCCGTCCCTCTGGGGGCTGTGGCCCACCCAGAGACCCGGGGCTGGTGCCCACCGGGCGTGCACCGGCCCCGCACACCCGGACGGCCGAGACGGCCTTCGACAGACACGCCGCACCAGACCGGAGTTCACTTTGGGAGCATCATTTCTAGAGGAGTATTGATTGGCCCCCAGGTGGCTCTGGGAGGCATGTCTCCCTGGGGGTGGTCCCGCAGGAAGGACAGTTCTTGTGTGTGTTGTACTGGGTTTTATTGAGAGAGCAAGAGAAAGAATCGCTGATCTGTTCCACCTACTGAGTGTGCATTGATTACTGAGTGTGCTCTGCCCGGGGGTCAAACCTACATCCTGGAAGGACGGCCACAGAGCCACCCAGCCAGGGTGGGCGGGCTCACAAAATGAGTGGCCACCTAGGCCCGCTGCCCGAGGGTGGTGGCCAGCACCAGACCCCGAGCTGAGTCTGCACCTTGAGACCTGTGAGGGTTTTCATGCCATTTGGGCTGGGTCGCCTGATCTGCCCCCCACTGTTGGGCTGGGAAGGGGTGTAGGCACCCTCTAGCTGGGGTACACATCACACCCCACACCCCAACCCTGCCTAAGCCACCAAAGATGGGGTGGAGCAAGGCAGGGCCGAGGGCCGGCCCCTGTGCTGCCTTCGGTGGCCAGCAGGGGTCCTGCTGGGGTGACGGGTGGTGGGCTGGACCCCCACCAGCCTCCGCCCTGTGTGCGGCCTGAGTGACTTCTCAGCCTGAGTTTCCTCCTGAGAAGACCGGTGCCTGCTGCCACTGTAGGTCACCTTGTGGGTCACCTTGAAGGTGCACTGGCCCGCACCCTCAGCTTTGGCACCGTGAGCACAGCACACAGGAGTCGGGGGCCTGGACCACCACTGCTGCTGGTGGCTGGGGGGCGTCACACTGCCTTCCAGCTGGAGTGTCTCTTCTGGGAAAGGCAGGTGTGGGCCACGGTCCACAGGGTGTCAGTTAAAAGTGGACTTGTTTTCAATGCCAAGCCCCCTGCGGGTCTTTCATCCCTCCCCTGGGGCTGGGGGCAGACCCGGGCCTGAGCTCCTTTCAGCCCCACCCACTCACTCTTGGTGGTCCTTCTGGGCCTGCATCCGCTCCCCATGAGGGTGGGCCCCTGGGACAGGGACAGGGGTGGCGGGGAGAATAAGCACAGAGGGGTGCAGGGTGGGGGAGGTGGGGCCCAGCCCATGGAGGCCCAAGTCCTGGGCTTGGAGCCTTAACCCAGCGGACCTGCGGTGCCAGGGCCCCTTCCTCATGTGACATCCGGTTGTCCAGGCGTCCCCGTGGGCAGGCACCTGGTGCTGTCACGAGTGGGAGTGTGCCCCTGCAGGGAGGACTGGATGGGGGTGTCACTGCTCCTCAGGTGCCCCCACACTGCCCGGTGCAGCGAGCGGCCTGTGTCCTGGGGGCCTTGGGGCATGTCCATGCCTCCGCACACCCCACTCGACAGCGTGGTGTCAGGCCGAGCAGCTCCAGGGGCAGGTTGACCGCCCTGTCTTCCCGTCGGCGGGGCGGCCTCGCTCTGGTCCACTCACTGTCGCGTCCCTCACGTGTCTGCGTGGTGGGTACCGCGCTGGCCAGGCCGTGTGCACTGAGGATGAGCAGTCGGTCGGCACCGGGCTGCGTCTTCCCTCGGGTCCTCCTTCCTCTGCGTTTGGGTTGGGGCCACTCCCACCTCTGCAGTGGTCGTGGGGTTTCCCACGTTGTGGGTTGGGTGGGCTGCGCCCTGTGGTGGTGACAGGCCCTTCTGTCCCGAGCCCGGTGAGCGGGGTGGCCCCAGAGGCTCATTGTGGACAAGGTGTGGGGACTGGAGGCGCTCCTTGGGAGCAGGGTCTGCAGCGCAGAGTAGGGGGCCCTGGGGCGCTGCAGGCGCAGGCCGGCGTCGTCAGAATGTCGAAGTTTAGAGCTCCATGAAGGAGGGAGGAGGGTCGGGCCTGACCCCGCGCACCTTGGTGGGGGAGGGGCTGAGCCCCGCCCCCACCGAGAGGCGGCCCCTCCACCCGCAGACGGGCCTTTGCCCTGGGTCTCCGTCCCCAAAGAGCAGGTTTTCCCATTTCGCTCGCCTGCCCCCCCCCCGCCACCCCCTCCCCCCGTGCTCTCTCTCCTCCACAGCCTCCCTCACCGTGGAGTTTACATCGTGACGCCTCTGTTTGCACTCGGAGCTCGGCTGTGTGGGAAACTGTCCTTCCCGCCCAACTCTGTTTTCCTTACAGTCACTAACTGCCGCCTTCTCTGTGTTCAGACACCAGTGAGGTCCTGACTCCCACCGGGCCCGCCCAGTCCCCTCTCCGTGTGTCAGTCACTTTGGCCCACTGGAGGGCGAGTCCCTGCAGCCCCGGCCCTGCCCGGGGCCCCAGTGGCCCACTGGGCCCAGTCCCCACCAGGGCACCCGCCCTGGTGCCTCTCAGTCTGCCCTGTGCGCCCCCGGCCCTACATCCTCCCCCCTCGGTGTCCAGCCCCTGCCAGGCCTGCACCTCTGAGCCTGAAGCCACTGGCCTGCTCTACTTCCTTTGGGGACAGAGAGGGGGCAGAGGAGGGCAAGGGCAGAGGGAGCTGGGGTCGGGAGGCCGTCCGAGGGCCCCTAGGTGAGCCCACAGCCCCAGGCGGGCACCAACCCCCAGCTCAGCTGGCGTGAAGGAGAGCCAGAGCCGTCCCCCTGCACTGGCGGCTGGCACCGGCTTCCTGGCACAGAGGGCTGGCTGTGGGCGGGGCCGTGGAGGAGAGCAGGGTGGGGTGTGGGGGGCCTGAGTGGAAGGTCGAGGGCTTCAGTCCTGCTGCTTGCCTGGCACTGTCCCCCCCCCCCGGGGCTGAACCCCCCCCCCCAATCACAGGGGCTCTGGTTGTGCCCCAGGACTTCGGGAGAGCCCAGTCACCTCTAAGTAGCCTCCCTCCCCTCATTGCTCCCCCCTGCCTGCAGGGGGGGCGGCTGGGGGGTGCAGGCCCCCCCAGTAGGGCCCCAGTGCCTGTGGGTTAGTAATTCTATTTACCTTTCCTGAGAGGCCTCCTGTCCTCTCATCTGCTCCAATTAGCGGGCGCAGTCCCAGCCCGCGTGGCCGCAGGGGCCGTGGGCACCCCTCCCCCAGGCCTCCTGGCAGCTCAGGAGCAGGGGCATCTGGCCGGCCTTCGCGGCTTCTGCTTTTTGCCCCTGCGCCTCACTCCATCCACGCCGCGCACACACCCCAGCAGGCACCTGGCACCACTGCAGGGGCACCCCAGAGGGGCAACCCACTACAGCCCCAGGCAGCTCCCTGCCCTGTCCTGGCCTCCAGACCCCTTGTCAGGCCCACTGTGCCCGGTGGCCGCTGGACCTTGGGATGCACCCTGGGCTACTGCCCACCCCTCAGTGCACGCCTGGCGCGCTCTCCCTGGCACTCAGCTCCCTCCCGGCAGCGGCAGCCACCCCCCACCCGCCAGGCAGGGTGCCCAGCACCCCGCAATGGCGGTGTCCGCGCTGCACACAGCTGCCCTTGTGGGTGAGCACCGTGTGGCCACGCCCCCACCAGTGAGAGCGCCTGGCTGTGCAGAGGCCTGGAGACTGCCGTCCGCTCGCCGGGCCGCTTCAGCAGGGGCCCATTTCTCTCTGCTTCACCCTGCTGTGCACCTGAGACCTGTGCAGGTCGCTACAGCCAGGACAAAGCTGAGGCCGAGAGGACACCAGTCCAGGATGCCTGGCAGTGCCCTCACCAGGCCCGGGCCCAGCCCTGGTGTTCACAGCCGCAAGGAAGAGTGTGATGTCGGTTCCTCCCTCAGCCCTCACCCCCGCCAGGCCCTCTGGCTGGCAAATGGTGACCCTCTGGGGGTTGGGGGCCAAAGCTAGTGGGGGCCTTCCACTCTGGCCTGGGGTGGGGGTCAGGCCACCTGAACCGGAGGGGAGGGACACTGCCGGCCGCCACCCACACTCAGGGTCTCCTCAGGTGTTCTAGTTCCAATTAATCTGTGAAACGGGGGGACCAGCTCAAGGGGTGGGGAGACCCCCACCTGCGGCTGCTTTGTTTTCACTCGCAGTCGCCCTGGGCCCAGCCCGCCCCGCCCCACGCCCCACGGCCCAGGGCGAGCGCAGTGGCCCGGGGAGCACAGTGGCCCGGGGAGCACAGTGGCCCGGGGAGCACAGTGCTTTATTGTTGGAGGGCACCTCCCCTCCACGCCTGACTCTCAGACACTCGGGACCCACCGCCCTGGGGCCCCTCCGGCTCCCCCAGACTCTGGGAGAGTGGGCTGAGGTCTGAATTGTTTGTTGCTGCTCTTTCGGCTCCTGAGTCCAGCCCCAGGTGGGGCTCTGAGGGCTTCAGAAAGGGCTGTCGGCCAACCCGGGGAGGCTGATGGCCGCGTGGGTCCCTGCAGAGGGATCCTGGCTGGCCCCGCTGCTGGCCCGGCCCCTGGAGAACAGCAGCTTCTGGGTGGCGCCTCCGCTGGTGGGCCGGGCCGAGGCTGGGCGGCCGCTGCCCCGGTGTTCCTCCCGAAGAGCCTTGCCCACGCGCCAACGGCGCCAGCTCCGCAGCAGCTCTGCCTGCACCTGGGGGCGGCCAGCAGGTGGGGCCAGGCCCGGGACCCAGCCCTGCCCCCCAGAACCCCCCAGCCCACCCTCTGGCTTGGAAGGGCATGGGGTGCCAGGGTCTGTGGGTGTGGACGTCTGGCACTCCTCGCTGCACAGTCCCCGAGGACCAGGCTGCCTGTCTGACCCCGCCCCTGACCCCGGGCCAGCCCCTGACCCCCGCCTACCTCCTTATTGAGGAAGCAGTAGAGGACAGCCACCAGCAGGCCCTGCAGAGAGGGGTGGTCAGAGCAGCCCTGGGGGAGGGGGCGGCCCCTGGGGCAGGTGGTACCTGGAAGGAGCTGAGAAACAGGTCGAAGAAGAGCTTGGCGAAGCGCAGGGCGCCCTGGGCGTGCTCGTCCGTCACGAAGGCGAACACCACCTCGTGGACTCCCAGCAGGGGGATGAGGGTCAGTGTGGACTTGGCCAGCCTGCGGGGTCCGAGCCTGAGCGCCTGCACGAGGCATCCCCGCCGGCACCCCTGCCCCCCGCCCCGCACACCCACCGGAATTTGTAGTCGTTGCGGCGCATCTGGTGGGCACGCAGCTTGGCCAGGAGGATGTGAAGGATGCGGATGAAAATGAAGAAATTGATCTGCATGTGGAGGGCACAGCTCAGGGCCCCTGCCTGCGCCTCCTGGCTCCGCAGACCCTGGGCTGGCGGGCGCCGAGCCGGGGCACCAGCCGGCGTCCTGGCTGACTGCCGGGCCTCCCTGCCTGTGCACCGAGGCAGGATGCTGTCTGTCTCCTTGGCCACGGCAGGCCCATAAAAAGGGGGGCCTGGAGGCCGACCGCATTGCCCCCACACTCCTCCCCGTGGGGCGTCCTGTCCTCACCAGAATGGCCAGGAAGACGGGAAGGCGTGGGATCCACCAAAAGGCCATGTTGTCGTTGCTGGTCCAGCACCTGGGGGTGGGCCTGCTCACCTGCTGCGGCCGTGCTCCCACTCCCACCACGCCCCCCCCCGAGTCCCAGGGATCTAACAAGGGCCCGGGCAGAGAAAGGGAGACCGTCCCCAAGGACCCGCACCCTGGGCAGCAGGTTTACTTGCCCCCCACTGCCCGGAGGCCGGACTGCACAACCGCCGCCCACAGGCCCTGGAGGAGGCAGCCTGGGCCCCCCGGCCCAGCTCGTACTCACTGGACATTCTCGAACAGACACTTGACCACGGCCCAGGGCACCACGAACAGCATGGGGGTGCCTGCGGTGGGGGCGGCAGCTGTGGCTCCGCAGCTGCAACTGGCCTGGCCCCCCCACCCCCCGCCCCAGCCGCAGCCGCAGCCCACTCACCCCAGCCAACGCCCACGTAGAGGGCGAAGAGGCTCCTCTCGGGGCCAGCGGCGAGGCCCAGCAGGCTGTGCAGGTACAGACCCTCCACCAGCAGCCAGCAGTAGTTGGCGACCACTCCGTACTGCATGAATACCGCGGCCACCCGGCAGCCGGCCAGTGCCTGGCCGTGGGGGCGGCGGGCGTGAGCGAGCCCAGGTCTCCCAGCCGCCCGTCCCCGGCCTCCAGGCCCCAGACAGGGCGGGTCTGGATGCTCACCCCGCCACTCAGCCAGCTGCGCACGCTGAGGTCGTCACCGATCTGCTGGCTGTAGCGGGTCCTGAGCAGGGCGTCCGTGGCCAGCACAGAGCTGGCCCTGAGCACGAAGGACACGAACAGGTTCGCGTGGATGTAGTTGCGGGTGCAGTGCAGCCTCCTGCGGGACAGGGTGTCAGCGCCCACCTGCCCGCCGTGCCCCCCCCACCCCACCATGGCCCCTCTGGCGCAGGGCTGGTGGGCGTACCTGAGGCCCAGCAGGATGGCCAGGGCCAGCAGCAGCGCCCCCAGCGAGAGGCAGTAGCCCACAGTGTACATCACCTGGGAGGCTCCGTACAGCTTGGCCACCTCCTTCTGCAAATCCCGGGGCTGGTCAGGCCGGGCTGCCTGCAGGCCCCCCACCCGGCCACACAGCCCCCACCGGCCTTTGCTCTGCTGGCCGCGGGCTGACCTGGACCTTAACCTCGTCCTCGTCCATCTGGCACTGGGAGGCGTTTCTCAGCGGCTGCCCCTGCGGCCCACGCACCCACTGCCCGTCGGGGCCACATCTCTTGTAGACAAAGCCGTGCTGAACTGGGGGGAGGCTCCGGTGAGTGTCCCGCCCACAGGCTGGCCCCAGGCCACCCCCACAGGCCCCCTGCAGTTACCTTTGTGGTACCAGGGCAGGTACCAGGGGCAAGAGATGCGGGCTGTGGTGTTGGGAGGCGTGTCGGGCCAGCAGGAGTACTTGTCGAAGGTTCTGTTACAGACCAGCTCTGCAGAGGCAGGGCAGAGGGGCCCTCAGCCAGGCCCAGGGGCCCTCTCTGGTCCCCTCTCGGGACCCCTGAGCATCGTCCTCTGCTCCCCAGCACCAGCTGTCCCCCGGGTCTCTTCACCTGCTCATGTCCCCAGATCCCCAGCCCCTCCTGGCATACTTTGAATCTCCAACTTGCCCCCAACCTAGTTCCCTTCCTGAAGTGCCTCCCTCTCTGGGGGCTGAACCCCAAATTCTGTTGACGCCCTTCCAGAGCCCGGCACCAACTCTGTGGTCACCCCCCGCCCCTCTGCCCTCGGCAGGGCCCTGCTCTATCTGGGCAGCTGTGGGGCCGCGCAGGCAGCGCCTCCTGCTCCAGCCCCTCTGCCCCCCAGGGACCCTCAGAACTGGTCCCTGCGATCTACCGCATCCCCGCCCTCCCCTGCCCCCTCTCAGCCATGCTCGGCCTGCCCAGCAGCAGGGGAGGGCATGAGGCACCCCCACCCTGGGGCCAGTTTTGCTTCCATCCCCCCGTTGTGTGGCCGTGGGCAAGTCCCCGGCCTCTCCGGGACCCGCCCCTTCCCCGGACCAGGGCCTTCCCCACAGCCAGAGTTCCTGGGCCCAGCTGGGGGGCTCACCTGTGGGGGGCGGCAGCAGGCTCAGGTTGTGCAGACACTGGTCCCCATAGAGCTTCCACTTCTCCAGCAGGAAGTCCATCACCTGGGCAGATGGGGCCTGTGGCTGGACACAGGGAAGGGTGGGTGGAGCGTCCAGGGTCAGCATGGCGGGCCCGAGGGCGCCAAGGGGTGGGGGCGGGCGGGCGCAGGCTCACCTGGCAGGCCAGCAGCAGCAGCAGGAGGAGGGGGCTGGGGCAAGGCTGGGTGGGGGGCATTGCCTCTGGGCAGCCACCCCCCGCATCTGGCTGGGGCTGCACGGCTGAGGCAGAGGGTCCTCGTGGGCTCACAGGCTCCTGGGGCTGCCGGGGTCAGGGCAGCAGGGGCTGGGGAGAGGGCCCCGGAGTGAGGAGACGTAGCTGGGCTTTGCCGTGGCCACCAGGGTGTCCTGCCCCCCTAGAGCCACCCATCTGAGCCGCCGGGTCCTATCGATGAGGTAGGGTGGGGAGAGGAGCTGCTCTTTCTCAGTAGACCCTGCCCGGTGTCCTGGGGGCTGTGCCGCCACCCGTGGCCTGCTGCTCAAAGCTCTGGACAGGGGCCCTGCCCCTTTGGGCCAGTGGCTGGTCCCAAAGCTGTGGCGGGGGGTCGGGCAGTGTCCCTAGGAGCCCTCACCAGCCTCCCCACCTATTCTTAGTCCCTGGGAAAGTCATCTTGCTGGGCCTGGGCAGGGTGCTGGGGCCATCCATCACTGAGCCCCCAGTGCCAGCATCAGGGGAGTGGCCCTGAGCCAGCTCCCAGCCTTGCCAGAGGCCAGGAGCACCAGGCCCCCTTCCAGGGTGGCCCCTGTCCCGTGCACACCCCCTTCCCCAGGGCCGGAGTGTCTACGTGGCCCAGGTCCAGGCTGGGTACTGAGTCCGGGGTGGGAGGCCAGTTTACAGGCAGCTGGCAGCAAATTCTTTCGAAATTAGTGCTGCTGGGTCTAGACATGAGCCCTGCCCTTGTGGGGCCTGCTGTGGGGGGGGCGCCCAGGGCCCAGTCTTGGGCGGAGCCTGTCTGAGCCGGGGTTCTGGGGCAGCAGCAGCCCCAGAACCCCTCCCTCCAGGCCTCTTTTGCTCAGACTAAGTCCTTTGGGGGCAGAGGGAGGGGCCGCCCTCGGGGCCTGGGTGCAGGACCCCCAGGGCTCTGGGTAGGCCCTTCTCTGGACGCACCAGCGTGGAGGGAGCAAGTGACGGAGGGACATTTGGATAGATGGGACAGCTGCCTGTCTGGGCATGGCTGGGGAGGAGCCAGGAGTGGGGGACAGGGGGCTCAGGCTGTGGCCGAAGGTGGCGTGTCTCGGGACACCCCAGATTTCAGCCTCCTTCTGTCAGTCCCACTAGGTGCCTGTGACTCCGTTTCAACCAGGGGCCTCCCTGAGACTCGCCCGCATCCCAGTGGGACCCTGAATGTCCCTGTGCAGGGTGAGAGCTGAGTGGCTTGCAGACATGGGACCACAGCCTGCTCTGGGGCACCTGGCCCCAGTCCCAGGCCACAGGCAGCGGCCGGGCCACACAAGGCGAGGGGAGCCACAGGGTGGCGGGCGCTCTTGGCAGAGAAGGTGGCAGCCAGAAGGGCAAGGGGCAGTTCAGTGGGAAAGGGCCCCCACCTGCAACTCTGCCCGACGGCCCATCTGTGGCTCTGCCCCACTGAACTCAGACGGTGAGCAGTAGCCAGGGGCCAGCCTCTCACCTGCCGCCCGGCTGCTGGTGTGGGAGGGGAGGGGTGGTGGGTGCTCGGGCTCAGGGTTCAGGGGTGGCCTGGGCAGCTAGAGGCTCTAGGATCAAGGGAGGGGCTGGCCGGGGCCAAATGGGCAGAGGAGATGCAGGCAGGGGACGTGGAGGAAGGACACTGCCGGACAAGCTGTTCCCTGCTCAGAGGCCGTGCGGCGAGGGGGCGGGCAGTGGGGGTGAAGCTGCTGGGGGCCCAGTCTGCAGAGAGGCCCACCAAACGCCGACAGGCCTGAGGGCCGGCAGCCAGGTGCCCCGGTGGCTGGTTATTCTGGGGAACCCAGGGAGAGGCAGGACCCAGGGCAGAGGGGAGACCCGGGGGGGCTCCTCCTTCTGCCCCTCCCCGACTATTCTCCTCAGCAGCCGTGGCCACAGGTGGGGGGCTGTCTGTGTCCCCCATGCCCACCCCTGTCTGGTCAGGAGGTGGGGTTAGGAAGGCCGCAGGCGACCCCACCAGCGTCCTGTTGGAGCCGGACCAGGGGCAGAAGGGGCGGGCCCTCGGTCCCTTTGGTGGGAGTGCAGGCGAGAAGACTGCAGACACTGTCTGAATAAGGGGGCAACGCTGAGGTTCGGGGGTCCTTGCCCTGACCAACAGGGGTGAGGCCGGCCCCACAGGATGGCACCATCACAGCACTCAGTCCTGGGACCAGGACAAGCCGCCTCGCTTCCCGGAGCCTCAGTTCGCCCACACGTGACATGGGCGGGAAGGGCTGCTTCCTCGGCAGTGGTGAGCTCTGCCACCTGGAGGGCAGGCCCCTCCCTGCCACGGGGCCTGGGGCCTCGGGCAGCCCCCCGCCCGCCTGTCACAGCCGGAAGGGCCTGATCTGTTGGAGGGATCAGAGGACTGAAGCCCCGGACGGTGAGCAGCCCCCACAGAGGCGGCCCCGGGGTTCCCTGTTTGTCCCCTTGTTATCCCCCGGCAGGGTGGGGGGTGGCTGGCCCGGGACCACCCTTCTCTCTTCAGGGACCAGGACTGAACCCACACGAATGTCAGCCCAGGACTGGAGATGCGAGGGGCAGCTGGGGGCTCACGGGGACACAGGCGGGGGCTCTTGGAGGCCCCCAGCCACCACCCTTTGTTCCTGGACTCACCCCACCTGCCCCCCACCTGCTGGGCTGGCCCATGCCTGGCAGAAGGCACCACTCCCGAGGGTCCACACGGTGGCCAGTGTCTACCAGCTCCACTGGGGACGGTGGAGGAACTCCGGGCCCTGGGGAAGGGACTCCGAGGCCGGGGGAGGGCAGGTGGTCCCGGGTCACCCCAGAGTCCCAGGTGACAGGGCTGAGGCCTCCCAGCCTCCAAGGTGTATGACGTGGGGGGTGATTTTGTGAAACCAGGGCAAGTGCTGGGACATGGTGGCCGGGGGGGGGGGGGGTGGATCAGGGGACAAGGCTGTTGACAACGCCTGCGTCCTGCCTGCGTCCTTCACCCCCAGCCCGTGGGGGCGGGGCGGGCGGCCTGGGCGTGGGCCAGGGCACAGTCCCCCAGTACCGGGGACTGGAAAGCAGCCCTGGCCGGCGCCGGTCCTCGGTGCGTGTGAGCGCTCAGACGCCAGGGGTCCGCCGGGTCGGGTCGGGGGGAGGAGAAACCCTGCGGCCCAGAGGCGGGAGTGGGGGCCCCTGGGGCGGCGGGGCAAGGGTCACGTCACCCGCCCTCGCAGCGGGTCCAAGCAACAAACCTGGGCTTCGCGGCAGAGCGGACCGCGGGGTGCGGAGCCCCCACCCCCCGCCCCCGGGACTGGGCCACTGCTGGGGACGGCCCGGCTTCTGGGGACCCGCGCCCCGGGGTGTCTCCGCGGGGCTGCCCGAGGCGGGAGTCGGAGCCCAGTGGGGCAGACGGACGACCCCGCCCCGGCCGCGCTCCCGGGGGAGAAAGCAGGTCGGAGCGCAGAGACCCCCCAGCCCACCCGCCGCGTCGGCGCGCGAAGGGCCAGCCCCCCGGACTGGGGAGGGAGGTGTCCGACGAGGATGAGGCCGCGCGGCCCGCGCCAGGGGTCCCTGCCTGCCCCGCGCCCCCCGCTCTGCACGTCCCGCGCCGGGCCGGGCCGGGCGGGCTCCCGGGGTGTCCCCTCGGGCCCGGCCCCAGTGCTCACCGCGCTGCTCCGGTCGGGCTCCGCGCTCCTCACCGGCTACGCGCCCGCGCCCCGAGCCAGCCGCGCGCAAACTTTCAGGCCCGCTGGGCGGCGGGGGCGGCAGGGGCGGGGGCGCGGGCGGGGCCGAGCGGCGGCCGAGGGTCCGAGCTCGCGCCCCGCTCCTCCTGGCGGCGCCCCGGCTCCTGCCCCGCGGACTCGCCCCCTCGGTCCCGGCGGACGTGGCGCCCAGACGCCGAACCAGGAGCCAGAGGACGCACAGGTGGGGGCGCGGCGCCCGCTCCTGTCTCTCCCTCTGGTCCCCGGTCCTCACCGCCGCTGCCCCGGGCGTCGCGCTGATTTGCTGGAAGGACTGACCCCCACGCACCCCACGGCGGCTCCTGGTGACGCCTCCACCCAGCGCGCCGCGGAGCGGGCCGGGCTGAGCGCAGGCGGGCCGGACGGGCGGCCCCAAGGGCGCCCCATTAAGCGGGGTCTCAGGGCCCCTGTCCTCTCCGTCCAGCCCCGCTCACTCAGCAGCTCCGCTGACCCCGACTCCCAGACTCGGCTCCCCAGACCCCACGTGAGCGCGTCCTGTCCTCGCCTCTCCCCGCCCCGGCCTGGAGCCCGCGCCCCAGCCCAGCTTTGAGGTTCTTTCCACCCCTCGCCGCCCGCCACTCCCCGGCCCACTCAGGACCCAGTGACCTCAGGGCCACCAACCCCGCAGATACTTTAGGGCCCCATCTTTTCTGGCCTTTCAGCTTTCCAGGACACTGACGCTGATGCCCTCCTTCTAGAAAGTTCTCGGGGGGGTCTTGGCTTCCAGGGCCGCGCTCCCCTCCACCGCCCCTCACGCAGCCCCCACCCTGGTCTCCAGCTGCCTCCGGACCCACAGGGCAGCTGCTCCCATTTCCTGGGTGCGTCCCACCCCACAGGGACGCCCGGCAGTCGCCCTGAGCCACCACATTCCGATCCGCCTTGCGTCTCCCTGGTGGGGTCTGGGCCTCTTGCGCTCTGCCAGCCACCTTCGGACCATGCGGCCCGGGACTCCCTGCTCGCTGCCCTTCGTCTCCGGGGCCCCTCTCCCTGCTCCCCGTCTGTTTTAGGGGCATCGGAACCCACCCTACCGGGTCGTCGCCCTGCCCTCCAGCTCCCAGAGCTGAGCCAGCACTGGTCCTGCTGCCCGCACACCTGCGTCCAGCCACCCTCTGAAGCCCCGGGAGGAGGGCACACACACCTGGGGATGTGCCCCAGACCCCCATCCGTACCATTCGCGGAAGCCCTGCCCCCAGAGCCACCTTTCTGTGTCAGTTCAGGGGATGACCAGAAGGCAAAGGTCAGAGGCAAAGGTCAGGGAGCTGGGTCCTGCCGGCAGAAAGGCCGCCAGCGCAAAGGCAGGGCGCTGGGGTGGGGGGAGGGGCCTCTCCGGCGAGTGCCCAAAGGCCCTTCCCTCCTGTTCCCTGTCCCCTGCCCCACACCCCTCCTCTGGCCTCCCCCACCTCTCCGGGGCCGGTGTGCCCCGTGGCCAGCACAGGTTCGGGTCAGTCTGAAGTTCCCTCCAGCCTTGGTGGTTCCACCAGTGCGTGGGGTGGCCGGGACCCCCTGCAGGAGGCCGTGAGGGTCTGAGCAGCCGGTGGTCCCCACTGGGTGGCCCTTCCTTCTCTGGAACACACCTACCCCAGGTCAGCTCTGGCTGGGCCCCGGCCCAACAGCCTGGGGGAGGCAGCGGACAGTGGAACCGGGGCCCAGCGGGAAGGGATGTGGAAGAACCAGTGTGGGTGCACCAAGTGGTGGGGGGGGCGCAGCACCTGAAATGTGTGGTCGCGGTGGGGGGCAGAGAGGAAGAGGGCCTGCGGGTGGGGGCTCCTTCCCTAGACGGGGCCGCCTCTATTTACATAACTGAATTCATAACACAAACAGAGCGGCCTGGGAACGCAGTGGGCTGGGCCTTCCCACAGAGCGGCCTGGGCACCAGGAACCAGGAGGCGCTGCTCTCTGCTGACCCCCAAGGGTCCCGTTGGGGGCCTTAGCCCTGGAAGTGTGCTGGCCCTGTGTTCCAGGGAAGGCTGGGGTGTGGAGCCCCCTCCCCCAGCCTGCTTCGCCCTGGACGCCCTTGGGGCTCGGGCGTTCCACCGCGATCTGGAGCTGGCACTGCACCCAAGACCTGGCCTCTGCCTGCCTGCCAGCCTGGGGAACCACCCCCCACCCCTGTCCTGGGGGCAGATGATGGAGAATAGCAAAGCAAGAGGTGGCAGACAGGTGGTGCCGGCAGAAGCCAGGGCAGGGGTGGGGGGCGGGGGTGGGAAGCTGTGGGGACAGAGGCAAGGAAGAGACCGTGCCCCAGACCCAGCTGCTGGCGGCGCCACAGGCCACTGTGCCCAGGCCTCCTGACTGTGCCGGCTCTCCTCGGCGGGAGCCACGACCCAGGCACTTTGTTCTCTGAAGAAGTCCCTTCACGCCGCCGTGCTCCGGCGTGGAGCGCGCTGCTGCGCCGGCCCCTGGGGCAGGAGCTGCCAATCACAGGCAGCAGGACTCCAACACCCCCAACCCAGGCCCGTGGGCACCAAGCTGAGCTCTGGGGCCCCACCAGTGAGACTGAGGGCCCCAGACACATTCGAGAGACTGAGGGCGGCAGAGAAGACAGTGAAAGAGCCGGCGGCACAGAGAACAAAAGGAAATTCCAGAAACGTCGTTTTTTTTTTTTTTTTAAGTTATTTATTTATTTATTTATTTTTAGAGAGGGGAAGGGAGGGAGAAAGAGAGAGAGAGAAACATCAATGTGTGGTTGCCTCTTATGTGTCCCCCGCTGGGACCTGGCCTGCAACCCAGGGGTGTGCCCTGACTGGGAATCGAATTGGCAACCTTTATGGTTTACAGACCAGGATTCAATCCACTGAGCCACACCAGCCAGGGCTAGATAGTTTATTTTTAAAATATCGTGGCCGTGGCTGGTGTGGCTCAGTGGATTGAGCACGGGCCTACAAACCGAACAACTACGGTTTGATTCCCAGTCAGGGCACATGCCTGGGTTGTGGCCCAGTTCCCAGCAGGGGGCGCAGGAGAAGCAACCTGGAGAGGGTCTCTCCCCCTCTCTCCTTCCCTTCCCCTCTAAAGATAGATAAATAAAATTAAAAAAAAATATTGTGAAACATTTAAGGCAAACAAAATATACAAAGTCTCAGTTGCCTGCCTGGATAGCCCAGTTAGAGCGTCATCCAGATACACAAAGGTTGCGGGTTCGATTCCCTGTCGGGGCACCTACAGGAGTCAGCCAATGAGTGTGTCAGCCAACTGTGGGCTCCCAAGGGTGTGACAGCAGAGGCCAAACAGCGGCACCTGAGGTGACAACGCCGAGTGTCTCGTGGGCGGGGGGCACCGGCCGGACCTCGATGGACACGCAGTGTCTTTGGTGTACAGTAAAGTGAGGCAGCCTGTGCTTAGGTTTATTACGTGTTTATATTATTACACTATTCACTATATTTTATTGTGTTTCAGCACAATATAGGATTTGAGAGATGTCTGACACGGGGAGGCGGTGCCCATCGGATCCTGCTTCATTCTCGGCCACAACGCCCCCTGGGTCAGGGACCCGGAGCCCCGCCCGGGGCGGGGAGCAGCAGGGCCCCCGCACGCACAGGACCCGCGACCCTCCGGCCGGAAGGGGCAGGTGAGCTCGGCACTCTGCTCGCCCCGGGGAGCGGGCTGCCCACGCGCCGGCCTCGCCCCCGGCACCTGAGGGCTCCTGCCCACGCTTATGAGCCCAGTGTCTGGAAATGGGCCAGGTCGGCGGGGCTGCTGCTGACAAGCGTTGTCACAAACTCAGGTTATGGAGGCTGATGGGACCGGTGGACCGGGACAGGACCGGGTCCGGCCTGAGCCCGACAGGTGCAGCCCCAGGAGGGGCGGCCTGCGGAGCCTGCGGGGCCCCGGCCTCCAGGGGGCACAGGCTCCGGCGGTGGGTGGGGGGTGGGGGGCACCTGGGCTCCGGAGCACTAATCACTGACTCCTCCCTGCCCCGGCGTGGCCCCTGGGGTGGCTTTGGGGGCCAGCGGGGGTGGCTGGTGCTCCAGTCTCCACTAGTGTTGGGGACTCTCAGTGACGGGGGGGGGGAGCGGGACAGGGGTCCAGGGCTTTTGGGTAACACTCATGGGCCTGGCGCTGTCCCCCGGAAAAGGAAGCTGCACTCGGTTGGCTTTGGGGTGGGGAGGGAGCCCCTAGTTGTCAACAGGACAGAGTGGGTCTGGACTCTCGCTCCCTTCATCTGGCTCAGGCCACACGGACCCGCGTGTCCCTCCAGCGCCACCACCTGTCACCCCGGGCACCCCGCCCGGCCCCTCCTCCCTCCCGTGTCTGCCCCAGGCTCCCAAAAGCAGGGGCAGGTCGGTGTCAACCACGAGCCCCCAGTTCGGGCAGCCTCGGGGCGGAGGGCACGCTGGCCTGAATGAAGCCTGTGATCTGGTGCCCCGCGCTAGCCGCCCCGTCTCCGAGGCCCCCTGATGCCGGCTCCTCCACTGGGCAAGCAGCCTGGACCGGATCTGGGCCCCGCGTTTTCCAAAGTGGGTTCCGCAGAGCAGTTCTGTCCCCGGCCAACCCTGGCCCTCGCCACTGCCCGCCCTTCCCCTGTTTACTCCCTCCACCCGGAAGGTCCCGGCCTGGCCCCGCCTGTAGCCACAGCGCCCACTGGTCACCTCACCGGTGGCAACAGGCCCTCCCGGCCGTCAGCCGGTGTCACCTGGCTGCCACCCGGCGGCCACTCGGGGAGTGACAGGCTTCTCCAGGGCGGCCACAGGCAGGTGGACCCGCCCTCCGCAGGGCTTCTCCCACCCACTTCTTCCCTCACCTGCCCGCCCACTGACCGGGCACTCGGCTGAGAGCGGGGTTGGGCGGGCCTGTGGCCGCAGGGACAGCCCCGCCCCTCCAGGGCCGACTTCCCAGCAGAATGCAGACAAGTAGATGGGGCGGGGGGGGGGGGGGGGCGGGACACGACTCACTCCCGCCCAGCCTCGCGGATGCTCCTGCTGCCCTGTCCGGGGCTCGCGCTGGGCCGAGGGGCTCACCAGGGCAGGGGCATGCGGCCAAATCACCCATGGACACAGCTGTCCCAGGGCCCCCTCCACCCTGTCCCTCCCTTCTTTTTCTTTTAATATATTTTATTGACTATGCCATTACAGTTGTCCCATTCCCCCCCTTCATTACCCTCCACCCTGCACACCCCCTCCCCCATCATTCCCCCCTTTAGTTTATGACCACGTGTCTCAAGTTCTTTAGATTCTATATTTCCCATACTATTCTTGCCCTCCCCCTGTCTATTTTCTACCTACTGTCTATGCTATTTATTTTCTGTACCTTCTCCCCCCTTCTCCTCCTCCCACTCCCCTGTTGCTAATCCTCCATGGGATCTCCATTTCTATGGTTCTGCTCCTGATCTAGCTATCCTTTTAGTTTGCTTTTGTTTTAGGTGTGGTTGTTAATAACTGTGAGTTTGCTGTCCTTTCACTGTTCATCTTTTTTATCTTCTTTTTCTTAGATAAGTCCCTTTAATATTTCATATAATAAGGGCTTGGTGATGATGGACTCCTTGAATTTGACCTTATCTGAGAAGCACTTTATCTGCCCTTCCATTCTAAATGAAAGCTTTGCTGGATAGAGCAGTCTTGGTTGTAGGTCTTTGGATTTTATGACTTGGAATACTTCTTTCCAGCCCCTTCTTGCCCATAAGATCTCTTTTGAGAAATCAGCTGACAGTCTGATGGGAACTCCTTTGTAGGTGACTGGCCCCTTGGCTCTTGCTGCATCTAGAATTCTCTCCTTCATTTTAATCTTGGCTAATATAATTATGATGTGCCTTGGTGTGTTCCTTCTTGGGTCCAACTTCTTTGGAACTCTCTGAGCTTTCTGGACTTCCTGGAAGTCTATTTCCTTTGCCAGAATGGGGAAGTTCTCCTTTATTATTTGTTCAAATAAGTTTTCCACTTGTGGTTGTTCCTCTTCCCCTTCTGGTACCCCTATAATTCGGATGTTGGAACATTTAAAGATGTCCTGGAGGTTCCTGAGCCTCTCCCTATTTTTTGAATTCTTGTTTCTTTATCCTTTTCTGTTTGGTCATTTTTTCCCTTCTATCTGGTCCACTCCCTTGATTTGAGTCCCAGTTTCCTTTCCATCACTATTGGTTCCCTGTGCATTTTCCATCATTTCAATTAGTTTAGCCTTCATTTGTTCCTCTAATTTGTGACTAAAATCAACCAGTTCTGTGAACATCCTGGTCACCAGTGTTTTGAACTGTGCATCTGAAAGGTTAGCTATCTCTTGGTAGCTTAGATTTAGTGGCTCTGGGGCTTTGAGCTGTTCTTGAGCCATAATGTTTTGGTCTGTTCGCACCTGTTCTCTATGAGGGGCGGAGCCTTAAGTGTTCACCAGGGCGGGGCAACTCAGTCGCTGGGTTGTGACGCTGTATGTGGGGGGCGGGGTCAGAGCGGGGCAATGGTGGTCTCCTCTGCTGCTTCCCACCACTGGGGCCTGCTCGGTCTGTCTCACTGCTCTCTTTCGCCTGGTTTATCTGCGCGCAAATGTGTGACCACGGTCGGCCAGCCACCTTGTGCCCTCACTGGGTCCGCCCGTTGCCACCCCACGTCTGGGATTTGCCAACTGCCGCCTGCGCTCCTGGGTCAGTCCGGTCACCTTTTCCTGTGTGACCCCACTCCGCCAGTCGCTGGCTCTGTCCCTCTTACCTGTCTGGCTGAAGGCTTCGTTGTCGTTGGACTTCCGTATAGCTCAATGTTCTGTGTTTTGGTTGTGTTTTTGTTGCTAAAACTTTGTTGTCTTTAAACTTGGTTGTGCGAGGAGGTACAGTGTTTCCACCTACGCCTCCATCTTAGATCCAGAACCCCCGTCCCTCCCCTCTTCACTCGGTTGCAAGGAGTGACCACTAAGGTGCAGTCGACAGTTGTCAGCACATTTGCAGAGTCACACCACTGTCACCAGCCAGTCTGAGAACATCCCCTCACATCAGAAAGAAGCCCCTTGCGCTTCAGCCATGCCCCAGCCCCGGCCCTAACCAGCTGCTGAAACACCCCCCGTTGGCGAACTGGCCCGTGGCCACGGCCTCATATCCGTGGAATCGCGATGTTTCTCCTTGGCCGAGAGCAGGGTCCTCACGGTCGGTCCGCACTTTGTCAGGCTGGGAGCTGCTCGCCGTCCGCACCGCCCCCGGTTGCTTGTCCAGCTTCCACGGACCAACATCTGGGTGGTTCCCACGTTTTGGCCACAGTGGCCCTGGCCGTGAAGCCTCTGGTGTGTCCAAGTTCCCGGACACGTCCCCGGGCTCTCAGGTGTCTGCACACCCAGGAGAGAAATGGCCGGGCCGGGCGGTCTCTGCTCAGTTGTCCAGAACCACCGGCCAGTGGGATCCGCTTCACACCTGAACCCGGTCCGCACCCAGGGCCCTCCCTTTGCTCCTTGTTGGGGTCTCAGCCCGGGCCAGCTGGCTCCCACACCCCTTCTTGAAGTCCATGCGAGGAGAGTCCAGGTCTGGAGGCCTCAGGAGGGCGAGCTCGAAGTTTCAGGGCGTACGGCACATGTTCCCCATCATTAGGTGAAAGAGCAAGTCCTTCCAGCAGGAGAGGACCCAGGGCAGTTTTAGCTTCCGCACTGGGTGGTGGTAGGCAGGGCTCTCCAGTCTCCCCCACTTTTCTGTCAACAGCATCTTGGTTTTGCTGTTGGGGACTCTGCCCCCCTCAGTCTTGGGGGGGCTGGACACCCAGGCTCAGACAGCCAGCCTGCGTTTGACTCAGGTGGGCGAACAGCTCAGGTGCTCGGGTCAGTGAAACGTCACCCAGGTCCTTCCCTCCCGTCCCTGTGGGGAACTGGAGCTGGTGGAATTTGGCCACAGTTTGAGGAGAGGCTGCTCAGAGTGATGCCACGCAGACAATGGCCAGGCTGGGACAGAAAAAGAGGACTGGGGGAGGCACCTGGATGGAGCCAGACCTGAAGCTGGACGCCTAGGCCTTTCAGTTCTGTGAGCCAACACTTTCTTCTGCCCCCACCAGTTTAAACCGGTCACTGTGCTTGTGACCCAGAGGCCTCTGTTTGGTGCAGGGTCTCGGGCCCATGGAAGGTGAGTGGTCAGTTCACTTTTCTTTACGTTGTTCTTCGTTTAACATGGTTAAGGTGGCGCATTTTACTTTATTATTTTTGATTTCTTGGGGTGACATGGGCTCATAACATTGTATAGGTTTCAGGCGTACACTTCTAAACACGACACACCACCTGTGCATTGTCTGTGTGCTTACCACGGCTATTTGTAGGAGCGAGTAGGGACTTTTTATCAAGTTCTCTGCAAATGGCTTTTCTGGTGGGTTGTTCGCGTGCATGCTTGCTAGTAAACATTTTGCAATGCACAGCTTTAATTTCTTTACACATTTTTGTTTATTTAGCCCTGGCTGGTGTGGCTCCCCCTCTTTATGGGGGTGCCCTTCAGCAGATCCAGGGAGTGTTCTCTCCGGGGAGGTTTTTAAGAATCACACACAGGCATTAGCCTGTGCCGTGTGCTCTTTCTGCTGCTGTGCGGGTGGCCATGGGTGTGTCCCCCCTCCGTGTGGAAGGCCTGCCCCTCTAAAGTCCTGCTACAGGCCCACACGGTCACAGGGCCCACCGCTGTCCGTACGCAACTTCCTTCGGCTCATCCACCATCCACTTTGGCCTCTGCGTCTCTGGCCGTGGATGTGACCGGCCTTTCAATGTTCACTCTGGAGCCAAGCTCCTGCTGCGGGGCTGAGAGCAGGACCTCTCCCTTCCACGGGTGATGGGCAGCCGGGCAGAGCCTCCGCCTGTGAAACCCGTGGGACGGGGCGCCCTGGGCGTGGACCTGGGACCCCCCGGAAGGAGCGGAGGCCTGTACTCAGAGCCCCTGTAGCAGGGAGTTGGCCATTGTCGCTTGTGTTTTGGCAGAGACTCGGAGCAGGCAGAGGAGGGGGAAGCTTCCGAGTGAGAAGGGGCCGGGGCGTGGCCAGCTGGGGCCGGGGAAGCCGAGTGCTGCGGACGAGGAGTGGGCTGACCCTGGGGGGGTTCAGGAGGAGCAGGTTTGACTTGCTGGTTGGTCCCCCCAGTGGGGAGCAGAGGCAGGAGCTGGCTGGTGCTGACAACTCCTGGCCGTGGGGGGGGCCGGTCTGGGGCCCGGGCAGTCGAGGTTGGATCTGCATTCGGTCCCTTTCTGTCTCCGGGCTGCGGCCAGGGCTCTGCCTGGGCAGGGCTATGGGTCTTCCATTGAGGCCAGAGGACTGGGCCCCGCCCCACCCAGCCCTCCAGATCTCCCCACCCTGGGGACCGACCAGGGACCGGTCACCGGGGCAGTGCCACCCTCTCTCCGTCCACCAGCTTCAGGGAGCCAGTGACACTGAACTTTGGGCTGGAATGTGGCCTGGGCGGTGGTGGGGGAGGGGCAGACAGGCCCCCTGGGAGGGAGGGGCAGCGGGTCACCGAACCCCAGGGGAGCCGGGGCCCTGAACTGCCTCCGACAGAGTGACTGGGTGCGTGGGGCTGGCCAAAACCAGGAAGCAGGAAAGGAAGAGGGACACTGGCCCGCTCACCCTCGGGAGGGGGAGGAAGAGATGGAAAGCAAGGCCCAGGCTGTGGGGACAGGACACGCACCCCATCTGGGGAAAATTAACTCCAGGGAGGGCACTCAGACAGAATTAGAGGCACCTCCTCCAATCAGCCGCCAGCGCTCACAGAGCAGCACAAAGCCTCCACCGCAGGGAGCAGGCGCCTGGGACAAAGGGCCGGGCTGTCGGGCAGCTGGCTGGGTCCTTAAAGAGCCAGGAAACAGACCAGGGACAATGGGGCCGACCTCACGTGGCCACCAGCCCCGGCAGGAAGGCTGAGGGGTCGCACCGCGGGTGGAGAGGAGAGCAATTCGAGCAGATAACAGGTGTGAAGGACAAAGACCCCCCAGGAGAAGGGGCCTCTGTCGGGGGACGCTCTGGGACAGAGAACGTGCTCCAGGGGGGGACCGACTGCTGTCAAAGGGACACCTGCTTCAGGAAGAAGTGACCCGCCAACCGGCCCTGTGGCTGATCCTGTCTGTCACTGCCATTCCGGGTTCAGGGGTCACGGGGGCGGGGGGTTGGGTTACTGAACCCCCACCGAGCCTTTGGCGGCGGGCAGTGGGGGCAGAGACAGCAGGTGGACGTAGCGTTCACCCTGCAGAGCATTTGCACGCGTCTGTTTGAGCCATCACTGATGCTGGGGGGGGCCGGGGGGGCCCGCGTGGGCCCCTCGTGTGGCCCGAGAGCAGCAGTTTGCAGCTTCCTTTCTGTGTTTGGGATCGAGGATGAGACTCTCAGCAGGTGGCAGAGGTTGGACTGCGGGACAGTTGAGGAGGTTTCGTCTGGGTTTTGTCCAGCCCTGAGGGCCAGTCCCCCTGAGAGAGGCCTTGCTCCCCGCAGTCCACAGCTGTGCTCACCAGATGCACAGGAACAGTGGGGAGGGCGGGCGTGGGGCGAGGAGAGCCTTTCACACACCTGGGCCTCACACCTGGGCCTGACTCCGCAGCTATAAGAACCCGAGACCCGGGAACACAAGGTCAGCGGCCTGAGAAGTTCCTCCGGCCGGGCTGCAGCCTCTGTGGCCCTGACCGGAGGGAGGGGGCTGTTGAGGGAGGGAGTTGTCACCCACAGGACGAGGCAAAATGACACCCACAGCAACGGTGTGTAGGCCTTGACCGCGAGTGACTGAGGGCGTGACTGTGAGGAAGGGACTGGAAGAAAGGGCCGGGCCACAGGTCACCCCCGTACGCTCTCGTCCGGCATCTGCTCGTCTGTCTGCAGCTCCTCGTTGGAGCTGTGCCGTCCGGAGCTCACGTCTGTGTGCGGCAGGGCCCCGAGGCGCTCTTTCACAAGGCGCCACTCCCAGGTCCGCACGGCTTGTGCAAGGGACCGCTCTCCCGCGGGATCTTCTCGGTGCCCCTGCTGGGATTTCCTGACAGCCAAAACTTATCCCGAAGCTTTTTGTAAAAGGTCTCTTTTTTAAAAAGATTTTTTTTTTTTTTTTTAGGGAGAGGGAGAAAGAGGGAAACTTCAGTGTGTGGTTGCCTCTCATGCTCCCCCCACTGGGGACCTGGCCCCCAACTCAGGCACGTGCCCTGACTGGGAATCGAACCGACTCGGTTTGCAGGCCAGTGCTCAATCCACTGAGCCACACCAGGCAGGACAGCATGGGCTTTCTTGAAGAAAAACACCTAGGGGTGACGTCCTCCCTCCCAGGAGCACACCTGTGCCTTCCCTGTCTCCCACTTTGTCCCCCACGGGCAGTGCCTCCTAAACTCTGAGGGTCCCCACAAGACGTGCGACCAGGGCAGCAGTGGGCAGCCAGTGGCTGCAAAAACCCGAAAGCCCCGTCCTCTGACTTCTCAGTGAGCTGAGGCGGCCCCGCCGGGTCTCTCTCCTGCCTCATTTCCCTGTCCCTGCTTTAGTAAACAGGCTCTATTTAAAAAAAAAAAAAAAAAAAAGTCCCCAGCTGACCCGTGAAATGCTAATTGGCTTCCCCCTGAGGGTAGAGGGCCAGCAGGTGGGGGCCATAGAACCGGGACTGAGGGCTGGGGCTGGGTTGTCCCAGGAAGTCACGACGAGGGTGGGGGCGCTCTGCCCGCTGCCCTGCCCAGTGCCCCAGACACCTCCAGTCCCACCAGCCCCACCCTGCGCCCTCTGCCCTGCACTGGTCCCCCGCCAGGCCAACCCCTGCCAAATTGCCTAACCAGATGGGGCACTTTCTCCCCTGGGTCCTGGTCCAGGGCAGGTTGCACAATGGGCCTGGCTGGGGGAGGCACCAGCTCCCCTCCCCCCCAGGCTGCACCTGTGCACAGGTGGGCCGACCACAGGAGCTTTAAGGAGGGACAGACCAGGCAGCCAGTTTCTGGAACCTGCTGCCTTTTTTTCCTGCCAACTTCAGTTGCCCTGAGGACTGTTTGGTGCTAGACTCAGGTGTGTGGTGTTACGGTGACGTGGAGGTTGGCGGGGGCACGGTTTACAGCGCCCGCCCAATCTCACGACATCCTGTGCTCCCCGTGTGGGACTTTGCGGCTCTGGGGCCAACCCGTGACAACCCCATTGTCCTTCTCAATCCCTTCGCCTTGTCTGTCCAGCCTCCTGCCCCGCCCTGTCCCCTCCCCTCCAGTGAACGTCAGTCTGTTCTCTGTTTCATTCCTTTATTTTGTTCTTTAGATTCTGCAAATGTATGAACTCATGTGCTGTTCATGTGTATGAACAAGTGTCCTCTGACATTTTACTTGGAACTTGCTGCCTTTTCCACTTGCCTGGGGTCTGGGAGAAGCAGCAGCCACCCCTGTGACCATTGTCACTGCTCCAGGGTCACTCACTGCCTGGGCTGCCCAGCGAGGCCTTCAGCCTGCATGCTGGCCCCAAATCCTGGCAGAGTTGGGCGCTCGGGGCCCTTCCCGAAGCCAGGCCCCACCCACAACCCAAGCCCCACACCTGCCCAGGGGGCCTGGGAGTCTGGCTTCAGGCCCTGCATTTCCAGGCAATGGCCGCCTCAGAGCTGGCCACACCCTGATACACAGGACACCCCACTTGTCCACATGGCACACCAGGTGTGTCCCTCACGGGAGACTGAATGCAGAGCTATCTGCCAGCTTTTGGAAATTCGAGAACAGAGCACGGGGCCACATCTGAAGGGAGAGAATGGGAAGGGTGTGGCTGACCCTGCCCAGAAGGGGTGGGGCGGGACTCCAGCGAAACCCACCCTGGGCAGCGCAGGGCGCCCCGGAACCCCGTGACAAGTCACCCAGTGACAGGTCACTGACCACTGCGTTCCTACACATAACCAGTTACCATGGTAGCTTAAACTTCAAAATATTTAAATTGATTTTGAGAGGAAGACCACTGGGCCGTTGCATTGATGCTGCGCTCCGTGGGTAACCCCTGCACTCCGACTGGGAGCCGCAGCCTTGGAGTTTCAGGACGAAACTCGACCCTGGAGCCACGGGGGCAGGGCTGCAGCCCCGGCTCCCTGAAGGCCCTTTTCGGGGACCGGGAAGCACTCCACACAGGAGGAGCATCCGGGACTTGCTCCAGACAATCCAGTGGGCGGGGAGGGGGCTGCAGGGCACACCCCCCGCTGAGGCCGAGCTGGCTGCTTCTCAGGAGAGCCAGTGGGTTTCCGTCAGTCGTCACAGCTGTGTGACCACTGCAGCCCTCTCGACCCCTCCTTTATATGCTCCAGTGAGACCGGGCAGGGGTGACAGGGGTCCCAGTGCTGCATCTGCCCTGCAGGTCTCCCAGCTGCCACAGCCTCGGGCAGGTCCCACTGTCCCGGGGCGTCAACAGGCTGCAGGGCAGCACCCTGACAAGCCCCCTGCACCTGTCTGAGGGCCTAGAGCCCAGGGCTGACTCAGGGGGCACCTCCCACCACCAGGAAAGGGGCTCCCCAGGCAGGCCCACCAGCCTGGCTAGGGGGTGCTTGCTGAGAAGGGGGACCCTGGGTGGCACACAGCGACCTGGATCTGGGAACTCAGTGCTTACCAGACCCCTGGACTCTCACACCCGCCCACCTTGCCCTGCAGTGGTTGTGGGCTTCTGCTCCCCCCACATGCCCAGCCCCACTGCCCACAGGCTGCCAACTGTACTAGCCCAGGGCTGCATGTCTTCCATTCTGGGTCCTTCCCCACAAACAAGAGCCTGCTTTGGAGGGTGCAGAGGGGTCCGGCGGCCCTTAAACAGCTCTGAGTGGCCTGGATGCAGACGGGGACCAGATGAGGGCAGTTGACTGTCCTTTATTACTGACCCTGCAGAAAGGCCCCCTGCTGGGGAGGGGACACAGACCCAAGGGGCGCTGGGAAGCAGACAGGTGCAGCCCCCAGCTTTGCTCATGGGGAATAGGCTGCTTTGGCTGCCTGTTTTGGCTGACCAGCTGCTGGGGGCCTTGAGGGGTGACCGCTGTCCACATAAACAGGGGCCCTGAGGACACACAACAGCCCGCACTGCCCAGGGAGGGACACTGCACTGTCCCTGAAGACAGCTGTGGCCTCTGGGTACTGAGAGGTTTTTGGTGAAATTGTTAAAGCAGCTGAGGGTGGACGGGACACCTCAGCTCAGAGGCCCCCGCACCTGCCTCCTTTGATCCTTGGCCCGGCAGCTGTGGGGCTCAGCTAGCCCCCCACCTGGAGAGCATCATAAAGCCCTGCCCCCTGCAAGGTGAACGTGCCCGCGCACGCACACACTGGTCCTGGATGGGAGTGCTGGAGGACAGTGCCCGGGGCCCTGGGCGGCTGTCCCGTGAAAGGAACCCCAGGCCAGGGCCCCCAGAAACCTGAACAGCCCACCCCTCCCACCTCTAGTGTAACCGCCTACTGGGGAGGAGAAAGACCCTGGGCTGGACGCCCCCCTCCCGTGGGCACAGCAGGGCCTGGAGTGCAGGTGAAGCTACAGGGCTGCCTGGGAGGGAGGGACATAGTCACTGGGAGGCGCACTGACCCGGGCCTGGCGGTCCTGGGCCAGGGGGCGGGAGGCGGAGCTCAGCCTGGCTGGCCGTGTGGACTCGGGAGGAATGTGGCGCTGGGCACAGGCCCGGCCAGGCCCGCTCCCCGGGCCCCGTCAGGAAGGCACAGCGATGCCGAAGTGCTTGCGAAGCTGTTCCAGGAACACGAACGTGAGCACAGTGTGGGGCATGAGGCGGATGCCGGCAGGCAGCAGGCCCTGAGCGGGAGGGGGAGAGGCATGAGGAGCTGGGGGGGCCTGGGCTCCCCCACCCCCCCACGCTGCCCCGCCCCAGACCTTGTAAAAGGCCAGCGGCCCGAGTTTTGCCGTCTCCATGGTGCAGTGCAGAACACCCTGCAGGAAGGGACAGGCGGGGTGGTACAAAGGACAGCTGCGTCGCCCTCAAAAGGCTCGGACCACACACAAGCCCCCCGCCCAGGAGGCTGACGGGAGCAGGCGACTGGTGACCAGTGCACAGCATGGCCAGCGACGTTCAAAGCTCGACAGGGAGGACAAGTGAGCACAAAGGTCACAGTCGCCCGGCTGACAGCTGATGCAGCAGACCAGGCCCTGGAGGGGTGCCCAGTGTGTCCAGCAGCAGGCTGACCCTTGGGCCCCGGGCAGGTGGGTGGAGCAGGGGCGTGGCCCCAGGCTCCCTGAGGACACGGAACCTGCCACGGGCACCCCCACGGTGGTGCCGGGCCAGGCCTGGGGCCGGCGCCACCTCCCAGGGTCAGCACACGGGTTCACCGGCCACAGGGCCTGGCAGCAGCAGGGCGGGGACCCCGGTGTGGGGACCCCACTCACCCGATACTCGCCCTTGGAGTTCATCAGGCGGGTCTTCAGCACGTCCAGGGGCTGGCACAGGACCGTGGCACACCCACCCTGGGCGGGGGAGACGCGTGGCTGATGGGCCTGCCACGCAGGAAGCCTGGGCACCCCTCGACCCCCACAGGCCAGCCCCAAGCTCCCCGGAGGCATCCCGAGGGCCACAGGGGGACGCCAGCAGCCACTCGGGCCTGGGCACCCGGGGACCTGCGGTCTGAGGGGGGACCACCAACTGGGCTGGCGCCTCCTGCCTCCTGGGCCCTGGCCCTCAGGTTCCGAGCTGGCCAGGGACCCCGCCCCACGCCATGGCTGGCACTCACAGCAACGAAGCTGGCGACAAAGTGTGTGAGGATTCCGTCAGACAGGTACCCGGTGCTGAGGACCAGCTGCTTGGCCTGGTCGTAGCAGGACAGCTGTGGGGGGGAGGGGTCAGTTTGCTCAAGGCCGGAAGGGTGGCCCGGCTCGAGGGGATGCAAACAGGGGCTCACCGGGACACTGCCCAGGCCGGCCACACCCTGCTCCGTAGTCCCCTGGGTGGCACTGAGGCCTCCTGGGCAGGCGAGGCCCTGGCACGGAGGGCCTGCCCCAGGTCCCATGGCAGACCCGCCTGTGCCCATCTGTGCTCAGTGGCCTCTGCCTCCCCTTCGATCTCGGGGGGGCTGGGCCAGGGACCACAGAGGCTCCTCTGAGAGCCCCGCCCGGGGAAGGAGGTCCCTACCTGGCCCACGGTGACCAACATCCCTCGACTGGACGCCATGGTTGCACCTGAGAACAGCTTCCGCAGCCCCTCTGCCGAAGGAAGGGGGCAGGTTGGGCGCCTGCCCAAATCCGTCGGGCCTCCCCGCAGGTTGTGGACAGTGCCCCACCCCTTCTGCCTCCTGGGGACTCTCAGGGGCTGAGCTAGAGGCTGCCCCAGGCTCCTGCCACACACGGGCCTGCTCCTCACCTTCTCGGGCCACACGGTACAGGCCGTCCAGGGCGTGGGCGTAGCTGCCAGGACACAGAAAGGGCCCCCGTGAGGGTGTCCCCAGGAAGAGCCCCAAGACCCCCAAAGCAGCACTGCAGGGGCCGACACAGGCTTGTCCGACAGCTGGGGCTGCCTCCTCCTGCCCTCAGGGGACCTCAGCATCTGCAGATTCACCCTGAGACCCCCAGGGGGACACCTGGGCACCAGCCCTGTCGGGAGCTGCCAGCCCTGAGGCCGGTCCCGAGTGCGGCTGTTCCGGAGGACGGGAGGGCAGGATGCCCGGCCGGGCCCCTTCCACCGGTGCCCTCGGTCCGCCTTCCCCACGGCCCCTGCCCGGGCCAGAGCGCAAAGGCGGGCCGTGGTGGAGCCGCCCTCCCCCAAACCAGCGCAGATCAGTTTCACTGTGGCATCCGAAGCAAACAGCTTAGAGCTGACAGTGTCTTAGCTCCATGAAAAACCGTGTTTTTATCATAAAAATAAACCCCAACTCCCAAACCCTTTGAAAGGTTCAAACTCAAACTTCTAAACCGTCTTCCACGGGAACGTGTGTGAAGGGCAGAGAGAGGCTGGTGACCGACCAGCTGCTGTCCCTGGTCCCAGACTCCTCTCCGGGGAGACACAGAGGCCCTGGGGACGCCCCCCAACTCCAGGACAGACATGCTCGGCGTGGGTTTCCGAGAGCCACCAGCCGCCCTGCTCTGCCCCAGGTGGCCTGCTGGAGTCCCATCTGAGTCCCCATACAGTGGCTGGGGCCTTCCTGGCCTGGGCCCCCACCCCACACCACACCCCACCCACCAGCCACACCCCAAGGGCAGAACTCGGCCCACGACTCACTTCCGGCGCTGACTCTGGGGCAGCTTCATGTCGTTCTGCATCCTGAAACAACCAAGCAGGCTCAGGGGCGCGGGGGCCCCAGGAGGCAGCGGGGCACCCTCGGCTCACCCCCACAGGCTCAGGGCATCTGCGCCCTGTGCCCGGAACCCTGAGGTCCAGGGCCTCACTCCAGGCCGGGCCCTGACCCTGTGTGGGGACAGCACGGACCCTCACCGTAGGCAGCCGCACTGACCTGACGTTGACCATGTCTGCGGGAGTCCCCACGAAACCGCCGATGCAACCTGGGGCGACAGACCCCAGAGCCGACTGGCTGGCTGCCCTCCTGGCCCCACCCAAGCGCAGCCCCCGCCTGCCCCACCCCCACCCCGCCTGGCTGTGGGCCCACCCAGCTGCTCACCGCTGATGGAGCCCAGCAACACCTTCTTGTAGAAGGGCAGGGGCCCCTCGCTGTCCTTGGCCACCTGGTCCCGCACGGTCTCATAGATGGCAAACCGGGTCAGGGAGTAGGTCATCTGGGGGGAGGGCGCCCAGCTCAGACGGTGCAGGTGCACAGGGCACAGACTGTGCTCCTTGGCCCCCGACCCCAGCCAGTCAGGGGCACAGCTGTCACTTGTGGACCACGGGGACACAGAGCAGCCCTCCCAAGGCCAGGTGGCCAAGGAGTGGCTAAGCCAACCTGCAAACCCCTTTTGGTGCCCAGGCCTGTTTCCCCAACTGTAAGTGGAGGTCTCCAGCCAGCTGTGAGCCAGGGGGGACCCTGTGGAAGGACCACCAGTGCCCTGGGCTCTGCGGCGCCTTCCTCCCACGCAGCCTTGAAAAGGACAACGTTACTTGATGCCCGCGGGTGCCGACGGCAGGCGGGTCCAGGCGTGGGGCATGCTGGCCATCCCTCCCGCCTGCTCGGGCTGCTCAGAGCACAGGCTCTGGGCTCAGGACCTGCCCGGGGCAGGGCGGGGGGGGGGCCCAGGTACCTGTCTGCACAGGGACGCGCTCAGGCCGTTGTAGAGTGCCAGGATGCCGTCCGAGCGCACCACCTGCAGCGCCATTCCCGTCATGCGCAGCTTCACCTCCTGCTGCGTCTGCAGGTGCACCTGTGGGGGCGGGGCCCACCGCTTAGAGCAGCCAACTGGCCCACAGCTGCACTGAGCCCTTCCCACAATGCCCTGGAGGGCAAGGGCTACTACTGCACCCCCACTTAGAGACAGGAAACTGAGGCACAGGGAGGCAAAGCGACCTCCTAGGGGCCCCCCTGCTGGTGTCACGGTGTTTTACAGGTGACACCACCAGGTAACTGGTGCACCCACCAGGCCTGGGGGCGACACTCCGCAGCTGCCGGAGTGCTCCGGGTGCCTGCTGTGGGCGGGACCCCCAGCCTCATTTTCTACGTGGGAAATCGAGGCAGGGTGCCACAAGGGTGACTGCAGAGTCCTGCCGTTCAGCCTTCTCGGGGACAAAAGTCTGTGGACTCAGAGGCGGCCACACAGGGGACTGGAAGAGGCAGGGAGGGGCCTCAGCAGTGGGGCGGCAAAGGTGGGGACGGAGGGGGTCTCGTGCCCGGCCCGGTGATGAGAGTGGCATCCTGCTGCTGCCTGGGCGAAGCCGGGCAGGACTGGGCACTGGGCCCTGGGGCAGGGTGGCCACGGCCACGCAGGCGGCAGCTCCTGTCCTGGCAAGAACTGGCTGCAGATCAAGTTAGGACACGAGGCAGTGAAAGACCAAGGAGCTTTAAAATAATTTTTCCAGTGACCCTGCTGGGAGGTAAAAACCTCCCAGCCTGGGCCTCCCTCCAAGGCTGGCCTCCACACCCTGGCACAGGGCCGCGTGCTTCCGGGCCAGAGGGCGGCCCCGTTCCTGCGGCCGCCTGCCTCCCCTGACCCATCCTGGCAGCAAAACAGCATCTGGGAGGCAGAGCAAGGGGCAGTGACGCCCAAACAGGCCTTGGGCGACGGACGTGGGACTGAGCCAGGAGGGCCCCGAGGGCCCTGGAGGCTGTGCCTGCTCCCGGTCAGCCTGACACTCCAGGGCCGCATGGTGGTGGTGTGGTGGGGGGGGATGTGGGGACCGAGTGGGCACCCGGAGGCAGACAGAAGGGCTCCTCTTTCTCCAAACCAAAACCCACTATCTGGCCGCCAGGGTCAGAGGCCCTGGGGGTGCTCCCGGGAAGAGCAGGCCACAGGCACGCCCACTGCTAGTCCTGCGGTGGCTGGCGTTTTTACTAATTAGAGAAGCAACGACTTCCCCTCAGGAGAAAGGCTGGTAACAGAAGCACAGGAGACCCCTGAGGGCCCCAGGCCAGCCCAGGCCACGGGAGCTAACTCCTCCGAGGTGACCAGAGTGGCACAGGGAGCTCAGAGCACAGGGCGCCGGCTCGGAAGGGGGTGGCCAGGCACCTGCCCCCTGCCCACAGGCCCAGCTGATGCAGGGCCAGCTGCCTGGGTGGACTGGTTTCTGCCTCTGGCCCTTTCTTCTTTGTTCCTTGGGGTGAGATGGGGCAGAAAACAACCCACAGGGCTTGTCCTGGAGGCCAGGAAATTATATCTTACTCTGCACCGTAAGCACTGAACAAACACAACGAGAGTGTCAATGCTTGGGGCTCTGAGACGCTCACCCTCACAGGGCAGGGCCCACGGCTTTCAGGCGTCCACCAGCCCCTGAGCAGCAGCCCGAGGCAGGGTGCCTGTGTCACTGCAGTCGCCGGGGCCACAGCCTTCATTCCCTCTCCCTCCCTCGTGTGCCAGGACCCCCCCCCCCCCCCCCCCGCCCCGGTGGGAGCGGCTGGGTCCCTGCCCTGGGAGTGCTAGTGACCCCACAGAACACCTCTCAACTCTCATCTGGCCGGACATGCGTCCTCAAAGGCGTGGGAGAAGTTAGCTCAGCGTGGCCAAGAAACTGCCCAAGGTCACAAAGGCAGTAAAGAGCAGATCTGCGGCGGGACGAACCCACCAACAGCTAGAAGTAGCTGGGTCCCAGGAGGCCGGGGCTGCTTCATCTTGGGGTTCGCAGGGCCAGGGCGGCCTCCCTCTAACCCTCTCCGTGCGGCATCTCCGGGGGGAAGCAGCCAACCCTGTACTGCGGCCCTCCGGGCAGGGCAGGGTCAAGCGGGCCAGTGCCCACGGGCGCAGAGCCCGGACCCCTCGCAGCCGCCCGACACCCCCGCTCCGGCCCGCGCCACCCTCACCTTGAGCAGGTCCAGCGGATGAGTGCAGCAGGCGGCCCCGCACGAGGCCAGGCCCCCAAAGTACCAGCGCGACACGCGCGCCTCGGCCGCCATGCCTGGAGGAGCGCCAGCTGCCCGGGTCCTATCTGGTCTGGACGCCGATCCCAACCCCGACCCCTGTCCTAGCAGCCACCCCTGCACCGGGTTCAAAGCGCCGTCTGCCACCCGCGCCCGGAGCAACCAATGCGCCCGCGCGCTCAGAGGCGTGTTTAGACCCGGGGCGGGGTCGACGCCGGGGGCTTGGCCTAAGAGACCCCGCCCCCAGAGCCTTAAAGGAGCCGCGGTCCCGCAGACAGGAAGAGGTGCCGGATGGAACCCAGTGTCCCCTTTTCCTGGGCACGCGGCTTCAGGGGACCTGTTGCGTGGGCCTCCACCAATGCTCCCAGGAACCTAGCGTTCCTCCCCAACCGGGACTCCCGGGACCACTCCACGCCTAGGGCACATGTCCGAAGGGCAAGGCCGCTCCCTTGGGCTCTGCCAGCGTCCCCCACTCCACCTCCCGGAAGCCGGCCTCCGCAGTAACCCCCACCCCAACCGTGGTGGTCCCGAACCTGCATCCAGTCCCCACCCGGCCACGCAGGGACGCAGGCCTAGCCGGTCCGCCCCGTGGAGAGAAGTTGCAGGAAGTAGCAGAGGCCCCGGCCGAGTTGTTCAGCCGTTAGCGTGTCCTCTGGACATACTAAGGTTGTGAGTTTGATCCCCCTTCAGGGCACATACAAGACTAAACCATTGAATTAATAAATCAATACACTAAAAAAAATTTAAAGAAGTAGCAAAAACCCTCCTTGTGCCCTGGCTGGTGTGGCTCAGGGGGTTGAGTGTCAGCCTGCAAACCAAAGTGTTGCTGATTCCATTCCCAGTCAGGGCACATGCCTGGGTTGCAGGCAAGTCCCCAGTAGGGGGCGCATGAGAGGCAACCATACATTGACGTTTCTCTCTCTTCCTCCCGTCCCCTCTGAAAATAAAATAAAATCTTTTAAAAATCCCACAAAACCCTCCTTAGGCTCAGTCAAAACTAAGAGCAAAGGCAATTCAGAGAGACCAGCAGTCCCTGTCCCCTACACACCACCTCCAGCCAGAGCTCTCCTGGCCAAGCCCAGCCTCGGGCCTCCCTCCCGCCTGCAGCCCCAGGCTGGAGGAGGCCTGGCAGACAGCGCTCTGGGCCTTGGCATCCTGGGCTCAGGCCCCCGGAGCTGGCCGTCAGCAAGCAGGGCCTGGCTCCAGGGGGAGGTGCCCACCTGTGTGCATAGGGTCTGTCCGGAAAAAGTCCAGCCGTGCTAATATCAGAACAGTCTGTATGTGGCATCGATGTGATCTGGCAGGCAAGCAGAGTGGGCTGGAATGCGCACTTGTGAACAATGACAACTTCACTGTACTGGTCAGTGGGGATGGTAGATGCCACTGTGCACTGTGTACTGTGTGACTGCCACATTCAAAGTGACTGAGAAAGGAGAGCAATAAATCTGCATCAAATTTTGCATTAAGCTTGAATACTCCCCCAGAGACTGTGGGGGTGATGCAGCAGCCGCAGCCGCAGGCCACGGGTGATCGGCAGCTGCATCAGGACGACATGCCAGCTCATGCAGCATGTCTGGTGCCGAGTTTTCTGGCAAAACATCATATCGCCCAGGTGATTCAGCCGCCCTAGAGCCCAGATTTGGTGCCCTGCGACTTCTGGCTTTTCCACAAAACTAAAGCCATCTTTAAAAGGGAAGAGATTTCAGACCATTGATGAGATTCAGGAAAATACAATGGGGCAGCTGATGGCGATTGGGAGAACTGTGTGAGGTCCCAATTTGAAGAGGGTTGGGGTGTCATTTGTCCTATGTACAGTTTCTTGGGTCTTGTATGTTCAATAAATGTCTAACTTTTTCACACTGCATGTCTGGACACCTTATCGACAGACCTCGTACAGCAGGTTCCCTCTCTCATCTCACCTCCCAGCAAACAGGAAGTGCAGGTGGGCTCCTGGGCCAAAGGCAAGTCCGAGACCCCAGGGACACTTTCCAAAAGGACCATGGGGACCTAGGGGCTCTCTGTGGGGACAGTCCCCCAGCTCACATTGGGTGGAGCCAGACTCCTCCCCCAGGGCGGAACCTGGGCCCAGTGTGGCCACTGCAGCCCCCACCTCAGTGGAGGAGGGGGGCACTGGAGAAACCACTCCTGGTTCCCTGAATCTGGGAGGTGCCAGAGGGACGGTCCCCAGAGAGGGCAGCTGCTGGGGCTGGAGATCTCAGCCGTGTCCCGGGGCCCTTGCACCAGGCTGGACAAGGCCACTCCCACTGACATCTGATGGGGCTGTCAGTGCCATGGGGGCACCAACAGGGGGACTCAGGAAGCACAGCAGACCCACCTCCCAATGCAGAGATTTTGGGCCACGGCCCAGTGGAACCCCCAGGGGCAGGGCCCCAACAGTTCTTCATGGGCCACCTGTGGTTGCAGTGTATCACAGGGAGCTGGGAGTGGTGGGCCAGGACCCCCATGGGGAGGTCCAGGATCTGCCCAGCGCTTTCAGGAATCTGACTGTGGGGCCGTGTGCAGGGAGCGAAGCAGACACCAGGCACTGTCCTAGCCCGGGATGCTGGGGGCAGAACACGGCTGGTTAGATGGCCCCTGAGGTTCAGGACCACCCCAGGAAGCCCAGGATGAAGCCGAGGACCCGGTTGCCCAAGATGTCCTAGGAAACCTGTGACCCTGCTGGCCAGAGCTCTCTGTGAGCCCCATGCACTGCTAGTCTCAGGTGGTCCAGTAGCCCCCTCGGGAGGGAAGGCACACCCAGAGACCCACAGTGGAGAATCATTAACCTGGTCGGGTGGCATGGCCTCTCTGGGTCAGGGAGCGGCCTGTCTCTGCCTCCTTGGACCTGACCCGAGGCCCAGCAGGAAGTACATAGGGAGGGCGGCTGGGCGAGCCTCCCGCCCAGAGGCACAGTGCCCTCTGCAGGTCGCTCCTCCAACAGGGCCACAGAGTGGAGAAGGGCAGAACGTGGGGACTCAGGACAGCGTGGGCAGAGGCTCCTGGGGTCATGGCCACTCAACAACCCATAGTGCGGCCTCCCTCCCTCCTGCTCTCTGCCCCACGCCCCTGGGTTCTCTTGCTCAGGGGTAAATCCAGTGCACCCAGAAGCCCAGGGTCCCTGGAACAAGGCCCCAGGGCTGCTCTCTCGTAAAAGCCATATATGGGAACCGGGCCCCCCCTTGCCTTGCCCTGGCTCCTAGGCTCAGCCCCCACGTCGTCCTCTCTCAAGGCTGCAGGACACACAGGACTGTTTCTTGCAGGGCTGTCTGAGGCTTGGGAAGAGCACACTTAGCTCCCAAGTGAAGACCTGGTGTCGCCTGTGAAGCAGCTGCCACCCGCCAGGCAGCACGGGTGCTGCCAGAACCTCCAAACCATCGTGGGCAGACCCTGGTCTATCCCAGCACCCAGACACAGCACGCATGGCCTGAACCATGTATTTTCTCAGCGGCCACCAGGGGGCGTACGGGAACTGGGGGCACGTTCCAGAGTCCTCCCCGGGGGTGCTCACAGGCAGCAGCTGCCCCCTCGCGTCTCAGTGGGTCCATGCCTGTCCCAGAACCAGGCTGCCCCAAGGTGACAGTGTGGAGTTCTGCTCCGACGCGCCGTCAGCTGAGCCTGGGTGCTTGGTGGAGCAGGCAGGGCCCGGCCCGGGGCCCCTCAAGTCCGTGGCGCTGGCTTACTCCAGGACCACGGTGCCGCCCACTGCCTCCAGGGCCGCCTTGATCTTCTCTGCCTCGGCCTTGGCGACGTTCGCTTTGATTTCCTGAGGCAGTGACTCCACCAGCTTCTTTGCCTGCCAGAGAGCACAGTCAGACACCAGACCTGGGCCCCTGGACCAAGCCCAGCCTGGTAGGGCTGCCTGGAGCTCACCTGCACGAGGTTTATGCCCTGGACGTAGTTCTTGATCTCCTTGATCAGCTTCACTTTGTCCACGGGCTTCGCCTCTGTCAGGCGGACGGTGAAGTGTGTCTGTTCTTTCTGTTTGGGGACGTATTCTTCTTCTACCTGGGGGAGGGTGAGAGTGGGCCGCCAGGTGAGAAGGGAGGCTGTGCCGCAGGTGCGTTTGCTCCTGGGCTGCCCATCCCGTGACCCCAAAGGCAAGGCCCCCACAGAGCCTGAGATTCCAACAGAAGCCCGGTTGGGCCAGTGCCCACCCCCAGTCACTCCCGGGCCAGGCTGGGCCGCACCCCGCAGAACCGCTCCCAGCTCGGCAGAGGCCGCTTGCTTGGACGCTGCCTCCCTTCCCAGCCCCCAGCGCTTGTCCCTTAAAAACGGCCCCTTGAAAGACAAGGCAGGGTGACAATGAAGGTGCTCTGTGGCCAGGTAATGTAACAGAATCGCAGGGCCACTCCATCCTCGGCCAAGCCCGAGGTCATGCCTCAAGACTAGACAAAGTGACAGCCAGCCTCTGCCCCCATCCCCAAGTGGCCAGCAACGGGCAGCAGGGAGCGACAGAGCTCAAGTCTGAATGGGCTGGGACGGGAGGTCACTGCGAATCCCCCTCGTGCCAGTGGGTGCTGGCCCCCCGTTTTCAGAGGTGTGCCTTAGCTTCCAGGGCAGAAGACACAAGTGTGATGAGACGATAATGATCACTAGGACTGGCCAGGGCACAGGAATGAAGGTGTTCTTATTCCTGCTTGTGAATAACGAGGTTTTTTAAATAACAGATGCTGAGAAAAAAGTGAGCGTGTGGCTCCCGGGCTGATGGTTTCCTCACAGACACCACACCGTCACCAGGAGGAGGGCTGCCCTTTGTCTCTCCACCCTCTGCAGCCTGGACCCGCCTCCTGGCCCTCGCACCAGACGCTGTCCCTCTGCAGGGAACGCCTTGTTCTCTCCCTCAGCCACTCTGCTCAGGAGCCGCCTGCTGCCTTGGTCAGGTGGCTCACTTGGTTGCAGTGCTGTTCTGTACACCAAAAGTTTGAGAGTTCAATCCCAGGTCAGGGCACATGCCTAACACCTAGGCTGAGGGTCTGGGCCCCAGTTGGGGCATATATGAGAAGCAACCGACTGACGTTTGTCTTACTCTGTCCCTTTTCCTCTCAAAATCAATAAACAGACCCTCAGACGAGGGTCACTGGCTCATTTGCACCTTCCTCGAGCTCCTGGCCCTCCTCTCCCCCTCTTCCTGCAACACTCGTTACGTCTAAGTATTCCACGTAATTTCTTTCTGCTCTTTTCCTTTCACCGGGCTCACAGTCTGTCTCCCTCCACTAGAAACATGGTCTCCAGTGGGCAGGGGCCCGCACATCCTTGGCAGGGAGGAGGTCTCGGTGCTGACGGGGTCTGCAGTCAGAGGCGCACACAGACCGGTGGGGCGTACTGATCGGCGCAGGGCCGAGATGAGGGACAGCGAGAGAAATGTGGTCACACGACGTGAGCGCGCATAAGGACTGGGCCTGGGCTCACCTCGGGGGCCGCTGCAGCAGGGGCAGGACCAGGCATCATGCCGCCCATTGGCATGAGGCCCACATCCTGGATCTTCAAGGTTTTCTGCGGGGACAGAGGAGAGCAGTCTCAGAGGCTGGCCGTCACACCCAAACACACTCAGGGGCACGGCTGTCCCTACGCTCGGGGAACAACTGAACAAATGCCCCCGAATGCCCCAGGGACAAGGCCCAGATTCCACTGCCCAGGTCTGGCCAGATACCTTCAGGAGCTCATTGAGGTCCGAGATCTCCAGGAGCGTGAGGCTGGCAATGTCCTGAACCAGCTGCTGGATTTTTGGGGGGTACTCCTTGGGGGCGTTATCTAGGGGTGCACCGGCGAGGGCCTCCCCCCTTCGATGGCTGCTGCATCTCATCAGCCGCACGGTGCAGACGCGTGGCACCTGTTGTCTAAAACCCAAACACAGCCGTCAGCCCTGCATGTGGAGGAGACACGGTCCAGGCAGGCAGGTGCCGGTGAGCTCAGGTCTAGCCCCTTGGCCCCAACCCAGCGTTCTCAGACTCGAGGGTCCACTTTACACTCGTTAAACTGCTTAGAAACCCGCATTATTATTGCAAAACTCTGCCCACGACATTAACTTCCTGGTTTGAATGAATGGTAGCCCCTCACGGGGGTAATGCAAAACCACACATGCATCCGCTGCTCACGGCCTTTCAGAAGCTGGGTCCCCTGAGGGCGGGACGCCGACTGCACTGAAGGGAGCCCTTCCACGTCACTGAGCTTACGGGGAAACTGAGGTCCGGAGAAAGGCCGGAACCCGTCCAAGGTCATCTGAGGCCACCGCGGCACTCTCCGTGGCCCGCGCGGTTACGGGCTCCGCACGCGGTGGTCCCCACGCCCCCTATCCCTGCAGGGATCCGCCGAGTTTCTGTGGCCTCTCGTCCGCCGCCCCGACCCGAACCATCGGTGGCCGGCCGAGGGCACCCACTCTGCCCACCCAGCCCTTGGTAGCCCGCGGTACCTGATGAAATGGAGCGCGGCGCCCCGAAGCCCGAGACACGGCCCCCACAGGGGGAGAGCGGCCGCCGGTAGCATCGCTCCGCGAGCGGGAAGGTCACACGCGGCTCCGGCGGAGAGGGACGCTCTAGCCGCCAGAGCCGCAGAGAACAGGAGCTGGGGAGGACGCTCTAGCCGCAGGGGCCGCCGAGCATACGAGCCGGAGAGGACGCTCTAGCTCAGCCTCGCGCTTGTTTCCTCTCGGTCGCCGAGATTACCCATAAGGCGGCGGGCCGCGCAGGCGCTTGGCCTTGTGGCGGTGGTGGTCGGGCTCCTCGGGCCATTAGGTGCCGGACTCGGGTCCTCTGCTTGTGGGGCGAACGATGGCCAGTGAAGGTCGGAGCTTGGCGGCAGGCTCCGTCCGAGTTGGGACCGGACCTGGTCCGTATAGACCAGCGCGGGGACCCTTACGGCAGCCTCGTGTCTGCTGACCGTGGTCACCCAGCGCGTCCCGTCCTCGGTGCCCTCGGCCTAGCGCCCTCTCCGCCGCCACAACGGCAGCCTCTCCCGCAAGAGCTCGGGAGGGACCACATTTTGTCTTTCAGCCCAGGCCGTTCCGGGAGTGAGGCCGCCTCCTTCCGCGGCACCAAGCGCGCGTCCTGGGAAGCTGGACTGGGGCTTCTGCGTAGTGTTTACCGAGAGTTGTGATTGAGGTCGGAAAGGGCCGACTGATGGGCACCTGGGCGGAAGGGCTTCCAGGTCCCGGCTCTGTTTTCAGGTCCCGGGGTGGAGAGTTTGGAAGCCCCAGCTTTGTTTTCAGACATCCGCACCTCCGCGCTCCTGCCCGCCTCTTGGTCCAGATCCCAAACTCCCGGCCGAGGGGTGTCCCACTCAGTCCGCCGCAGCGTCACCGCAACGGTCCTGAGCCTCCGCTTTTCATACGCAGCAATCGGAACGGCAGCACAGGCAAGTCAGTTCCAGCGAGCCCCGCCGCCACAGGTGATTTCCTAGGACCCGGCGCTGGAGCAACCCGACATGACTGGGGACGGGAAGGCAGGGCTTTTCTGCCCTGCACCTGCTGTTATTCTGGCCCTGCCTTTGACCTGAGCCCAGGTGGCCTCTGTGCGTATTAAAGTCGTTGATGCCTTCATGGATGAGCTCCTGTTGTAGTTCCTAAGAGGTTTGCATGTTTAAGGTGGCATTCCGAACTGGATGCACAGGGCCCAGCGTCTCACATTGATGGTAACATTTCCTTCCAGGCTACAACTGGCATCGCAGTCAGACGAGAGCTGGGGGTCCTGCAGGCCAGTCCCAGCACCTGCCCCGAGGTGCTGTCTGTCTGGGAGGACAGTCTCGGAGGAGACTGGCCTGACCGTGGAGCTGGCCCCGCAGGGGGCAGGCCAGCCTGCAGAAATGCCCCACACCCCCGTCCAGAGCCAGGACAGTTGCCCACCACCTTCTCTCTAAACAGACGCTGAGTCCTGGTTAAAGAGACTTTATTATCGCCGTTCATTCCATCTACTGGGAGCACTGGATGAGATGACAGGACAGCACAGAAGCAGAGAAGCTGGAGACAAGCCCCCACCCCTCCCCTGGGGGCCAGGGTCGCACTAGAGGGCTCTGGGGAGACCCCCAGGGCAGAGGGAGCCCATTCAGTAGGCTGGGGCTTCTGTAAGAGAGGATGCTCAGGTCTGCCCTGTGCCGGCGGCCCAGCCATGGGGACAGAAGTCAGAGACAGGACCAACTTGGGGACGGGGAGGGCCAAGGGGCTGAGCCAGCAGGGGAGGACAGGAAGAGGCAGGAGAGCGGGAGGGGCAGATGTGCTAGACAGGTGGTGATGTCGGAGCGTAGTGTTACTCTGGGTGGCAAGCTGGCCCGGGGTCAGTCGAATGAGATGAGCTGGGCTTCACTGCCCTGCACCTGCGGCCCCTGCACGGGCGGCTGCTGGGCCACGGGCTGTGGCTGCTGGGCTGGGCCACCAGAGGGCGCCATCTGGGGGACAGGGCTATTGGTTCTCCCCCAGGCCCCAGCCCCACCCTCAAGTGGCTTCTCCAGAGCCCCCCTCCTCAGCCTGGCTTCTGGTAGTCTGTTCTGTGAGCTCAGCCCACCCCCATCACAGGCTTCATGCCCCAGCAGGGGCCACAACCCAGAGTTCCCGGCTCCCTCCACACAGTTGAGTGTTTTAGCCAACTCAGGTCACTGTGTGTGTCCAGGGACTGCCTGCTCTTCCCAGGACAGCCCCTGCCACGGGTCCAGGTCCCCAGGAGTGGAGGAGAGGCTCACCTGCTGGTACAGGGGCTGCTGCCCTGAGATGTAGGGCTGCTGAGGGGGCTGCAGAGGTGCATCCTGGCTGGGGAGGGTGGTCATGAGGTTCTGCAGAGAATGACGGGAACCCAACCGTGAGAAAGGAGCCCTGTAACCCAGCAGAGGGGGACTTTCTGACTTGGAACACCAGCCAGGGGAGCCCAGTGGAGTGGGAAGGGTAGGGACCAGAAGGGCAGGGCCCATCCAGCGCACCCTCCCCCCCGCCCCACCTCTTGTTCAAGGACCGCCCCGCGGGGACGCCGCTTGGTCTCACCCACATGGTCTCACCTGCATGCTGTAGGGCTGGTAGCCCAGGGACACGGCTGAGCTTGCCATGTAACCCATGCTGCCCGACTGCGGGGCCTGGGAGATGGCCGGGAGGCTCTGTGGGGCCTGGGAGGCCACGTTCTGTGGAGGGAAGGACTGTGACGCAGGGCACCGCACAGGGGCCTCCGTGGTAGTGGTGGTGGTGGGCGGGGGAGGGGTGCAGCCTTGACCACATACCTGATAGCCCTGGGTGGGGGTGGGCTGGTAGGAGGAGTAGGCGGGGCTGGCGCTGGGCCCAGCTGGGCCCTGGGGTGCAGCCTGTGTGCCGGTGGCTCCTGCCGAGTACATGTAAGCGCTCACCATGCTGGGATCTGGGGAGGAACGGCAGGCCTGAGACCCTGGGGTCGGGGAGCACGTCCTGTGCTGTGAGTGGACTGAGCTCGCGCCTCATGTTCTCACCAACGGGAAGCGAGTGAGGTGGAGAGGTGGGAGAGGACCCCTGGGGCTGGAAGAGTAAGAGGACGTACAGCCGGCCATGTTCCCACTGCAGAGGGCACTGCAGGGGTGGGGACAGAGCTGCCGGTGACTCCTGGAACCGGCCCCGGACTCGGGATGACGGACAAGTGTCCACCTCACTTGGCCTGGGCTGCCGCTGCCAAGACCATTGTCTGTGAATTCTGGGGCCGGAGAGCTGGTGAACACGGATGGGGCAGGGAGCCCGAGTCCGGCCTGGGGGTGTCTGTGCGTGTGTCAGTGGGGGACCTGGCGGGGGGACTGGGGGGGTGCCCACAGACAGCGAACACTTGGGGAGCATAGTCTGTGAACCTGTTGCGCCAAAATAGACGTGGAAAAGGTGACTGTCTCAGGCTCATCCTGGCTGGTCAGCACGGCCGCCCGCCCTTACCTGCTCCGGCCCCGGGCACGCTGGGGTAGGGGCTGCCACCGGTGGGGGCTGGCGGGCTCATGTACACGGTGTGCATGGGGGAGCCTTCCACCGAGCCTGCGGGGCTGAAGGTCCCCGGGAAACTCGTGGGGCCGGAGGGCTGGTACAGCACGCCTCCCGCAGCGGGCATGGCCTGGAGCTGGGGACAGAGAGGGCTGTCAGGGCGGCTCCCGCAGCCACAGGCCCAACCAGCGGGGGTGGGGTGAGCTGGGCGCATGCCTGGGCGTAGGGCAGGGAGAAGGCGGGCATCTGGGCCCGCATCTGGATGGTCTGCTTCTGCTGCTCCAGGCGCAGCTGCCGCTCCTTCTCCTGCTCCTGCAGGCGCTGGATGGCCAGCTGCCTCTGCACCTCCAGGTACTCCTGCAGCCACAGGGCGGCAGTCAGCACCGGCCCGGCCCAGCACCCCGTGGCCCGCCAGCTCGCCACCGCCGCACCTGCTTCTTCTGCCGCATGATCTCCAGCTTCTGGGCCAGCTGGATCTGGCGCTGGCGCTCTGCCTCCTCGGCCGCCCGGCGCAGTTTCTCCCGGTGCTCCTCCCGCAAGGCGTTCAAAGCGCCCCGGGCGTCGCGGATCTGTGCCAGCTTGTCCTGCAGCCCCTCGTAGTACACTGCAGGGGCAGAGCGGGGCCCGTGGCTCGGCACAGAAGCTCGGGGTGCCTGCCTCTGCCCAGCTTGTGAACAGGGCACGGCTGGCCTTGGGCCTGGAGGACTCTCCCTTCACCTGACCGTCCAGTGCTTGGTGGGACATTTCCCATCACTGGGACCACCTGCCCTGGAACCCAAGAAGCTGCAGTCCCTGGACCAGCCCATCCCAGGGACCTGTCCACTGCCCACCACCACCTCCCGCCAGTGCGGGAGGCCCTCACGGTGCTGGCTGGTGATGCTGGGCTGAGGGCACCCACAGCCCCAGGGGGTGCAGCAAGCCCAGGACAGGGAGGGCTGGGCCGGGAGGGACGTACGCCTGCGCTCGTCCAGCTGGTTGAGCAGCTCCAGCAGCTGGGGGTGCATGCCGTTGATGGACTGGAAGAGGGACAGCACGGCCGAGTCGTTGGTGATGCTGCGGCCGCGCACGTGGTTGCTCTTCATGCGGTTGACGAAGGTGCTGACGGCGTTCTGCAGGGCCTTCAGGAACTGCGCGTGGCTCTCCTCCGACTCCCCGTTCTGGAACTGCTGCCGGGATGCGCGGCGGGCCGGGCGTCAGGGCGGCCCCACTGCACCAACCCTGACCTGGCGCTCTGCGGGTGCGGCCAGCACCAGGGGCTGCTGTTCCATGGGGTGTGGGGGGGAACCCCCCCACCTGGGATCCCCAGAAACCCAGGCCCAGGGAGGCTGCAGGCCTGCCCTGGTGGCGACACGGGGCCTGCCTCCCTGCAAAGGCCCTGTCTGCTTCTTTAAGATTCTGTTTCTTTGTTTTTAGAGAGGGAAAAGGAGGGAGAAGGAGAGGGAGAAATACTGACACGTGAGAGACACTGATCAGTTGTTTCTTGTACGCCACCAACCAGGGACCAGGCCTGCAACCCAGGCCCTGACCAGGAATTGAACTGGTGACCTTTCAGTTTGAGGTCCAGCCCCCAGAGCCACACTGGTCAGGGTGGCCCTGGCTTCTCACTGCAATGGCCAACAAAACCCAGGAGCCTCAGGACAGACGAGCCAGTGGCCCTGGGCATGG